TTTTGTTGAAGAAGCTGTTTTAATTTGTTTGCGAAGAAGAGAATGCATATTAAAATGCCTGTAAAAACAATTTCTAAGTTTTGCGGTTTTGTGCTTGTTTTCAACGCACCTGATAAAGGGTTATGTCGAATGAGTTATCTGATCATTGTGCAGGCGTTCTTTATCGTTAGCGTTCAAAGACTTATCTCCGCAAAGGTGAGTGATTCAATCACTCCTTTCACTGACTCCCATCCTGAAGTGATCTCTTTTTTAGTGCTGTGAGCAATGAACCAATCCAAACTAATCACGGCAAGATTTGAACTTTGGTTAAATATTTACAGCGATGAAATATTTCTTTTTAAACCGAAACAAAACCACTAAAGGAGATAATTTTTCAAATAGTTTGTTTACGTTTAAGTAGAGTGCCTTTAGATCTGCTACAAGATGATGACGTCGTTTAGCCGATGGAAAACCTGTAAATTTATCGCCTCTTGCTGTGTGTCAAATTAAACCGTATAGCACTTCATTCAATATTTAGTAATACAGAATGCGTTTTAATTTCTTTGGGTCATCATGAAGTAAGTATTTGACACCTTATTTCTTCACTTTACTTGCTCGAGAGAACAACATTTAGTAAGATCACTGTCCTTTTTAAAGTAACTTTATGTGGCACTTCTTATTCATCGGGGGTCCGACAACAGATGTAAGTTATCTTCACTTGTACATTATATTTATTTCAAGGTCTTAAATTCATAAAAAACCATAATATCAACTTTCAACTCTCACATCAAAAACTTCACTATTTTGGTTTTTAAGATAAGCAATCAATTTTGTACTAAACTCTTGGACCAAATTCTTTATTAAATGATGTCAACGATATGCTCAGACTGAGAATTTGATCGAGCGGAATTTTCTGAATCGATCTAACACGTGACAGGTGGTCTGATTTCAAAAGCTTTTTGTTTGTTGAGATCTGTTTTTAAACTCCGAGATCTGAATGCGGATAATCAGAGTAACAATAATGAATAACGAGACAAAAGATCGGTCATAATCAACTGGCCTTGTCGTGTGTGTATTACCAGCGTGAGACAGTAGCCTTAGCTTTGAACAAACCGAAGTGTTCTTTCTTCCACGTTTGTGTTTTTACCTCTGAACCATTTTTTTAAACTTTTGTATTAGAAGGTGGAAATCTGAAGAAGAGGTACATGTTTTAGGGTAGAGTAAGTGGGGATGGAAATTTATAATCCCCTTTCATAAGCGTTTCCAGAATTTTTGTTGACTTGACGTGTGTTTTCTTCTCTTAGGGACGACAGTGCATCGTACTCAACAAGATTCCTTTGCTCAGACGAGACATTGAGCCTTTAGGGAAACTCAGGTATATTAAAATATCACTTTTTTCAGTTTTTCTCGTGAAGTAATAAAATAATTTTCTTTTCCATGAAGCTAGCCATGTGAGACAAAAACAAAGTTTTAAACGGTTCCTTTATCCTTAATTTCTAATCAATTAAATTACATTTTCAAAAAAAGCAAAACAGCGCAGTAAATAACCATTTGGATAATTCCGAATGTATTGAAGCAGTGGAACCAGTAAGGAAGAAGATATCATTTTTGCACTTGCTATTGTATGGAAAAAGCAAAATATCTTAGCACACTTTACGAGGAAGCTTTTCCTGTCTGCGATTACCTCATCGTTGAAAAGTGAACGAGAGAAGGTGAAGTATTTGATTACCTCCGGTTCATGGTGATCACATCAACTTGCGTTTTGTTAGAACAAACCTCAGTCCGTGATTTGAGACATTTAGGGGTAGTGAAAATTCTGTACGGTATTGGGTCAAGCTTAACAACTATGGCGCCTCAATTAATTAACATAAAGGACTTTAGATTTGGAATTATTTTCAACTTTTGAGTCTAGCCGTCGGATAACTTAACATGTTTGTCGTGCTTGTGTTTGATAGACCCTCAAAAAGTTGTGGGTGGGTCGACCCGTTTGAAACACCTGCCTTAGGAGATCTTAGCCAAATTCTTCATGTAGGTAACAGATGAAAGTTTATCGACCACGGACCAGGAATTGATTTGAAGTTAATAGGAGTGATAATTCAGGAACAATTGATTTGTGTAAAAGCTCTCAAATTTATTGCAAATTATCTTAGGACCAACAAACCATACGCAGAAAGTAAATTTAAACTTTTGACCTTTTAAAGATAGGTGAGAGATCACGTTCAACAACAATTTACAGGATTAGGAAAAATATAAACCAGGACAATTTATGAAAATCTCTCAACTGAACATACATTTAATTACGATGTAAACCAAGTTAGAAGAATTTTATGAATTTAGCATGAACAATTTCAATTTCAGAAGCCTAACGAATAGTTTCTTATTTTCCATCGCGAGTAATTTATGCAACTCATTTCAAAAGGATTTTTTTTTTCTTCAAGGTCACTATTTGCTACACAGTCACCTTTGACCACTTTATTGGTATAATTTTTGAGTGGCTATCTTATTGTAGTTTGTCGCAAAAATGTTGGGAAAAATCAAAACAGTTGTTTTCAGAACTTTTCATTCATAGGCTATAGAACCACGAGCACTTTAAATTGTTGAGTTTTGTTTCATTTTGGTACCTGTGCTGTTAAAGGACTAATGTTACAAAAATGGTGAAGTGTCTATTTTTGGTTTTCTTAGCTAAGAGAGAGTCTACCTTGCTCCTAAATTTAGATTCAGAAGTGCATTGGGTCACAAAACAGCTTCAGTTTTTAAAAATTATCTTGCAAAGCAATTGATTCAAAAAGATTGATGGCTGTCGTCGTCCACGCCCATTTTTAAAAATAATTTCCTTGCCTTCGTCGAAGCGTAGCCAACTTTCTCTTAGAGGAAAGATAGCGACCTTCCAACCACGCAAATGTTTCATATAAAAGATAACAACCTAACCAATCCGATTTTTTGGATATTTTAGATTTAACCAAGTTTAAAGTTTCGAAAATTTTCGCGGTATTCTTTGTACTTACTGAATCGATCATAACGCAGTAGCTCTAGATTTCACTTAACTACAAAATTTAACAAATATACGTGGCTAGTTAGGCAAGACTGAGTTAGGAGCAAAGTAAAGTAAAAACTAGAATACCAGGTGTTAGAAGTAAAGCCAAACTTTATAGGCAGTTAGAAACAATTACACAGCAATCTACGAGTTATGACTTTTGCAAAGATTTGAACTTGCTAGGTAAAAAAATTCCACATCACCTTTTCAATTTAAAAAACTTAGAATTAAAGCAGTCAAAACAATTAATTATTCTTTGATTTTCATCCACTGCAAAATGTTATTTTTGTGTGGTTTCTGTGGCCGTTGCACAAACTTTCTTCTTACTTTATCTCTACTTATGGACATTATTTACTGGCTCTGCTGTATCCAATCATACTCTCAAGTCAGTTGAACCTTAAAAAAGGGAGATGCTTACAGCTTTCACAAACACGCTGATATTGACTCAGAACAAGAAGTGGTTAATATTTTGCTTTGTAATAAGGGAGACAAAAAATTAACTGTATTTCTCCCTGGTTGAGTTTTGAACTGAGAATTTTATATCTTATTTAACTTCTAAATAAATTTAAAATGTCGCATCGAAGAAAAATTAATGCGAAAAAAAATGGAAAAAAATTCATGTGATCAGATAAGAATTCCTCATAAAAGAGTACTTGACATCAAAAACTATGTTTACTTACTATTTCTCACCTGAATTTAGAGTGCAAGATCTTCCTCTTACGTATTCTTCAAGACGTCAAACCGTTGCCAAAAAGGAAGCTCTAACTTTGTTGTTGTTCTGAATCCAGCTGGCGTTTTTTCGGCACAGCCGTTGTTGTACGGTAACATACATTCAACCTAGGACCACAATACCGCAACTCACTCGCAAAACGTAAACTTAAGACATCCCGCTTCAGTCTCTGTTGCAGAAGGGTAAAGGTGAACTTGGATTGTTATTCGGCCGTCGGCCACAGTATAACTGTAAAGTGTAACGAGGAAGTTTTAAGAATTAAACCAGAGATAATTTTCGACTTATCTTAATGGAATCTACTCAGAAAGTTGCGATGAAACGATATTGATTTACGTCTTCGCTCAGGTCTCAAACCTTTCAGACGGTATGCGGTTTTCACCAAGTAGATGACAGTTCTATCAGATCAGAAAAACATTTTCTTAAAATATCCATCAAACCAATTGGGATATTTAGTTAGAGGCCTTATGTTGTCGGGTTCTAGTTATATGGCTTAATTTTCATATTTTTTGTCAAAGTTTCCCTTGCTCTCAATAGGGGAGCCCCTTTTTTGGTCATCATACGATAATAGTCTCTGCATGCCGTCTTGTTTGGTGGTTTCATTTAATTCACAAATCGTTTCTAACATCCCAGAGCGGTAAATTATTTATTTTCCAAAATATCCTTGTGGAACAATGTTCTAATTTCGCGTTGAAATCAGAGCATCTCGCAGTTTAAAATCTGAACCTTGATTCTAATCAACCAAGAGGGTCAAGTCTATCCTTAAAATATCCATCAAACCGATTGCAACCGGATGTTTCGTCGACACGTTGTACATTTAATATTGAAGTACACGTCTAAATGTTTTGATTCGCCGTTCGTACTGATTAGAAGTAACTTAATTTTACCGAGAATAGATGCAAAAGAAAATTCTGTTGTACTGTGGGGCGAGACAGCATTTTGGAAAGATTACACGCTTATCAGTTTCAAAATTGACGCATCTCCTAGTGTCTCTGTATAACTTTATCACTCATATTAGTCATTAATGCAATGCTAGAAAAACTCCTTATAAATTTAGTTGCGGAATTATCCTTTAATTCTCTCTTACTGAAAGTATTTCATAGGAATTATCATCCCTAATAAAAACCTTCCAGTTTATTCTAAGAAGCCGTCCGCAACGACGCGAGAGCTCTTAATTTATGCTAATTCTTCACCGCGAAAGTTTCGGCCGCTGTCCAAGTTGTATAATTAACGGTGTGCTCGAACACTCTCTGTAGTTTCCGTAAACTCAAAGCTGTTTGTAATGCGCGCAGTTAAATGCAACAATGATACTACATGAAAACTGTCAATTTCAGATCGCCTAAGGGTTGAATCTAATTGATGTAATTTCAAGAAATGCTTTTCGCATAAAAATCAGCGTCTACACGCAAACTCGCAGCATTGGTGAGTATTGTTTGATATCTTTTGTGGTATTTGTAGAGAAACATTCTTTATTCTATTTAATCCACGAAATCAATATCACAATAACATGGAACATTTTGTAAATGCAAGTCAGAGTTTATGCTAGGTTTTAAGTCAGTCGTCATAAGGTAGATGTGCCGTTTGAAATTGCTTTTACTGGGTTTTTTCTAAGCCTTTTTCACTTCAGTGTACCTAATTATGTAGTTAGGGTAGAGCTCTACTGTCGCATTGGATTAGGATAACGTGACTAAACAACTCTTCGGGAATAGTGTCGTTAAGCTTCTTTACTTAAATGTTTATCCAAATAAAGCTAGACTATCCTCGTAGCAGTTTGCATTTTGTGCAGTGTATTCGAATTCACCTTACGTGATTAATATTTTAAAACAATTCAAAAGGCTTTTAAAAGAAAGCCACTCGTGCCGTGTTGTTGTTATGCTTGGGAAGACCAGTCTCTATGAAGTAATCTATTCTTGAGTATTCGACAGATCTTCTCCTATAGAATCTAAGTTATTCTTCTACGATTTCTCATCCAAGAGAGAGCTCTTGTTTTTAGCTCATGGAAATAACATTTTGCTCTCGAAACAAGAATTAAAGTAAAGCTTTAGGCGATATTATTCCTAACTCGAGCTGCAATGGAAAAGGTTGTGTTTGCTGAGAATTTAGTCCACATAAATAATGCACATTTTAAAGCGGATGTGACTGAACGGTTATTTGGTGAACCAGTTACGAATAAGAATAGGAAGTAGCTGACAAAAAAGGATTCCCTTGTGGCAAACAGCCTTCCATTGTCTCTTTCTGCCAGATACCTTGAGTCTATCATTAACTTTTGTAAAGAATTCCACAGGGTTCCTAATCCCACCTGCCAAAAGAAATGTTCAGTTTTTGTCATATAATATCGGTTTGAAATGATGAAATATAATTTTCTCTACCTTAACGACAGGTTGCATTTAATGTGTTTTTGGAAAAGGTTGGTTAAAATTAGGTAATGGTACTGCTTTAAGAAATACACTTCTGTGCTTGTCTGGTGTATTTTACTAAGATAATTGCAAAAATAACGTAATTTGTTTGGTAAAATTCTAGAATCATTCTTCAAATAACAAACATCATCTTTTTTGCTGCTACTCTACCGGTTTTCGGAAATCACCATGCATTACAGTCCGTGCAGCTCTGGTTGATTGGAAATCTTTTAGGAAGTGTCGCCAACAAAGAAAAAAAATTTTAGCCAATTGAGGACCACTGCTGGTCGCATACATGTTAAAATGGGAAAACAATGTTTAATTTCCAAAAGCCCTTTCTGTAGAGAGGTTGGGTAATAGCATTATAAAAGTATCAAACGATCTTGCATCTTGAAAACAGTTATAATTCAAACAACACATGGCGCTCTCATTTGCCATTTCCAACTTGAGATTGCGAATTTGCTTATGATTTGAGTGTTTACGGCGGATTTTTAGGAGGTAACATTTGTTTTGCCGCACTAGGCCCTCCTAACTGCCATAATGTCTGCGGTTAAGGCCTTACATGTTTACAAGCACTGATAACTCAATTTTCTGGTACGATTTTAATTTTTGTTGTTTATAAAATGAGGTTATTTTAAGATTTCGTTGATGTAAGAAATGTCTGGAAAGAACTTAGTAGATACAAGGCTTGAATTATCTAATGAAAGTTCGAAAGCCGAAGATGGTTTAAATCTTTAAAAAAAGCTTCATGTCCAAGGCAAACTGCCGAATTTTATCAGTCTTGTATGAGTAGAACGGATTGTAAAGCAGTCAAATAATGTAATTCCCCTGTAACTTGGATCTTGTATTGTTTTTCGATCACACTGCCAGAAACCCTTTTGTTTACTCAGATTTGTTAGGAAGATCAGGTTTATTGAGATACCTATACTGTAAATAAAGACCCAACTAGCTTAATAAATAATACCATATGGCATAGGAATATAAGGGTGTTCTACCCAAACCTCTCTGAGCGGCAGGCCAAAGAAAAGCAAAATAATGTTTAAGCTGCGAGAACCGATTTGTATTTTGACTGTTTCACGTGTTTGCGTGCTGGAGCCTACTTTACAAACCACTAAAGATATCATAGTTGTAACTGCACTTTCCAATTGCCTTGTAGAATCGATTTGAATTTTATTTATCGATTTCGAGTCATTTTCTTTTGAGGAATAAAAGCAACTTCGTCTAAGATGTAGTTTAACGTCATTTGTGTTTTCTGGCAAAAACCCGTTTCTTTAACTACAAAAGACGATTGGGTAAAACTGCCTCGACAATTGCTTGAAAACAATTCCGGATGCCTAGAAGACTCGGTATTAAATCTACTGTGTTGAAAAAGCAGATATCCGTTGATCCCAACGAATACGAATGAATTGATTTGCAATCTTATTTAATATAATAGAGAAATGATGACAATGTTAAGAAAGAAAACACTTCCAAGATGTGTTTCTTAGACCATTAACATTTTACGGAAACCTCTGCGAATCAAGACTCGACACGCTAAGCTGGTGAAAATTTAAAGCCTTTAGTTTAACCACCAAATTCATTACATTGAAAAATTCATCAAGTCGTGGTAAGTTTAATTTTTCAGATTTGCAACCACAGCAAAGAAACCCAAATGCAAACTTGAACTCAAATATTGTATTTTGTCAATATATTCGTTTCACAAAACAGCTTAGCTTTAATCTGAAAAGACAAATCTCGTAAAAGATTCTTACTTAGATTGGCTTTTTACCAGCAAAGCGATGTTTTAAAAGATCTTCGATCTGCGAGGAAATGAGTTTAAAACTGTATTGGTTCGCTTGCTATTTACTATACTGATTGAGGTAAATCGCTTAGCGCCTTAGGCGTTCGAAACAATGGTTGTGGTGGTGGAAGACACGATTTTCTATCTTCTCTTACGGTGAATAGGAATTACATCTCAATGATACATTACAGATATCGTAGTTATACGCAGTTGGTAAAACGGCCCGTATTTTGTCGTCGTTCCCTACCGTCTAAGTTCGTCAAGGTTTACTGAAAACAGAAAATATGACTCAGGAGGATATTTGCATAATGTGGCAAACAGAAAAGGAGCCAAAACTATCTCGCTGTCGGTCAGACTGTGGTGTCTTTCAAAACATTTGAATCATATGGCTGTGAATGCTAGTTTTCGACTAAACAGTATAAAAATTCTGTCCAGTGAGCATTTGGGCAATGTCTTTTGTTGACATTCGAGCTTTAAGAAACCTGGTTACCAAGAAGTATACCGCGATATTTTTTTTTGCAGTCTCTTGGTGGAATTGCTGTGATGATCCGCTGTGTGTGATGACAATTTTCTTTAACGTTTTGTTATCAAAGCAGGATTAATTTGCATTTAAGGGTTATCAACAATTTTGCCAATTATGCATGGATGCTTTTCGCGGTCATCGTGTAAATAAATCGCCAATTGATTTGCGTAAGAAAAATAAGGTTTTTCTACCGTTTTTCCCTCTATTCTTTCTTAAAACATCCCCGTGTTATTTCTTTATGTTAACAGGTCTTTGAAGTCAGGACTTAACATCGACAAACATGAGGTTTCCGTCGACAATATTATTCTGGATGACTTTAGGAAACGCTATTTGGAGATTGGCTGAAGCAGAAGAAGAAAAGTAAGATATTATTTCATTCCGTTAAACTTTTTACACGAGCCCTTACGAAAAGTTATTTTCAAACAGTATTATGTGTAAGAAAATGTTCTGTGTTCCCTGCTGGTATATGATAAGAAAATAACCGACTTATTCGGCCATACGTACTTCGCCATTGGGGATAAGAAGGAAAACATAGAGTTATGATATTTCCTCATATCTGATCTGTAAGGAGTACATTGATTAGCTCTATTGTAAGTAATCATAACCAGTTCCTCTTTTTGCCGACCTCTGCCACAGTTTGCCTTCTCAAGTGCGATGATCTGTTCTTCGTAAATAATATATGTTTGAACGGCATGCAGTATTGATCTTTTTCAAGGTGATATTGTTGTACAGAAAGCCACTAATATTAACCATAGCAAGTGAACAGCGATGCAAAAAAAAAAAATTTTCTGAGCTCCGCCAGTAAAGGGGAAGACAAATAAAAGTTTTAATGAAGATGAGTTCAAGCGGCTCGGAAAAAATACCCTTATTTTCCTCTCTCATATCGCAACAGGGAATCCAGGCCATACTTTAAATAAACGAGTTGCACTTAACAGGAAAGGAAGTGCAGACGTTTTTAGACGCCGATGGCGATCAAAGTCCTCTTACAGCAATAATACGGGAAGTTCCTGTTTTTTGCATTTAAAACGAAATAGCACAAACAAAAGATACCTGAAATGTCCCTGAAAAAGAAAATTTGAACTTCCTGTTACCCTCCTCCTCTCAAAAACATCGTCACAGAAATTCAGTTTCACAATATCCTGCCCACCTACGACTTCAGCTCGATGGCAATTCAAATAAAAACGACCGATGCACTAATTAGATGCACCTGATGTCGTCAAAAGATCATTGTCGTGTGCTTACATATGCTGCCATTAAAACAAGATGAAATAGAATAAGTTAAAATCATATAAATGAAATAGTATAACAAAATCAGTTAAAAAAAATGGATTTGGCATTACCCTTAAAACTCATTTAGATCCAAGAACATTTTATCTCTGCCCTTAACTCTACTCTGTGCTGTGATTTAAATTTCAAAGATGTTGTAAAATTTACCATCTGAATGAGCAAATTAATAATTTGATAGATAAATAGATAGATCCTTGAATGATTAAGGGAAAAGTTTTTGAGGAGCCTTTATTCTTTGTCAAGGGCTCTTATGAGAAATAAATGAATTAAATGATTTTCTGACCTGTTGATGCAACCACAGGCGTCCCTAGCTCACGCTGGTAATGCTACCAAATGAGGCATTAATCCTCAAAGGTAAACTTCATTTGACGGAATTACCGAAGAGAAAACGAAGCTTGAAAAAACTGTGGCCTCGATGGAACACCAATAACGTTTACCTTGTCATCATTATGTGTCTAGGTGTTCGAAACACATCTAAGCATGAATTTACTTCAGACTTCGCTTTATGTAATTTCGTGATTGCATTGCCCCTGAGAGGAAAACTTTTTAATTCATTTTTTTTACATTTACATACTGAAAGTGACCTTGAGGAGCAACACAGGTTTATGATTTTTTCGCGTTTTCCATGATAGGTCCCTTAAATATTATGAAAAGTCGATGGAAGAGGCCTTACAGCTTGCCAACAAGATAAATGCTGCTTTAGCTGTGCATGACAAGAAGGTTCGACCAAACGCTGGAGGTGAGATGATAAATCAGGAGACATGTTAATCTTTAAACGAAAATCACTGATCAAATAGATAAGAAAAAAAAAATCCTTCAAACTAGACTAGAAGTCGGGATGCTTCCATAAGCTGTAGTGATTTTTTCCTCCAATCCCGATAAGGTAATGGATGGGCTTATTGATTCAGATGAATAACTCTTAAATTGTAAGACATAGTAACAGATGTTTCTCCATTATACTCTACTGCACACTAAGACTTTCACTGAGCCACATGGACTAATTCTCTCTCTCAGGTCCTCCTGTAATGGTTGATGTAGAATTCAAGATCATTTCGATTGGTGAGATTAAAGAGGCTAGCATGGTAAGAAATAAATCTACTATAGGATAGAAAGGTTTTTGATATCAAAAGAGTGAATTAAGAATTTAGAATATGTAAATTGACGAATAAATTATTTTATCCCCTCTGAAAGGAATACACAATGGATATCTTCTTTCGTCAATGGTGGGTTGATCCAAGGCTGGCGCACAATTTCAGCACTCCATTCAACATGGCAGGGGACGCTACCAAGTTGATTTGGACACCAGATACATTTTTTTGGAACGTAAAAGCTGCCAAATACCACAAAGTAACACGGGAGAACATGAGAATCAAAATCCACGGCGATGGAAAAGTGTATTTCAGTACTAGGTAAGACTAAGTTCCGGGCTCAAACAAGTTTCCCAAGAAGGTTATTGGTTTTTTTTTTTATTTCAATGCTAAAGCTGTTTTTCCTTGTTTTGAATACAGGATTACCTTTACGGCTCAGTGTGACATGAATCTTCGCTTGTATCCAATGGATATTCAAGTTTGTCCATTGACCATTGAAAGCTGTGAGTAGGATGTTTCAATCTCTAAAGACCAGGATGACTTCATCAGTTGCTTTTAATGAATTTTGATACTCTTAAGAGAAGTGACTACAATTAAGAACCCGATTGTTGAATAGATTTTGATACACCAATTGTTACTCACCTTTTACTATTCATCACTAGATGCACATACCACAGCTGATGTTGATTATCGATGGAAAGGAGGAAAGTCACAGGGTGTTGAAATCGTCTCTAAAGAAATGGCCCAGTTTGAGTTTGTTGGTGCGAAAACCTCAACCAAAGCAAACACCAATAGTAAAGGTGAGATAGGAAAAGCTAAATATTTTGCGAAATATCGTTGAACCATGAAAATAATCCACATGAAAATTAACATTCTTGTCTTTACGATGAAACTGAGTATTTTGATTTTAGCAGTGATATTTTTTGTTCAAAGACCGGAGGCAAATCCGATGTATTAGATTCCTTTCCTCTTCAAACTTGAAATGCATTTAAAAAATTTTGAGACTACTCCATAGAAAAATAAAAGAGGAGAGTTATTGATTCATTGAAAACTGTGCTATCCTTTGTTTTAAGGTTCTTTTGCCAGCCTGCGGGCATTTTTCACATTCAAGCGTCGCGTGTCGTACTTCATCACAGCGACCTACATGCCTGCTATGGTCCTTGTGATCCTCAGCTGGTGTTGCTTCTGGATCACCCGCGCTGCTGTACCAGCCCGAGTCACCCTCTCCATAACAACAATTTTAACCACCATACTACTCTACGGTTCGGTCAATTCTAATATGCCTAAGGTAGTTATTCAGTTATCAGACAAGTGAATGAATTTGCATCTTCAGCCTAATGAATGTCGAGGGCTGTGTTAAGCTGTGCAATTGTATTTTAAATACTATCGAATTCAGTATCTTTTTGAAAGTCCTCTTGTTGGAATCAGAAATAGTTTTTGTTGTTAACAAGGAAGGGTGTGGTTTGGATGGTAATCTTGGATCTGATTTATGAAGGTTAGGCTTGTCGCTGTCTCACCATAGCTCGGATTCTTTTTCTTCTTTTTCTGGATTATTCCGTTTTTCTTTCCCAAAAATAATTCAAAGTGTCAAATTCTAGTTCAACCTTGCTTCAAACAAGCGTTAAAAGCTTTTCAGCTCTTAAGCTCTTCAGTGAGTGAAAAAGCTACTTTATTTTGTGCTTGACAGAAAAATAAAAAACTCTGATGCATACTTCGATAATTTGTTCCAAATTTTATTCCAATTTTTTAACAGGTGAGCTACAGTAAAGCCATTGACTACTTCCTCATGACATCATTGGGATTTATCTTTATGTCACTTCTGGAGTTCATTCTCGTCCTCAACACGGATCCACGCTTCTGGACTCAAAGGCAAAGAGAGCAAAAGGCTGAAAAATTGAAGTCACTTTACAAAGTAATGACTTAAGACAGCTTGTCAATACTGCATTCTGTAAGACATTGTTAAGTGCTCGGAGGCCATCCATAAGGCCGCCTTATTTGCACCTACTTTAGAGACATACGCTTTAGAGAAATTTGCTCTTTTTTCTTAACCCTTTCACCTGTCAGCTGGAAACGAACGGCGTGAAGAAGTTTGAAAGATGAACAAAAGGGTAATTGTAATGCTATACGAATCATTAAAAACGTTAAGTGGAAACTGGAAATAACTGTTCGGAAGTCATGGTGACGAGCACTGTCGACGTAAAAGGATTTGAAACCTGTCACAAAAAGGGAATTGTAGGAAAGCATTTGGGATTGTACATACAGCTAATTGACGCGGTTATTGGTATTTTCGATGGATAGCAGTGCCAACCATGGCAAATGGACAACCACAATTCATTTATTATCATTTAGTCTACTTTTGTCAGAGCTTAATGATGCAAAAGCTAAAACATGGTAAAATGCCAAACCTGACGGCGGCGTCGTGCAAACTATTGCTTCTTCATTTCATTTTTACTTGGCAGAAAAGTAACGTAGAAAAGAAAAAATTGGTAATGCAATATCGTTTTATTTATCACTCAGGAAACTCCAGCCGAGACTGTTGTCACGCTCATGGACGGCAAGGCTAAACCAACCGATATTCTTAAGGAAAGCACAGACATGACTCCTCTTAATGGCCCAACCAAAGAACGTGAGAAGGATCCACCAAAGGCACCAGAAGCACCACCAGCTGCCAAGACCCATTGGATCGATTACGTCGCTCGTATTCTTTTCCCCATTGTCTACTTCTCCTTTGTAACATTCTATTGGATATACTACATTAACCATCCTGAGTCAGCCATGGGTGGAGTTACTGAGTGATGCTCAGTCAGTACCTTGTCGGAAGTTGACTTAAAGTTTGTGAGCGTATTGTAAACTACATATGGTGTTGTAGCTTTTCTTCTTTCGCTATAGCTCATATTAATTCTTTTAGCTGGACTCCGTCACATGAGAAAAGTGCTTAATAATTTATAAAAAAGCAAAAATCAAAAAGAGCTCTCAAAATATTAGTTCTAACTTCTCTTCAGCCTCAAATTGATTACTAAAAGTAATGTGTTAAATACTAAGCTCAAGGTGAATTTTCACGTTGATATGTGTTTGCAAGGGTGGACTAAAATCACTGGAAAAGAGGGTTATTTGAGGGAGTACGGTCATCTTATCGGTGCGTAATTCAGACTCATCTTTGGAGGCAAGTATAAAAGTAGTGGTATGGTCTTTTTTAATAATTTTGGGAAAATTTTGTTTCATAATATGCATATCAAAAGCTGCTTTACGAAGAGGAAATCTGTCTTGCTCTAAGCAATTATCCCAAGAAATTACTTTAGCTGCTCTGTTGTATTTTTCGAGAACTTGAATTCTCCTTGGGGTCGTAGAAACAAAATAAAACAGAAAAGGTCAGCTAAGTCGCGTTTTGTAACTGTGCAGCGCGCGCCCTCCTTAAGAATGAATACGCGTTTTATTTTGGTTCAAATATGATTTCGAAATTACGACTTAGAGTTCATAATGATGAATAAATAGCGGAAACGTTTGGTTAGGTGGAATGGGAATACACTTGGCCCTCATCTAGTGAGAGAGCCTGTCAGTAAGACGCCTTACTTTTTTCGATGCAAAATCCTTACGACTAGAGTTTAAGTCAGAATAACGACGGATTAATTTATCAGCTGTTAAAAAAATGAGATGTTTATATTAATGGGAGCATAATATTAGAACTAGAACACAACCTATTTCACTTAGCTTATGTAACAGAACACCTACAGTAGTTACATGACGGTTCCAGATTCTAATAATTTGGTAAACTAATTTTTTTCGCGGTCTATCGAAAGGGAAAAAACACCCACACAAAGACAAACAAGAGTGAAAAACTTGTAGATGCAGCGCGGTATGTTTTCCTTACCAGAAAATAATTTATCATTTGATCACAAGCCTCAGAGGTAGCTAACTCATTCCATGGAATGTTCATTTATAGTACAGCAGAATGATGTCCGGTCGATTGCTAATTTAAGAGACAAGAAATACAAATCGAGCATTTATAATTAGTGTAGTGGATGTTTTCACATCTTGTCCTTGTTCTGCAAATAGCACGCGCCACTTTAAAAAGAGAGATAGAAAAAGACAGAGTCTGAGTTAGTGTCAAATTTGGTATTTAATTTAAGTATAATTTATCAAAATGAATCTTTTTAAAATATACACGACCGCGATAATATTATTATTAAACGTTAAACGTATTGAATTCGTGGCAATTATTACAGATGTTAAGCTTACAACTTGCAATAAGCGTCATTGTAAAACATTTCCAAACAATTGTTTAATGATTTCAAGAGGAACTTCTAAGGAGAAAAGAAGTCATCTTCGAATTTCCTATTTGGAAAAACTTATTGATCGTTTTAATATTAATGTAAGGACAAAATTCTCACGTTCTTGAACTTTATTAAGAAGACATCGACGTCTGTTCTCTGAAATTGCTAATATGGCAATGTCTTCTTGATAATATGTAAATAAAAAGCTCTTTATTAACAGCTAATAAAAGCTGCGTGACATTTGGTGAATTGAATTGAGAATCTCATTTGAGTGCATCTTATTAAGTACCTAGAAGAAACGACGCAGTTTCATGTTATGTGAATAACGATATTCCTACAGTGTACATGACAAGCATAAATGGGTAAATTTCTGAAGAAACTGTGGTGCTGCGTCGGTGGTAGAGTATAACAAGGTAATTTCGTAAATTGGCCACCGAAAAGAGTTTCAAAGCTCACCTTTCGAGCGTTAGCCCTTTGTAAGAGCGAATGTTACGTTATCAACTAAGTCGATAATACCAAATTACCTTGTTATTTGACAAGCAGTCGATGTTTTTTCAGTGGGGATAACCTGCGGTTATATTCTCTCAACTTATCATGCGTTTTTCTCGGGATGTAATAAAATCTCCACACACTGAGAAATTGTGGATAAACATCCTGAAAGACCATAAAATCTCGGGGTTATCAAGAAATCCAGATGATCTGGAACAAAATAAAACAAGCGTAGGATGACTCACTAGGAATGCGGAGTAGTAATGCCACAGTGTGTATTGGGAAGCCCACTCCCCCCTGATTTTGACCTCCTCATTTGGTGTTTAAAGAACGTCAGTACGCAGCGACCCTACTGAGTCTTAAGGAATGACCTCAACCTCGTTTTTGTTGCGAGGTTGACTCTGCAAGAATAAAACTCTGCCACCGCGTGATAAAACTATATGAGGTAAGAAACGTGCCAAATCTTGACCTCAGTTATGTAGTAGAGAAAGGTGCCATTTTATTAATCACGAGCATGGGAAAAAAGGGAGCTCTGATCCATCCATGAAAAATCGATATTTTGATCTCTAGCTTCCGTCAGCGCTCAAGACTACCGGGTACTCTATAGTGACCTTGGCCAAAACTGGGTTCATATGTCCTTACCAAGCTGGTTTCTGCTCTTCGTCCCTGCTTCAAAGTAATTCAGATTTCAACAAGAGGCACAAACAGTGGACAAAGAACCATGTCGTGGATGTTGTACTGTACGAAACTAAAATGTTTTCAATTATCGCATGACCTATGAAGGTCAGAGGAGAGCATTCAATACTAGTGATCTAAAAGATCATTTAAAATTGTTCTGTGCTTCAATAAATCTAAAAGGTTAAATAAAGTGGTTGAAAGATAATTTTGTGATTAAAAATTTTCAATTCCTCAAAAACTCACAACTGGCTTTTTATTTCCTTTTATGGTAGATGCATTATTATGCGTCTAATTACCTTATGGCATAAAGCATAGGTTACACATGTAAACAGCAATAGGTCTTGCATGAAAAATCCATGAGTCATCTATCCTCTCAGACTACGTTATCTCAGTTCTAAAACTCTAAGAATTACACGCTTACCTTGTTAGTAAGTTACTTTGTTATAGTTAAGACGATGACTTGTTGAAGAAGCTCAGACGTGTGGCGAGGGACTTATCAGTGAGCGAACTCGTTAATTTGTTGATAAGCATATGAGTGCGGGAGTCAACGAGTTACTGAGTCAGTCGGTAAGTCGGTGAGTCAGTGAGTTACAATTCCGTCAGTTAGTGATTGAGTCATTGAGTGACTCAGAGAGTCAATCGGTATGTCAGTGTATGAGTATGTACGAGTATAATTGGTTAGTCAGCCGTTTCTTCAGCTAGTTAGGTAGTTGGCTTATTATTTAGTAATTTGGTTTTTTGATGAAAGTTTGTTATTAAGAGTTATTTTATGAATTTTCCATTAAATGACAAGTTGATTACTTCACTCTCGGTGAACTACTTCATTACTTTACTAGTTATTCCCTTAATTAGTAAGCCTGAACAAGTTTGTTAGTTAGTGGGTAATTAAACTTGCTTAGATGTAAGCTGGCAGGATAGAAATTGCAATTAGTCAAAGAAGCTCGGTGGTAAGTTTTTATTCTGTTATCTAGAATGCTTGCTATTTTACACATATGACGTGCACTCAGATGGCTAAAAAGAAGATTTTCGAATTGAATCCTTCAGAATAAATATTTGGGCGCTTCAATTTAGTCCTCTTATGAATAATACTCCTATTGATGGCATTCTGAGTTGGTTTTCGATCATTTGTGTGCAGATTTCGGACTAAGAATATTTGGGTGGTCACTGCGTTTTTCGCCTGTTGAGCTAAGTAACTTGTGAAATTTTAATATGTCGAACGAAGACGCCCATTTTTCACTGAACATTTTCGATTCCTTTATTATCCGTCCCTGTTCCCAAAAGCAATAAATAATCACTACTGTAAAGATTTAGTCTCAGTTCTAACGAAACATGGTTCGGGAGCTCAGCTACAATTACTTCATAAAACCCAGCGTTTACTGATCATGAAAGATTACTTGCAATTTTATGCTTTGTTTAAACATTCAGAGAACTTATATTACTTAACAGCGCTTATCGATTAAGAGTGCCCCCAAATTTTACATGTAAAAAATCATTGTTTAAAAAAAAAAACTTGCATCAAATAAATTATGGTTAAAAAAAAACAATCTTAAGTCAGTGATTTTTAGAGTGGTGCTTGATCTACAAATTTACGCCAAAACAAAACAAGGAAGGCAACGTAACTGGCTGGGAAGATAATTCGGGAAATTATGTCGACCCAGTGGGAGCTGATTTTTTCCCTCTTTTTAGGTGGGTCTTTATTTATAGGTTTGACCTGAATCTTGCCTTGATGCATTGCACCCGTGTTATCGAATAACATCACTGTAGCTCCTTGGCCTCCGTTAGAGACCACTACTCGCTGAGTAAGTGTGTGACCACACCCTCCCACGTGGCTATTTACTGCGGGTGTACTAGTTTCAGGGGAGTGGCTGATCTCAGCGTCGATGAGTTCTGTATCTGGCTCAGTGTTAGAGCTATTCTGTGAAGTAATTGAAAGATTACTTTTTAAGAAACAAAATTAAGAAAAATACTGTACAATCACATTTAAAAGACTCCCCCTATGGGTTTCAAGCTAGTGATGAACTTGCAAACTAATCAAAGTTCATGTGCTCGTGTTTGAGCGAGGGAAATTAACTAGCTAACTAGCATACCAATTAAGCACCTAAACAAACGCATAATAAGCCAAGTGACTTGATAAATGACTAACTCAGAACTCAACAGATGCTCAATTAGTTTACTTAACAACTTGATAATTAACTGATTGAATGACATACTGACGAGCTTACTAATCTACTGAATGGCTAATTAATTATCCAACGTATTGACTTACAAACTGAGAGATTGACTGATAAGTTAACTTACCTTTGAGGTTAGTGAGGCACGAAAATACAAAGGAAATATCACAACATAAGATATATATACAGATATATTTTTACCAAAAGGTGATGCTCGACTGAGTCTGACTAGTGGAGATGCAGGTTATTATGCATTTGTTTCCAATCTTACTATGAGAAGAGATCGATTAGAATAAGGCTGCAGCGCCAGTGGCTAAGAAACTACAGACTAATGCATACCTCAAAGATACCAGTCAGAACAAGAAGCTAATAAAGATTTTTACCTCTTTCTCGTGTACGGCATCCATAAGTTTTAGTGGCTGTTTTCCTCTCTATTTGTTAACAAATATAAGGTATTGTGGTAAACAAAAACATAAATTTTATATAGTTCGCCGGTAAAAAAAGAACACTTCCAGAAATGAATGCAAATTGATAAAGTACATGATTAAGAGCAAGAAAACTGGTTGAGTTGATATAAAAATTTGGTGATATTACCTTTTTGGGTCGTAATCTCACGCACGCCAAGAGACATTGCAGCCATTTAGGGTCAGGATCAGTGTTCAATACAATCACAAACTCCAGAAATGAAAGGAAAATGAACCCAAAGCTGACTAGTAAGAAATAGTCTTGAGCCTTACTGTAACTGACTGGTGGCATGGCTTCGTTCACTGAGCCGCAAAGCACGATGGCTGTAAGAATTATTGTGATACCCAGTGACGCACGTGCGGGAACAGCATCACGGGAAATCCAGAAACAGCACCATGAGAGCATGACAAGAGTCACTCCTGGAGAGAAAACCGAAGAAACGAAATATTCCAGACGGCGTTTGAACGAGAATATAACGCTCAGACCGGCGAACGAACCTGCATGTCAAAATGGAAAAAATACCACACGATGTAGTAAGAATTACGCATTCAAAATCAATGATTTCAAATGCAAACGAGGGATCACCGTGATTTTGTTTTCATAGCTGTTCAGAGGGGGATCTACGAGTCTCTTGTGATCCGCCATTGTTACGTCACACCACCTCGTCAATTCGAGGAAATTCATCCGAAAGAAAGGTCAGGAACTTAAATAAAAATTCATCAGCTTGATACCTTTGCTGTTCTTTGTGTCTCTTAGTTTCGTGTCTATGCCAGCCAACTCAAACTGAGCCATCTCTTGGGAAACAATTTCGATCCCTTTTCCTTTGTTTGCGTCAGTTTTTCTCCATTTATAATCCACGTCATCAGTAGTATGAGCATCTAAAATGATAAGTAAATCAGCCAAACGATGAGGCATACTCATTACCTTCTCCAGCATTGCAAATTGTATCATTTCTAGAGTGTGATTGGTTAAGCAAAGAGAAACTGGAGAAAGATAATTAAAATTTTAAAAAACGTAAGAGGGAGTCCTCGGTAAATATTTGGACTTCAAACCTCCAATCTCTCGATAGGATTCACCCTAAAAACATTGCGGTGAAGAGGGCTTGTTGGAAGCCTGGCTGTAAAATTATGCTGAGTTCTCAAAACGATGTTACTTCTCCGAAATCGAAGTGAATATTCTCTAAAGAAGTAAATTTCAGAAAGAATAGGGCATTCTTCTGCTTTTTATTCATTTCTCAGTTTGACTGAAAAAAAATTGAAGTAATACTTAAATAATCTTTGTAATGTTTGCAAAACAAGATCAGACCACTCCAACTTTGATATCGAGTAACAGACGTACTCACAGCTTTCAATGATCAGAGGACAGTGTTGGGTATCCATTGGGTAAAGTCGGAAGTCCATGTCACATTGCGCCGTCAAGGTTATTCTGCAAAGAAAATGGAAACAGATATCACCAAAAGATATTGAGAATATTTTGTTTGTCATTTTAGTTGCTTTGGGTAATAGAACATTTCATCTGAAGGCTCGAAATAATTTCTAAGAACATATCGCCTTTGGCCTCCGTGAGGTACGTACTGGAGCGGAAGAAATGTCCCCTTAAATAAATATTCAGTATGTTGTATTGTGGCTGTTATGACAATTTACCCCACTTTACTCTTCAAAAATTCAATAATTATTCAAAATATTTCCTGAAATTAGAAGTACCAGACTAAATTACTCCTTCGCTTCCACCAGTTGAATTTTATTCGCCAAAATTTAAGCCTGCCCATCATTATTCTCGTGAATATCATATAGCTTCTAAGGTTCACGTTTACGGACGAAAAACATTTGCATTACCTTGCGCTGAAGTATATTTTCCCTGTGGAGTAAATCATAACTCGCATGTTCTCGCGAGTGACATAATGGTACTTTATTCTTTTTACATTAAAGAAATATGTGTCCGGAGTCCAGAAAAGCTTGGAAGGATCTCCTGCCATGTTAAATGGTGTACTAGAATTATGCCTGAACCTTGGATCGTACCACCACTGGCGGAAGAAAATGTCCATCGAATAATCCTGGTTTTTAAAGAAATGAAAGATAATCAGAAGTCCAAGTAAAATTGGTTTACTACTATAGCAATGATGTAGCTATCAGTTGTCGCTAGTGATTGCGTGAACATTGGGTTTGTCAAGGAAAGGTGACTATGATTATTAATAGAAACATCTTTGCATGGGCTCAGTTGTCACTGCTATACTGGAGTAGTAGCACCCTGGGGAATATTCTCTACGCCTAGTTGTATGTCTTCTCCCGATTAACAACGATCTTCAATCTTCATTGTAGAATCTCCATAAGGTGTGAGTTGATAGATTTTTAATTTAGATGACTCAGCGTCGGTTGATTGAATTACTATTCACTTATCTTCACTCTTCGTTGTCACTCAAAAACTATCTCAGTAAAACAACTGAGGTAGGCTACTGCATGCTATAAAGTGCAATCCCTCGGGACTTGCCATGGAAGACAGCACTCAACAGATAGTTGAGAGCCTCACACCAAAGAAATAAATATAACATCTTTAGTACCATGTTTGCCTCGTTCAGCTCTCCAAAGGAAACAACTTTGATCTCCACGGTGATTTCAACAGGTTCACCTATTGAAAAGTAAACCAAAGAAAGAATCAGTTATACGAATTGCACCCTCAGGGAACAATGGGTAAATTAAGTGAAGGTGGTTGAGAATATGTGGGGATAGGGATGCTTTAAGCAGAAAAGCCTTCCTGTTTTCTACCCGAGAGTATTAGTTAAACAATAGCTCAGAGTCGATGTCCAAACATTGACAGACGGTAGAAATGCATTTGTGAATTCTATGGTTTGGTAAAGGAATGGAAAATCAAGGAATTCTGGTATTATGAATATAAACGCTAACGTTAGCGATTTGTGCCGTAGCTGATTTGATTGCAGTTAGATGCATTTGTGATTTCTTAAGCAGCTTACCTCCGGCATTAGGGCGGAGTTTAGGGTCATAATTGGCTAGTATTTCATTAATGGTAGAAGATAAATTGGCAGCCTCTTCCTTGCCACGTACCCAGTCTTCATCCTCCTCCAAAGACCTGTTTTATGAGACATCTAATTATTTAGGATGTAACCTGTATATATCAAATCACGCGTTATATAAAACATTTTGAACGTAAGTAGATATACTTAGTACCTAATTCTCTAACAGCCGAAGCCGGTGTCTAGAAAACACGTTGGTTCGCAGGTGTCAGTTGGTAATCTTTAGTGTAAGTAGGATCATTATGACATCACTTTAACGCTGTGCTTATGAGGGTTACATAACACCTCTAGCGATAACAGACAGGTGAAATTTCTGTTACAGGAAATACTGATACTTAAGTTCTAATTATCAGCCAAACATGCTTTCAAAAATGCATCCTCGTACGACTTTTTAACCATTCATTCCATCCTTAATTAGACCCTCAAACTAGTATGATGAAATCTCATCCGGCTTCGAAGAATACCAAATGAAACGGTGTGAACTTCCTGTCATACATTATGCATCGTTTATTGCGGGTAGCTGTTTGTAACTGCTGTCTTAATCGATTCCTCTAGAATTAATGGCTACTTGTCTCAGTCCAAGGCACTATTTTTAGGTTTGCTGCTTTTGACTTTTTTCTCATTCTACCAAGTTACATACTGATGTAAAGTAGAAATCATTCTTTCCCCCCTTACTTGAATGTCAGTGATAAATTGATATTTCCAAAAGAGTAAGTCATATCTTTCAATAGACAAGGTCATAACAAAACAGGATGCAGTGCTGTGTTTGATGATAAACACGAGAAAGGAAAACATCGATGAAAAGATACTTTTCAAATAAAACATGAACGTTAATTAGTAAAAACTGGCAGTCATCTCATTCGAATCAAGGTCGCTTTTAAGTGTTATTTTCTGGCGATCTTCTTTCTAGTTTAATAGGTATTTTGACATTTCCTATAAGTCCAATACTTCAGAGGTTTGGCCGGCGATATAATGCATAACTAACTACGAAGCTCTCTTCTTTGTTTTGTTAAGTTTCCAACCAGGCTATGTTTTGTGACAGTCACTTTTGGTAACTTTTGCCATAGATGTGAAGCGAATCAGAATTTTGCATTTGGAAACTTAAGAAAGAAACCAGGAGTTACCAACTTAAGTCTTAGGAATGTGTCAGCGTTTTAGTTCATTCACGAAGCTTTTTGCTTCAAATGATACCCGCATTCTCGTACAAACATGTGGGATAAGTATGAAATGACTAATGAATAAAGGATCGATTTAAGGAAAGAATAATTCATTACTAGTATCGTTCGGCCATAAACTTAAAAGAAGAAAAAGCCTTAAAAAATTATTTGTTTTCTTTGTATAGCAAACCTACAGTTCTCATCAAATTTTGGAACCCGTGAACGCGAAATTCATAGGTTCGCGTGTTTTTATAAATAGACAAATTACCTTTCGTGTCGGTGGCCTGTAATCGAAAACCCATGGCAGGAAGAAGCTGCTAACAGTAACAAAGTCACCAGTGCATGTGGCAAACTCATTCTGAAATCCAACGTATTGAAGAGTGATAAACGTAACCTCAAAATTTTGCGATAGATCGAATCCGAGAGATTTCTAAGGATTTATAATATAGAGGTATTTAAGGTAAACATATCTTACTTGTTAGCTTCGATCCAATGACGAAAAAACTTGCGGTTAAGATTAAGAAGTCAGCTAAAATATTCACTTAAGTTCGGGAAAAACAATTTTTGACAGTACTAGTTCAGTAATAATATTTCTTTCTATGGGAGGTTTGGCAATAACTATTCGTAACCAAGAAATTTGCAAAACAATCAATTAGCCGCATTGTACCTAGCCAATTTGTCAAACTATCAATAATACATAGTCTCATAATATTTGCGCGCTCGATTTTTCAATACAAGTTCAGGCACATTTACAGACTGTAATATAATGTAACACGTGACTTTTGATGTAGATTCTTAAGACATTTTGGTTATTCGTTCTATATGAATAAATTACTAAGCTCTCGATATTTTTTGGTTCGATGAAAATTATTATTTCATAGGGAGCCAAAATAAATGAATTCAGGCTACAGTTTTACCCGGCTGAAGCGCTGCCATGCAGCGAGCTCAGCAGGTCGATAATAAGAAATGACAGGTGGGTGTCCTCGTAAACCTAACTCATACTTGTACTTTTTGTTCGAATGTTACTGAGAAGTATCTAACACATAATGCAGAGCTGAACAACTAATATGAAGAAGGCAGAGGTGAAAAGTTTAAAATGAAAACGAGTGATTCCCTCTTTAGTGTTTTTTGTTTTAGAAGTAGTGAACTTGACGAAAAAGCAGGGCCTACTGTTGCAAAGTTGAAATAGATGGATGATGTTCCATGTTGCGACTTTGACTTTTTCCTGATTCTTGATACGTTCAAAATCCTCCTCGCTGTACAATTTATAGACATAAAAATTAAAACCTCTTGCACAGTGTGGACAAAAAACTATCCGTTTCCTTCGCCAACTGGTAAAGATGTTAGCTTCTTTGCAAAATTTTACCTCCCGTGACATGTTGTTTTGAGCAGTTGGAGGTCAGATTCGAACCAATTCGAAATTGAAAAGTTTCAAATAAGTTACTTTTATGTTACTTTATCTCAAAACTCGTCATTGCGCTTTTTTGAAGTCGATGGAGATGCGAAAGAGCATGATCATTTAATGTACCGATGAAAATTAAATTTTCCTAGAATTATTTTTAGAAAGCCCCATACAACATTAATTAGGTAAACAATATGCGTAGGTCTGCGACTACGGTTATATTCCGCGGCGATGGGATAGGATCTCTTTTCCTTACAGCGTAATCATAATATCTAACTCTAGATAGCGTTTATATATCTAATACTTAATCGGCAGCCACTGCATGATATAACTGGAGGGATTTTTAGTCTGAAATATCGCAAACCAACATTGAAAAATAATTCGAATTCATTGTTAGTAAACCAAAGAAATTAATGTTAATCCACAACGAAATGTTTGCCCAGCCGTTTACTAACTTTAAAACCGACAACTTACTAAGATAATCAAATCATTTTGTGGCTAAAGTAGAGAACTAGTGAAAGCGAAAGACAAGCCTTTTCTAATCGGGAAGTTTCTCAAGCATTTGCAAAAAGCGGGAGGGCCCCCTTCTGTAATTTCTGCTTGAACTTTTGCATCGCAAATGAGTCTTCAACCGTGCATTATTGTTGTTTTGACACTGGGGAGGCGTTAACATTGCAATTTCTGTCAGTTGAATGAAGAAATGTTTGATATTTGCTAGTTCTCAGGATTTGCTAAACGTAATTGATTTTCCGAATTTATGGAAATGAAAAGCTTGTATGGATGTATTCCAATTTACGATACAACCTTCGACTGTGCATTAGTGCTCATGTTGATGAAAGAGAGGTACCAATATTGTAATCTGTGTCAGTAAAACGAAGAACTGTTTCAGATATTGTCTTTGAGAAAACAAGACGTCAAGTTATTACAAGTTTGTGACAATAAAAGAATTCCCAGGGGTATCTGAGGTCCCCCTGGGAGAACCCACACTTCCCATCTTTTCTGGCATAAAAAATCAGCTTACTTTGCTTTGCTCCGGTGACGAACAGAAAAGTCATCAGGAACTTCAATTAAATTGGTTATGTTCTATATTTATTAAACTTCACGCGTAACGAACCGTAAAAAATTGTCTTTGTTTCTTCCCTTACCTATCATTTAAAATAAAGACATTTTTTTGTGGTTTCGCAAAATTCCATGCAAAAACAATTCCTAACATTTCCAATGAACAAGCAAGTCTGGGCTCAGTTCCTACATGGGTAGTGGAAGCCATAACTTTTAAAAGAATTTTAAACAATGGTTAATTTTTGGGCACCTGATGTTCTTTATTCGTGTTTAAGTGAAAAGGATATCTAACCTACCGCCACAGGTTAGGTCCACAGTTTACTATGTTCCTTTCACAAGATGAGAATTGGCAAATGCAGACTTCATCCCGCGAGAGTCCTGTATGAAATGTGTACAATAAATTGAAAATCTTAAAAGGCAATGCATCGTTCGTATCTCCGTTTTTTTAACCACGTCCGTTGTAAATTTGTTTCACATTTGCTTCATGAAAGGTTATAGTAATAGCTGAAGTGCAGCCTCGGATCCACCCAGCTACAGAAACAATTTGAAAACGTTTAGCATGATCTAACTACAGTTTAAAAAGTAATTCACAGTAAAAGGAATACTCTTTCCTTCCAGACAGATGATACTGAACTGAGGCAAAAGCTTTGATTAGGTACATTATGATGTCGGGGTATTGTTCTGTTCGTTTTCATAGATGAACCCCTAACGGGAGGAAATTGATCTCTATGATTTAACTCAAAAGTGTCACATCACTTATGTCACGGAGGTTTCAGATGAATAGGTTGCTTGTGTTGCTTCGTACTGTAACAAACGTAACTCTTTCCCCAAAAGTTTTACAAGAAGGGTGTTTTGAGTCTTCAAGAGTCAGGTCTTGTTAGGGGTTGATTTAGTTGTCATTTAATGTTCTTTTGCAGCGAGATAAGGGGAAGAGGTGACTTAGGAGAAAAGAGATGAAATGAGGGCGCAAATGATATTGGGCCTGCAAAGAAATGTTCGGTATACCTTTATCACAATTAATCGCCTGCATCTTAGTTGACCAGTTTATGTGCAGTTGTTTTACATGCCTCATTTTGTCTTAAATCTTTATTTATTATCATAGTTAAACAAGCTTGACAACTGTTTATAAACGGGGCAATAACGACTTCCTCTGTGGTGATAATTCTGGACACACTGACGATATGTGCTTTAACTTGTCAAAATTGTTATACATTTTCCCTTAAGATTTGTTCAAGCTCTTACCAAACTTAACGTTAATCCTTATTTAGCAGTAAATCAGAATATATGAATGGGCCAGATAAAAAATGAATTATCCGACTCCCACACCCAGCCTAGTATGGTGTGTGTAGTTGATTAGATATGAAATGTGGCTAAGCACTGTTATTCAATGTGGCCACCTAGAGCTACTTAAAAGTTGAAATATCAGTGAGTAATGAATATTTTTAATACAATAAGAGTAACACGTTCTATAGTCTCCAACTAAGAGCACTCTTGTTAACACTATGAGCCTCTGCAATCGCTATGGTTACTCTCAATTGGTTTGGTTTTTCCAGTATTTACCGAACTTCACTATAAACATGCCTTTGGGTGCATAGGGAATTCTCGAAACATTCTATCAGTTGTTCTATAAGTTTCTGTGCTCTCATACCCAGTGAAGAATGGTACAATCCAAGATTAGCAGTGCGCCTAGACCCCCGTTTTAAATCTGAGATCAAGATTATTCACTGAATTAACTTTTGAACTAATTATCACTGTTGCTTTACTGTGAGGATTGCCATGCACAGTACTACGTTTCGTTTTGGGACTGTGTCCGATGTAAATAGAAGTGTTTCAATATCTTCTAGTACATTTTAGAAAGGTATTAATCGCTAACCCTGGTTTATCCCGCTTTTATATCCGATGGAAAAATGATTTTGATCGCAGTCTCCTCTTTAACTGCAGATTTCATTTACTACATAAAGAGTACGTTTCACAAAATACTTGAAGTAACGGCTAAGAATTAGAAAATCTAGTAACTGATCAAGACGTATATCATATATATTACTTTAATATATTAATTACATGTATTAGGCTTGAACTTCTTAGCATTCTGTCGGTTAGCAGGTAGTTGCATCTAAAACGTATCCCTTAAAAAAAGCACATAGATGACAAATTGCCAAATTGTGATGTCTAAAAGGACGATCATCCTTGGGGAAGCCTGATGAGTTAATAATTAAAACCTGACAAACAGCAAGTACACAGGGTATTTTTTCCGCATGCTTTTCCTAATTATACAGCTGTTTCCCACACTGTCTCTTCCACTACCTCATCGGAGTTGATCTGAGGATCTCCTGCTGTTCCTTGAGCTGCTGAGTGGTCATTGTCAACATCTGTTTTGTTTTGCTCTGTGGAATATTAAAAAAATCCTGAACATATACGTGTTCATTGTCAACAAGCTTTCTGGGGATTTTTTTGCGTTGCCTTAAATTGGACATGATGCCGCAAGTAAGCCTAACATATTTCAAGAAAACATACTCATAATTACTTTCCCTTTGCGTAATTAAAATAAAGGGAATGCATGAACATTTTTGGAACTTCAATAATCGAGTGAATGATGGAGATACTAAAAATTATCTAAACCATACCTTTTCCAGAAGATTTGTCCTCATCCCCTACAAAATCTCTGTGTGGCTCCTCATATTCGGAATTTGCTGCAATATTTTTCTGTGACTTTTTATGACCTTCAGTCTTTGTTTCCGTTGGCTGTGCTTCTATTGTTTCAGAAAAATTATTAGGCTCAGTTTCGGGCTCTTCTGGCTTAGCAGTCTCCGCGTATTTTGTGATCAGCTGCCCTTGGAGTTGGAGTTCAGTATGTTCTTCCCCTGGGTGCTCATGTTTGCGAACCTCCTCTTGCTCTTTTTCAGGTTCCTCTTCGGCTTCTTTGGCTGATTCTGTGTGGAACATGCAAATTTGAGAGATTTGTAAATGTTGTCAGGGAATGTGTGTACTGTTTCTTTCGATGGTAAGTAAACGAGTAAATTAAACAACATTATCAAAAGCATAAACTGTCAAAGTTGCGCTGGTTCTTCCATGAAATGTATCCCCTCGGTAAGCCAGTAAAGCCAAACATCAGCGGATGTCTATACCTGTTCCAGCTTGGGTTCGACCACACTTTGTCATAAAGTAGTTGCACAGCTGTTGCCATTTTGCCTTGAGAACGTCTCGAACCTATATTTGAGAGAAAAAGGTTTCCTTACCTTGAATTAAGAAGTTTCAGTAAATGATAAAACCTAAAATCATGTCAGATCATGTTGAATGGCTCTGGCTCATTCAATTCTAATCTGACAGGGATTCACTCCTTTTCACTGATTTCAATTTAAATAAGAAAATGTTTAACTTTTGCTTTACAAATTTCACATAATTTGTAGAACTTTCTATTACTTGAAACTTTCATAATTTTTCTAAACGATAACACTAGCATATTGTTACAACATCTAGGGTGATGATTGATGATTTTCTCACAGAATATCAAAACAATGGACGTAATATGCGATCTATGATATGTTACACGTGTTAATGGATACATATTTTTTTTAGAACTTTGGAAGATTTTAAGGAATGAATCTTCAATCCTTTTTAATTTCCCCCTTATTGGTTTCGTCACTTGTTCATAGATCAAGAGATAGATAGAGGTCATTACATGCTGCCCTCTTTTGATTTATATTTAGTTGATGTCTTTTAGTGGAACATAACTTTTGCTGCGCGAGATGAAATAAAAAAACTTTCTTAAAAGTTTAAAGTTTCAGTTACAATTTACAGTTATTTACAAATTCTAAAGTGATAATTACCTGTGTGGTGGACAAGGTGTATAGGATCGGATTTATGGCAGAGTTGAAGGGAAGAACAAACACTGCAATCCACACTGCGAGATCTCCTCGTGTCCTGAACGACTTTTCCACGATGGACCTGAGTCCAATCACAATGATGGGCATCCAGCAGATACAGTCGGTCAGGATGATGAAAAATACACGTTTGGCAAGAGCTGTCTCTCGCTGGGTGTTAGCTGACATCGACTGAACCTGACATCTGTTTATAACTATTGCAAGATAGGCCACAATGACAAAGGCAACAAATGCCAAATTCAACCCAATAAAGACAGCCACAGAATATTCCCAACCAGGTTCCTTATCATTGGAGAGTTGAAGTGGGAGACAAACAACAGATCTGCCATAGAAGTGAAGACCTCTAGGGGCTTCAAAATACTGAATGCCAAAAGTAGGAAAGAAAGCAATTATGCAACCGATTATCCAGATAGCAAAGCACAAGGTATGAGTGGCTTTGTTGGTTAGTCCATTAACACTGAAAGGGAACACAATATTTTTAAGCCTGTCAGCAGAGATTAGAGAAAGAAGCATCATTGACACCTCGCTTGATAACACAGCGATTGCACCAGATATCTGGCATGACAAACTCGTTCGCCAGTTGAAGTCATGCAAGTAGTATTTCCCTGCCCATATCGCATCCTTCCAACCTATGGTGATTAGGTAAACACCCATTAAGCCATCAGATGCCGCCAAGTGTATCAACATGATTGACTGTACAATATTTTCCTCCCTGTGGACCATTCGCCACGTGATGACAAACACAGCTCCAAGCAGAGACGCGACACTAATAACCCAAATACACTTCCTAGGAGCTCGATTTCTGAACATAGTCTCGCAACTGGCAAAGCTGTCGACATAGGCAAAGTCGCAATCCGCGTCCTCTTTCGTCAAATGGCAACACATCAGGTTGGTGTCTACAGTCCTACGGTTCATAAAAAGAGTTTAAATGAATCCCAGAGGATAAAATGCGCTTAAGAAATGACAGGTACTCAAAATGATTAAATATCGAGGGTAAATTCCGATGTGAGAATGAATTCCCATTACTCAGAAAGTCTCCATATATTTTAATTGTAGGAGTAGCGAAGTTGTAAGCACTGCATAGGTAGGTGGAGAAGAATGAAAGTTCTAATAAATCGCTTCATCTAGGCGCTAAGAGTATATTTCAATTGACTTACGTTGTTATTAATTCCTTCATGTTGGAGAAAAAACCTTTTGATAATTTCCGCATCTCATTGTAATGAAGGTACCTTTGCGTTAAAAGAAAGCGATTCAGTTTAGCTAGCAATATTCGCTCGTGTTCTAATGCAATTATCTCTTCAACCTGATGTATCAGTTACTGGAAGGTCCATATTAGTTCGCTTGTTCCTTTTCGTCCAAAATCTCAATGATAACGAGAAACCAAAACGTTATAACCTTACCAGAAGGAGACTGTTGAGAGCTCAGTGAAAGAGAGAAGTGAGTAACAAACACTTAGTATACGCCCTAAATAAACTCAGTGCATACTCACAAGAATCGAATGTTTGGTGCGACATCTTTGAATTGTTCATTAGTTACTTCACGTATTTTGTTTAGATAAAAGCTCCTGAAAAACGAGAAACCAGTTAAAAGCGTAAATGTCATGCGAGAATTGTAAATTCCTTCGTAAACTGAGGTCATTTTAAAGTCATTTTCTTTCGTTTTATTTCAAAGTTAAAGTTCAATAATCGAAAGTCAACATAACATGCAATTTTTGTGTCGTATATGAAGATAGGACTTCGTCAGAACCGATACTGCGCAGGTTGTAAAGAAGTCCCTTAGATGGCTTAACTCTTCTACGCATGGAATAAAATGGGTCTTGCATGTGCGTAAGGCTTATTTTACTTCAAACCAAAGTAGTTATTTTAAAGATTACCCGGTTGTATATACGTTCACCGTTGCACAAATTCACGCGGACCTGTCCTCGTTACCCTAACTTCAAAATAATTAACGTGGTCGCCAGGATATCCCAAGCTTAGATCATAATTTTAGTCATTTCTAACTGTGTCCGTGGTTATTTTGACTCGGACAAGTCAGAAATAGTATACGCTAAGATCTCTGTAGTTATTGTAAGCTTACCGAGCTTGTAGATGTAGAGAAAGTACAGTCTATTTGAGGGTACGGTGACGGGTATATACCATTTAATTGCATCGATCAATACATACATAGTACCAGAGTTTTGCATAAGTTGCAGTGTAAAGAAATAAAAGGAAACTTAAAAAGAGCTTAAACTTTACGATTTTTCTTTGGGATTGCTGTAATTCAGGTTTTAGTCAATTTCGTTTGTCATGAAAAGGGATTCATACTATTTCTGCTAAAGATTTCTTAAGAGAGTCTCACTGCTTTTGAAATTATTGACTTCGGTCATCAAATGAGTGTAAAAAGAGCTACTTACATAGACAGGATGTTTTTCGCGCCTTTAAGAACTCCACGTGGCAGATTGTCGATACTGTTGTTATAAACAATCCTTGAAAAACAAAGAATACGGATGCTTATTATTATGTCACTCTTATAGAATTCTTACAGAGTGTTTGAAGGTTAATACTCTTCAGGGGTACACCAGCTCGATTGAGTAAGCAAAACGGGGAGCAAAAAATTAGGTTGTAAACTTTCCAAGCTTTTCCACGGCACACATGTCGATTAGCTTGTACTATCTAGCGTTACTCTTCCTTTTAGGAACGCGTTAAGTTTATTTTTCAATTGAAAATATCTCTCCTTGAATTAATGCTTGGAACGTTAAACCATCTCAGCTTGTTACTAAAGGAGTAAAATCGATGGTTTTCCTTACAGTTCTGCCAGGTTGGGCAGGCCTTGGAACTGATCCGGTGACAGGGCCACAAGCCTGTTGCTGTCCATGTATCTACACATTAAATGAAATACAATGTATGATTTTTCAAACCATAATGCTACGAACATAGACCTTACTCCAAACTGGTGGCGATTTTTGTCACTTTATTTTCATAATGGTTGGCCTTCTTAGCATTCTGAGATTCTAGAAGAATCTTTAACTTAAAAGGAGACTAAGAAGGCCACTTAACAAAAGATTGACTTTCTTTACTACATTTTGGAATGTGTTGTATTACCTGGCATCTTTGACAATAGTCTTTGATGATGGGAAGTATTACTTGTTTTACTTTAAGAACTTCCTAAAGCTAGAATTAATCTTTGAATAATATGTTAAACTGTTTCGAAAGATTCCTGTAATTAATGAGGAGTACATGATACACTTATTGCTTCAGTCTCCCTTATAAACATGAATCGCGTACAATATTTCTATCTTGGAGAGATTGTTGAACCTTGGCAAACGCTGAAGTCCGTTATTGGACAGAACGCTGCAGGGAGAGACAAAAGAGGAAACATAGAACATTAAAATGATCTTCGGCATGAGTTCTTAAAATTATTCTTCTAGTATTTGGATAATGACCACATTTTTTAAAAAAATAAGATCAGCTCTCGCAAAGTAAAATTTTACACCTGATCCCTAATAAATTGGACCAAAGGTGTTCTTTTACATCTGCTGTAAAACGGGCGTCTTCAGATTTCTCTTCTCAGCATCAGTCGATACCAAGACTGTGAAAGGTCGATCAGCCTTTCGACAAATCAATGTTGTAGGAATTGACCTCTCTTGTTTATGCAATGTTTCCTAACACGGTATCATGCAGCAATATGATTTCTAGTTACGTGAAAGAGAATGCTGTTAAAGACAATCAAATTTAATTCGGAACTTTAAATACAATTGATGCGTTAACAAAATCATGAACAGGTGAGGAAATGTAGCAAAATGAGCATTATAATAATATAGCGCATTTCATCCCCTCTTTCATAGAGCCTAAGAAGTTTGTGTGCAGCTGTAACTGTTGGCAAAATTGCGAGGCGAAACTTTACAATAATTTCATGTTGGAAGTAGCTTTATTGTTCAATCTCAACCGGATACCACTTACAGCCTTTTCAACTCAGTGAGGTTTCCGAAAACATCCGATGGTAGACGCTTAATTCCGTTGTTCGACAAATCCCTTAAAATAATAGTTCAGTTTAGAATAAAGACTAAGCTAACTTTGAAGGAAAATTCAGAACGTCTTCTTGAGGGAGAGGACAAGATTCCCCCCCCCCTCCCTTCCTAACTCTTCCAGCAGGTGCTGAATTAGGGCCAGGTTAGGAATTAAATTATGCGATAAAAGTTGTCTACGAAATGTGGCTCAGGAAAAGAGCGGAAACTGAGGCACAGAATCAACAGTATGGATCAGTAGAGCTTGATGGTTAAATTGATTTCATGAAGTAAAATGAAACTCTTCTTTGTGAGAAAATAATTGCAGAGTTCCATGAATGTTATAAATAGCAAAATAATCGCAGAGTGTTCTGAATGGATGTCAATTGGAGACAAAATTAGACAAGATGATTGAAAGTCTTCCAAGGGACTTAGGTAAAAATGAATTATTATAAAACAGTATTTAGGATGGAATTGTAACTGGAAGTTAGTAAAACGAGCTCTACTTACAATTCTTTCAGCTTAGTATTTGTGCTGAGAATGCCTCGAGGCAAGTTGTGCAACTGGTTGTAGGACAAGTCCCTGACAAAAAAAAGGTTGTACAATGATTGGATCATATGTCGATTGAAATACAAAGGAGACATAATATTGAGGAAGATTACACAGGATTGAAATTTAACAACGCTCATTTTCTGTGGATTTCAAATGCTACTTTTAGGTATATAAACAAAATATTCTAGAAATAAACTTTTAAATTTTTTTTGCTTTTGCTTTGAAGGTTTTGTGAATTACTTCGATTAATTGAGGGTGTCAGATAAAGGAAAGTAATGCTGATGACAAGATTCTCTCACCAGGTGGAGAGAATGAATCAGACAACAGTAAGAGAAACATGAGAAAGAAGGGGCCAAATTACGCACGGTTATTTCAATAAGGGTTATTTCAATAAGGGTCTGGGCATGCTCATCAAGAAAACGATTAAATTTATCGCCTTGGAAATTTACAAATGAGAAGGTTTTTATTTCCTTGCCACATCTAGTCTTTTATCCAAGGCTTCTCTCTCCTGACAACGGACAAACCCTACTTTCGTGTCATGGACAGTGACATGCAAACTGGAAAACTTACCAAGCTGATAAAACATATGGCTGAAATCAACTCTTTCTCGTCGGAATTTGATGAACATTTCAGCCAATGTTGTTACAACAACCATTTTTAGGTTAAGAAGACTTCTTTGGTGACAGATTACAGTCATATGAACGATCACGCATCACGACTGGTTCAACTTAAGCATTTACACAGGACGTTACAATCTTAAACAAAAATTTTAGAAGAAGGATTTAGGAAAAAATAGTTACAGTTCCTCCAAGTCAGTCAATCCATGAAATATGTCGCGTGGTAGCTTCTTTAGTCGGTTGCCGCCCAAATGCCTGCACGAATTACGAAAACGATAAGAGGGATTTTTACACGTTATTAAAGAAACATTTAAGAAGCATTTTTAGCCTAACAGATAGGAAACAGGCCGAGTAAGTTTCAGGTAGGAAAGTCTGGAAAGTTGCGAGCATAAGCAACCGAACCAAAATAAGTGTGGTCAAATCGATCGGATAGTAGACTAATACTTGACTCGGCAAGTCACAGTTGTATTTTCCTACAAAAAGATTATTGCTTATCAAGGTTTGCTTATTGCAAGCCAGACTTTTGATGAAATGCCGGTCTTGTGTGACCACGATCAAATTTGTTTTAATTAAAAGTTCTTCTGCTGCCTTTATGTGCTCTCGTCAAGCAGGCGAAGGGAGAGGTAGCTACCTTCCAAATGCAGATTTTTACAAATTATGATTATTACTCACAAGTGTTTTAACTTTGTTTGCCCGGCAAACAGATTTTCAGGTAACGTCTTAATGTAGTTGTTTCCCAGCCAGCTGTGAAATTATTAGCAATTGTATGACTTCCGTTATTTGTACCAAATTAAGGAAACTTAAAAACAAAGCGGGATTCGCAACTATTTGGTAGCGTAGTCTTCACTAATTCAGGATAGTAAAAAGAGGTCCTGAAATAAGTGATATTCTTATTGATGGCATAAAAGTTTCCTAATAGTTACAAAAATTGCCATGTGATTAGCGCATGACAGCATTTTTGTATTGCTTATTATGAGTATGAAAAGCCCAAGAAACCTAGTCACTCAGTGTATACTCATTCACACTTTCATTCCTTAAAATATCGAAAAAGGTTTGAGTTGTTAAGGAAGAAAGTGTAAATAAAGTGGCCCAGATACAGAAACCCGTTAGGAAAATCAAAACCAAACCTGGGTGGGGGAGGGAGGGAAGGAGGGGAGGGAATTGATATTGTAGCAAGTCTCACAGCACTTTACTCACAGATCATTTAATTTATGGTCCTTGAATAGATCAAATGGCAGCGTCTCCAGTTTGTTGAAATCCAGGGTTCTGTGTAGGAAAATACTTTCATTTTATAGACTGTTTCATAAATGTTTCTAATTGTAATTAGATGAATGACTGTACATGAATATATGAAAACTATTTTGTAAACTGATTAGGAAATAAATATGAAAATGGGCTTCGCAGTAATTCACACTTCTAATGAACGTAATAGTGAAATTCAGGCCCGTACGGGATTTTGAGCCCGTGACCTCTGCGATAGCGGTGCAGTGTCCTGCTAGCTGATTAGTTGTTATGATGGTGGTTCATAATACACCCGTGAAGTGATGAATCAAAGACTGCGAGTATGTGAAAACCATATATGTGAACTGCAGATTTACTCATATTAAATTGATGACCGAAATTTGATATCAGCAATTCGTAAAAAATGTCACAGGATGCCAGTAGAGATCATGCTCAAGACAACTCAAATTAACATCGAAAAGACCCAAAGAAACCGATCAATTTGCAGATTTTGGTAACATAGGTCTGCACCATGTTTTTATCAAGGTTTGGTTTATTTACGATGACGCCCACTTGGAAAAATACCTTTCTAAGATCACCATTATATTTTGAAAAGTTTGGCGCTGATGTGAATTAAATGTGCAGTTTAACAAAATGAAACTTTCCTAGATTATGGATTATAGGAATTGCGTTTTCAGCTCATTTGCGATTTCGCAGAACGTTACATCACAGTTGGTATGATCACTTATCCCAAGGATAATAAACCAATAAAAGCTAAGTTTTTTCGTTTGTCTCACGATGTAGCCACGTGTGATGTAGATCGCGACGTTTCGACTGCATACTGCTAGTCTTCTTCAGGCGATGAGGTCGACTAGTCATGCGTGATCTTATAAAGCATAATATATAAGCATTGATAAACCTCTTACTTACAGGTTTTGAAATGTGTACCACGGTGACCTTCGAGGTAGTTGATCAGAGGACAAATTCTTTAAGTTGTTGTTGTTCAGGAATCTGTAAATTTAGCAAGAAAACCACAAGAGTCAAATTGGTCGACGTCATTTCCATTTATGTACAGTTATTATTCGGAGATGAAGGGACTTGCCATAAAATCAGGCACTTAACTGGCTTTAACAAAGGAGGTTTCTGGTCGCTCAAAGTAATAGTTTTGTTTTAGTTGGTATGAGCCGATAAAGAGATCCTGCATTGTGGGAAATAAGCTTCAGATTTCCCTTTACTACATCTGTGGAGAAAATTGTCTTAAGGATGGGTGTATGTTAGTATGACCGTTACTTTTCCTTCGCTTCACAGCTTTTCTATTGTGTTTTATTGCGCCCGGATGAGTGACGGAAAAGCGGTCTAATTCTTGAAACTGAGTACAGCTGCTGTCACATGGAAGTCAGAAGCTGCGGAAACCACATTTAAAGCAGTCATTGTGACACAGAAGTCAATAGGATTTCCTAAGAGATGGAACAAACATTCTACTTACAGCTCTTCAAGCATTTTGTTTTGATTGAAAGCTCTTGAAGGTAACTGCTCTAGTTGGTTATAGGACAAGTCACTGCAGAAGCAGAAACAACAGGAAACCAAAGTTATCAACATCACAAATTCATTCATAATCATTTTGAAGCAAAATGATTTTTTATAGTTAATGTATCATGAATTAAATGGAATGGTGGGGTGAAGTAGGCAATTAGAAATTATTTTATATTATTTTGACGACTTAAAGGCCAAATGGATCGAAAATAAGGAATTTGAACGTATTGTTTAGCAAAAATGGACCATGGTTCGAATAAATATATGCACAAAAAAAAAACCAAACCCCATGATCAATCCAAATTTACAGACAATTCAAGGAACGTCCAATGAAAGACCAATAATTAAATGATATTAGATACTTACAGTTTCGTTAAGTGGTAAAGTGGATCGAATACTCCAGAGGGCAAATCCTTCAACTCATTGTAAGACAGGTCCCTGTTTCCAATTAACATTCACCAATAATAAGTGTGACCTTGTAAGTGCCATCCAAATAATATGTTTTCGTTTTCGAACGCCAAATTGACTCAGTTTCGAAGCTGCCTCATAAAATAATTTTCGTTAAGTCAAGACATGAGCAACGCATGTTGTGGACAAGATCAAAAGGAAAGAACGATGTTACCCACTCTGGTTATTGTAGGCATAACTTTTAGCTTGAGCGGAAACAAACATACAATGTAATATACTCGACGGAGTGAGTTTCAAAACAACATGCATGGGGCAATTTATTGTAATGTAGGGTTGATACTGCTGCACTCCCATTCCTGCCACTGTAACAAGCTTTCCATAGTTCAAGGTGCTCCAAGGTGAATTATTTGCTCCACAAATGTCATTCCAAAGGCTACTGTTTCAAAAATGTTACTCTTTTTGTATGTGTACAACCCCAAACTAGTTACCAATGGGATTTCTGCCTCTGTAAAAATATATGATTAACAAATATTCACCGAAAAGGAGGTGATTCGTGGTGAATGTTTACCGCGCCGCTTTGCGGTCAGTAAATATAAACCACTTTAACAAACACTGAACGAAAATTAAATTGCTGACGCGCGATTTTGTCTCTTCGGCTCCTCTGAGATGAATATTACTTGCTAATCACTTTCGAAGCAGCCAATCAGCGCGGTCACAACTCAAAGCTCTTCGACTTCAGTTTGACATGTTTTTGTCCTCTGGAGTCAAGAACTTTCCATAGTGCACGGTAAAAATCCATTTCCCGGGGCGGTTACAAAAAGGTAATGGGAAGGTACCGTATTTTAGTGCAAAAAAATCGAACCTACTAGACCTTACAACCGCTTGGCCGTGGAAGATCTAGATACGTGACTAGTGGAGGCAATAATGGGGTACGATTGGCCCACTATATCTCTTAATCAAGCACGGTGATCTATCATTTTAATTGTAGTTTTCGAAGCAGAAACTGGTAAGGAATATTTATCGAAACTATAACTTTTTTTCTGAGGAATCACCTTAAATGGAACGAAAATGACAAGATAAAGAAATTGAATTAACTCTTGCTTCCGCTAACTACCCGTATTGCTTGCTTAGTTTATCGACTACTTACAGCTCGTGAATCCCGGTCAAATAGTTGAAAACTCCTGGCGGTATTGTCTTGATCTGATTTTTTGACATATCCCTGTAAAAACATGGAAAGTGTCAGTTATTGGCTGATTACGGTATTAGCAATATGCTTTCATGGTAGCAAGTTACTAGTCATTATTATCACTTCGTTTGGCATTATGACGCATTTTGGCGGGCGTAAATGCTCGCACGCTCCTGTGATTGTTCATATCTTGTTGTTGTCATTTTTTCAGTTCTTATTTTCTCGATGCCCTCCAAAGTGATAATGATAATGATACGGTTTATCTACTTGAGCATTAATATGTTATGGGCCCGTCCGATAGCTCACTTAAACATTTGCCTGACGGCTAAAGCTTAAATAACTCTGGCCATGACTCAAGACATATTTATGCCTGTAAACCTCAACTCTTTGTTTCATCGAATGGGGTGGTAATCTCCAAACCATTCTAATGTGCGGCAAGAAAATTCCTCTGAAAGTTTAAAACACAGGAAAGTAACGAAAATGATGGTCGCCATCTTTGATTTTAATGGTAGTGGAACGCTGGGGAGAGAAAGAAATTTGTACTTAGAGGGCGGTCGAAGGTCAAAAATAAGGAGTGGGTGAGGATGGGGGAGTGAAAATTACGCCTCCCCGAGGTCATTGTTGTTTGCAAAATGAACGGAGTTCCTGATCGGTGTGGTTAAGCTCCAGCTGTCAATCGCAAGCCAAATATGTCATTTGGACATATTACTCTTGCGGAAAATTGTAAAAGATGGCAAACTCTTTAAATGGTGAAGTTTTTAGTTTCGATTCCGCTTTCGAGGGAGCACTTAAGTGTCTTTTGGAATTTAAGATGTCTTGCGCGTTGAGTTTAGGGCTGGGAATAGGAAAGCAGCCGGCAATAAGTCTCTCCCTGCTTGTTCCAACTGAATGGTGTATTCTGGCTCCCGATTAATTATGATTATTGGTTAACATATAAATAGTCTAACTTACATTGTTACATGAAGAATATTAGAAAGTTGAGTGTCATTAAAAACTCCCGGGGATAAGTTGTTTATCTGGTTGTTGGACAATACCCTGCAAGGTGTAATAAATACCTCATCAAAATTAAGCGTATTGTGCGATTTTGTAATGAAGATAGTAATTGAATGTATCTAAATGTGTCGCCATGGTCACTTGTGTTTATATCCGATTCATTTTCATTTGCTTTGAATTAATTATTGGCACCTTCGCTCTCCCGAACGGTAGTTGCTTGCCTTTAGCAACTACTCACGTTAGTTACAGAGCCACAAAGCCACAAAGAGGCGAGGTTAATATGCACTGCTAGGCACCGAAACTGAGATGGGCAGTTGTTTTTGAATATACTAAAACAGTGAAATAATTCATCGCCAAAATATGATTTTAACTCAAAGACATTCATTCTTGCAACCATTTCAAAATTGACGGACGCAAATCTTGCGCGAGTTGCTTGGAGTTGAATAGCAAAGGATTCTCGAAGTTTGAAAGGGCCAATCAAGGCTCGCCTTTTAAAAGCTATCCACTGTTCTATATTCAACTGATTTTGAGACAAGTCCCCATAACTAACATTGGACAGCAAAGGAGAACCAGGTTTTGACTCTCAGGTACGGCGATTACGATACTTAAAATATACTTTCAAACAAAGCGAGTGGGAGTGAATGGTGTAATGTGACCTCCACGGTGAGAAAAACGGGCGAAACGGATAATCCCTATGTCGGAGACAGTTTCTGACGCTGCGACAAGTTTGGCAAACGTTCATCTTCAGAGTTAAATAACCAGCGTTGTGGCTTCTAATAGTAGGATATTACTTCATAACTGAGGGATTGAAACCAGCCAGTTACTACCGACGGACTGTTACGGATCGATTCAGTCGAATAACTATTTTACATCAAGCAAACTAACCAATCAGTTTTAAAGGGATACATTTGATACATTTGAACTGCACGAGACCACTAGGTCAAAGTTTAACTGGTTGTTGGACAAGTCCCTGCAGAATGTAATAAGCGCGTGATCAAAACGAGACCACTATGTCAAAGTATTATGTACCAGGTAATTCAACCCATTCACCTTGCACATTCTTGCTTCTAATTCAATTCTCTAATCGCAAAATATTCTTACTTACAGCGTAAAGTGCCACAACTGTTGAATCTGAATACCGGCAAATACTCCGGAGGATAAATTACTTAACTGGTTGTTGGACAAGTCCCTGCAGAATGTAATAAGCGCGTGATCAAAACGAGACCACTATGTCAAAGTTTTATGTACCAGTCAACGACAACGTTCCTTTCGTCAACCCTGCTCACTTGGACGGACAAGCCATACATGTACACCGACCAATTATCACGATGTCTCCATGTTTACCACTCAAAACATGAAAGGCAATAACTTGTATGCACAAAACAAGACGTGTTGAATATTTACATTACATAATTCAACCCATTCACCTTGCACATTCTTGCTTTTAATTCAATTCTCTAATCGCAAAATATTCTTACTTACAGCGTCAAGTGCCAGAACTGTTGAATCTGAATACCGGCAAATACTCCGGAGGATAAATTAGTATTTCTGGTCAGCTGACCGATTGTTTCAGAATTACAGTTGTGCTTTCGTTTTTGTTATTAATATTTATTGCATAATTTGTTACATTTAATATCCTTGGGTATATTTGTGTTTGCCTCAACTTCAAAAGTCGATCAGTGAACTTTCGGATGATTGTCATGATCCATTAAGATGATATCTATTTTCTTGACTAAAAATTGCCCAACTACGCGTTTTAAGAGGAGATTTAAGAATGAATTTATTTATCTGGTCATTCATTTATTTCTCCATTTTTCATTAAGTGGTTGTTATTGACATTGCCTTGCAGTAGAAGAAGCTTACTTACAACTTCAGCCACCCACGTTTGGAAACTCGAATTCCAGCAAACACTCCTCGTGGTAAATCCTGTAACTGGTTTTTGGACAAGTCCCTGTAATAAAAACGACAACCAAACTAGGCGTGAGCCTAGAAACTTAGAATATTTTGTTCAAACAGTTTTACGGCGTAACCTCAGTAGAAATTTTAATTGAATGAGATAAAGGAGAGATCGCGGAGTCATCCTTTAATATTTTTTTTTAGCCTCTATGTTCCCAAATTTGAAGAGGTGATGTGCTAAGTAATCACACTTGAATCATTTAAGAAGAGTTTCGGAAAAAGTGACGTGTTACGTCAACAATCAGAGATGCTGGATACAATAGATTGTAGCTAAAGAAACAGAGTATTTCAGTTAATTTTCTCAAGGTCCAAATATACTCTCTCTATCGCGACAGAGGTAAGAAAAAACCGAAAACATCAGAAAATTTCGTGGAAAAGGTTGTGGTTATTCATCGTGGTAAATAACAACAAAAGCTAAGTTTTTCGTTTGTCTCACGATGCAGTCGCGTGTGACGTAGATCGCGACGTTTCGACTGCATACTGCTAGACATTCGACTCGCCCGTACCGAGACCTCCGCCGTTTCAGAGCATGCCCACAACACCGGACACAAGCCACTCTGGAACGAAGTAAAGTTTATTGATCGTGACCCTTCTTGCTACACGCACAGGGTCAAAGAGGCAATTCATATAAGACTTCACCCTAACAACATCAACAGGGATAGTGGAATAGAAATTCCAGAAGCGTGGATGCCCGCGATCAAAAATCACAACAAAAGGAGAGTCGTGCGACAGCGGGCCGCCGAGAGAGCAAATCCCTGAGTGAACAGCAAGGATCGAAATGCACCAATCAGAGCTGTTGAAAAACTACTAATCACAGCAGAGCATCGTGCTTTTTAAGATCACGCATGACCAGTCGACCTCATCGCCTGAAGAAGACTAGCAGTATGCAGTGGAAACGTCGCGATCTACATCACACGTGACTACATCGTGAGACAAACGAAAAACTTAGCTTTTAACACCAGTAAAGTTTTTGAGTAAGTGAGAAGCTGCTCCTTACAGGTATTTCAGAGCATGGTTGTTATCAAAAATCCCTGCTGATAAGTTCTTCAACTTGTTTTTGGACAAGTTCCTTAGAAAAATCAATATATCAAGTCATTCACTCGGCTGCGAACCTGAAGTGCATTTTTTTGTGAAGACATTGACATTACAAATGTAAAATTACCACGAATCTTTCACTATTATATAAAATTTATCCCCTGCTTGTATTAGGAGTTGAGAAGATATAAAGATCATGAAAATTCTCCAGGACTGTCTTTATACGGAAAATTCTCCTATGCAGTGACACAAATTTTATCAAAATATCTATCACTTATTCGATCATTAATAGTGTATTTAGTGTTGTGTCGAAATTTTCCCTTAGAGGTTTATTCCGTCGGAAAAAGTTAAGGTTAAATTGGGTATAACTTACAGCTGTAGGAGATTAGGATTTCTGCTAAAGACTCTTTTGGGCAGGTTTCTCAGTTTATTATTTGAGAGTGTTCTGTAAGGAAAAAAATTAATTAATGAACAATTCATAAATCCCCCAAGATGAATACATCAGTATCTTTTATTATTGAACGAATTATTTGTAAGCTGAAAAACAAATTTTTTTTGAAAAATTATCAAGTCAACATCTGAAACTAATGTATATCAAATCAAATGCATATGAAACTTTCAATTTTTGTAAACAGAGAATTTATTTTCTAGAGGATTAAAAATGAACCAAAAAGCCTGGAACTATTTTGTGTTCTTAAATTCGACCGATTCTGGAATATTTTTTGATCTTTATTTCTACGGAACTTAACTTAATTCATCAGTTTCCTCTAGATCATGTTTGTAAACTACGTACTTACAGTTTTACTGTAGCTCTTGGAATGTTCTGTGGAACTGATGTTAGCCCTTTTCTTTCGCAATCAACATGTATGAAGCCCTTCATGTTACCTTTCAGAACTGTGCATCGACATGGTTCAGGACAGCCTAGCAAAAAATGACAGGATAGCGATTAATTTTGATATTTGGACACGTCACCTAGATGAGCTCCAGAATGCAATTTTTCAATTAAAAGTTCGCTCTGGTTGTGCAAATTTTGCAGTCGAGCAATTACGGAATATGAAAGGCTTTTGTTCGGCTGCCTTTTTGACATGTAGCATGGAATTCAAGTTATTTATGAACTTACGCGCCGATTTCATCTTGCAGTAAAATAATTGTTGTGTTTCGGATTGCGGCTTGTTGTCTTGATCGGAGAAATTTTGTATCTTCTATGGTTTGAGCTCTTTGATTGATAAAATAATTTGCGAGTCTATTTGGTAGAGCTTTGAATCGCTTTTGTAAAAAAGTTAATTGGTTTCATGAGCTAAAGAAATTTTTTAGTTGAGCATCATCTAAAATTCTATAAAGGGTGAGCTAATGAAGCCATTATCCAAATTTACGTGTACCTTGGCCTCCCTTGGAGTAAAAAGGTAACTTGACAGACTTACTCTCAAAAACGAGACTGATATTTTTCCTCTTCACCTGACCATGGCTGTCCACCTCGCAGCTGTAGTTGGTATCCCTTTTTCTTTAGTAACGTTGATTAGCAGTCGAACACTCGTGCTGTTTTGCACAACAGCGCCATTCTTTCTCCAGACAATGCGAGGAGCCGGTCCACCTTCCGCCGGGCACCACAGAGATGAAGAATGGTTGAGCAGTACAAACTGAGTCTGCGCTACTTCACTTAGATTTGCAGGAACTAGAACAAATTCAAAAGGACTTGTGATCTCCGCTTAATAATGAAAGCAGGACACATATAAAAACAGAACGCTCAATGACCTACCTGTTTTATTTGCTGCTCTTCCCTCATAATAATTAGGGTAAAATAACAAGTATCTGCCCGATGGTGAAAGTCTTAACCACATGTGATGTCCGCTGGATCGGCGGATTAAAGACTTAATGTATCTTCCACAAAATACACCCAATAGATTGGCAGACTGATTATAACCATCACGAATCTCAAGATATTCGTTGTCAGCACATGGTACTCCAGACAAATAGGAGGGCAGCATAAATGACAATGCCATTTCAACATATTCGCCTCTTGCCACTTTAAGTTGGGTTTTTTCAAGGTGTAGAATATACTGTCTAGACTGTACTTCTACTTTTATTGCAACTGAAACATATAACATACCTTCATTAAGGAATACTTGTGTACACATAGACACGTGACTAACTGGAATTTGTTACATCTACCAACTCAAATACGCTTTCTGATTGGAGGAGAACTTGCCACTTGTCGTGGGTCAAAACTCTCTAGTTCCTTAAAGAAACTTCGACTCGCATGTGATCAGATAGTGTATCTTGAGACCGTGTCAAATTTTTCTAGCAACACGCAAGAAGAAAAGATTTTTTGGCGGTCATTGGTCTAATATTGAGTTGGAGAGTATAACCAAACTGACAAAACGCTCGACCACACGCTCCATATAGAGTTTTTGGTAAACAAAACTCGCTGTTTCTCGTGGGGCCTGTCATTAAAAAAGGCTAGTTCATATGACGCATTTTGATCTTTTGTGAGAGCTTGCTTAGAAGATGAGGACTGCAATTAACCACACTTTTTTTTTAAAAAAGTAGTCGTCCAAATCCTCCTCGAGTGATTTTAATATATTACATATATACATTGTGTTTTCTATTTTTACACACTAGGAAAAAATTTCTCCACTCGCGTTGGCAATACCATTGACTCACACTATTACGAATTAGTCCAGTGGTCAGTACACTGGGCTCTTAGTCGGACGACCCGGGTTCTAGTCCTGGCCGAGGCGAGGCGTTGTGCCCTTGAGACGTGTGGGAAAAAAAAGTGCGAGCCTCGCTTTTAGGCTTGGCTAAATCTATATATTACGAATTTAAAACTGCAATTGTAGCAGTTTTTTTACGCTAACGACTAATTTGTTGTGGTCGAATCAGGACAAATTACTAAAGGACTCAAGAGATGTCCCAATTGTAACAAAGAAAAATTCTAGCTTCCAAATTAATAACAAAACCATATGGCATTATGATATTTCGGTGAGACTGTACTTAAAACACCCTAGGTTTGGTTAGTGTATTAGTTCTGATTACTTAGCATTATTTTAAAATAGGGATTATGGGAAAGTAGTATCCTAATTTGTTTATTATAATGAAAATTCATCCGCAAAGTTAAACAGATGTTTTTCTCATGAAATTGGCAAAAAATTTCCATACAAATAATACGCCATTAAGAACCGGTTTAAGTACCCCTCGGTAAACGCAAGGAAATGGGTATAGGATAATCTTTTGTGGAAAAGCTGGCATCGATACGAGAATAACAACAGTTCTTTGTCCCATCTGATGAAATTTGAATTCAGCCTCTTAATTAAATACAAACGTTGACTTACCCAAAAGAACGATGAAGATCCACATACTCTTGATAGACATCTTCCCTAACGAAAGCCGTGTATTAGACATTGCCCTAGACGTGCTCATAAAGTTAGGGAAATAAAACCATATAATTTCAGAAAAAAAAAAAGCAACTTGTAATGTTGTGTCTTCTCCTGCTTTCTCGAAACAATTTAAATTATGATAATGTATTTCATTCCAGAAAGAAGCTACATGTCTTCATGTTTAGAGACTGATCGACTTTGTGGTATTCGATAAGAAACATTTCCGTTCTTAGACAAGAAGCAATTACAACAGGAACAATGAAATTCATCGTTTGTTGCTTTTGTAATATATATATCTCTCGTTTCTCCTTTTTGTTTTTTGTATTTTTTTCTCATTCCATCTGCATATTTTATCACACATTTATTTATAAAACCCTCACAGATGTTACAAGCCGGTAAGTTCTATTCGTAAGTTATAAACGTCACGACAGTCTCGTAAATTTATCCCTCAGAAACTTTGAATAATTTGAAATTTCGGAACTACCGTTACTTAGAATCAAACTGTCGATTCCTTCCATTTCATTTTCACATTTTTTTATCAAATGCTCCGTTGTTTTTTCGCTCTCTCTACTCAAATGTATGAAAAACATTTTGGCAAAAGCTAAAATTATGGGAAGAACCCTTGCAAAATATATTTTGTACTAATTATTTCCCCCTGTTAATTTTTCCCCCATTTTTTTTGTTGTTCGGTTAGTTGTTTCAGTTTTTTAATAGTCCCTTTTAAGTTGTTCCATGCCCCTGTCGCTAAATTTGCGCGAGCCGATCAAAACCTAAACTGTTCACATAAGATGCTTATAGAGATAAATTCATTTCTGTTTCCTATTGTGTGAATCGCCTTACTAACTTGCCTCATTTAAACCAGATAAATAAATGAAAAAAAACCAACAAAGCACATGTAACAAACAACATGAGTCACTTACCTGAGGGGCAAATATCTTACGAGTTATCCCTCAGCAAGTGTCTTTCCAGGTCGCAATTACCATCGCACGACAATTTCTGTTTAGATCACTTGGAGAGAATAATAACTCTTACAGATGTTTCAAGCTGTTGCTGTCATCTTATGAAGCGTGAAGTTTCTAGTATCTAATTTATTCATGTGAAGTTGGACTCAATTTTATCATACATTTATTTCAAAATAAAAATATCATGTTCTTGTGCAGAAATTAACATTGAGGGATATTGAAAGAGATCACAACAGACTTTTGCTTGTATCATACTCGCTTGACTCCACTTATGTATCACCCACAACAATGGACATCTGTTCACGCGCTCGTGAGGTATTTAAAATGAAGGCATATTGGTATGAATACAAATCGACCGGCGTTTCAGGTACGAGCCGACTAAAACTGGCTACGAATCTACTGAATGTGGCTACGAAACGACCGCGGGTACAAAAAAACTGGATACCGTGAAAAAAAAAGATGGTCAAATTAAGGTTTCTCTGTAATAGAATTTTTCTGGAAAGTTCCAACCAAGTATGCTCTCTATGTGAAAGTGGTTATTTTGATAAACTAAGAAGACCAGGTGAAGGAGTAACTTCGAAGAAGGCTTATTACTACTGGAATTTTTTTTAATCTAGTAGGCAGGTTTAAAGTCTTATGACACTCCACCTGATATTACTAAAATCGAATTATTCCCCACCCCTCTCCCCCAAACAATGTTAAATTTTGTGCCCTTTGTAAACTCTACTAAGACTTGGTGTTTTGTCAGCTTTACCAACATTGTTGGAGGGGGGAGGGAGGTGTGTATGCCTAAAGCGGCAAAAAGTGGTCTTTTTTTAATTAATATATTTCGATATAAGATAAATTTTCAATTACTGTCCTTAGGAGTTTTGGTTCCCATTTTAGTCCTCTGTAAATCGATGGGAAGTAGGTATTTATTTCGATCGCGATTTTCCGTTTTGAATGTAATCTTGTTACTTCACAAGATATTCAGTGAGCAGCCTATTTTCAAGTTATGTAGCAAATATGATAAACCGAAGATTACAAACAATTTGTTGATTTTGCAAAAATTTTAGAAATTTTCGATTCCTTTGTTCAATATCCTAAATTTGCATCAGGGATCCCCCGGGTAATGTTCGCAATTTGTGCAGTAAACGAATTAAGATGTACCGAAACTAACCTCACTTATTGGATTTAGAGGGGAAAAACGTAGAAAATGAATAAACAACGCCTTTCAATTCATATTTTACGATAACGAACTGCAAATCCACATAAGAGAAAAAAAACATTTGTAACAAAATGTTGCTAGTCTAACGGTAAGGAATTAGCGCTTTCTCTTGGAAGCTAAAAGCAGTTATTTCAACAAACGTAACTTCCTCTAAATCCAGTGCGCCATAGTGACGCGTTTCATTACAATTTTATTTATAAAACGAAGACAAGAGTGAAATTCCAAAGAGTATATAGGCGAAAATAGTCAATCTTGACTGACGATTCGTAACCATACAAGCAAATGTGATTTGTAAATATTTTGGCCAAGCTTGGAGAGACCCGTTAAGAAAGTTCACGCAACAATAGTTTATTGTTAAAATGCCGTTGAATCTTTTGCCACCACGAAGCAATCCGAGGAACTTTGTGAATGGGTGGACGTCGTGATCTGGGGTAAACTGAGTTGAGAGTGCATTTCTGCGAAAGGAATTTTTAAAATAGAAGCATTTCTTATCATCCTATTAAATGCTCTTATGCCGCTCTCTCGCCCACTTTGACGATGCCGAAATCACCGACATACCTCCTTCGATAGGTGGGTGTTAATCTTCCTATCATACGCGAATCTTTATCAAGGAAAACCTTAGTCCGCTTATCATAAAAGCTTGCCTCAGTAAGTGATTTAAGTCGTCTATTTTGGCAGTATTTGCTGTGACTTTTTCGCACTTAAAACAAATCGCACAGCTATTCTTTGGGAAACGATAATTTTTAACAAAAATATCGTGACAGAAGTTGAACAACATATTAGTTCAAGTCTTAAAACGATAAAGAAGTGGAAAGCTGTAGTAATTTATTTTATTCTTATCCAAGAGTTGCATGAGTTTAGCTGTTAGGTAAAGAGGAATTTAATGACTTGAGAATCATCCCGAATTCCTTTCGTATTGTCACTTGATCAAATCCAAGTAACTGGCGATCAATAACAGTAAGCTAAGAAAAGCTTAAATCCACCAAGGAACTTCATGTATTTAGATTCCTCGTAAAATTATTTCTCACGTTTCCTTTGCAAGCTTTGAATTTCTTCTTTGATGAGTTTATGAAAATCCATGAATGTTTCATGTTAATAACTTGTAATTGAGTTTTTTATGCAAAGAAATTGTTTTTTTTATTTTCACTGCTGCACAATTTTGGGTTGCATAATAAACATCAGATCCCACTCAAATAAGTTGGCTTTTTGTATCGACAAGACTTGCAAATCATCAGATTTTTGCCGGTTTCCGTTGCTTAATTGCGTTTAATAATTCTCCATGCGGTCTCAGCTCCTGTCTTCCTCGCCAATAAAAATACTTTCTTCTTGGCCTACATGAATGAATATTTTTAACTTAATTTACGACCGGTACATTTTTGTATATCACTTCCTCTAAAACAAGCCAATTAGACTGAGGTTAATGAGGGTAAAAATTTGCGATTAAATCTAAATACACCTATTATTGTTCCCGAAACCCCGATTGATCTACAGTTAATCTGGTGCCTTTGCTATTGCGGATAAAATATGTTTCAAGTGAAGATATAAAAATAAGCAATTGAAGAGGAATTAATCATATTAAGAAATATGTAGAGATCTGTTGTTTCGATTAATGGACGAGAATTTTTTTTGCTATCAGTATTGAGTACTTTATAATTGGCTGTCACCTAAAAGCTTATTAAAATAAAGCATTAAACATGTCATTAAACATTCGAACCAACTAAACTGAGAAGACTAAAACTTACATACTGACTTTGAATGGGTTTATTGATACAAAATTATTCTAACTAGGTAAACAAGTAAAAGTTAAAACATGCTTTAAAAACTCCGTCATGCAAAAATGAATATAGCAACCTCCTAGTCCATCAAAGATCATGACCTTGAGTTTTTTCTTTGGAAAAAATATATAATTAAGAATAAATGAGCGGCATTCCGCAAACTCGATAAAAAGAAATGCCTTCTAATGCCATCGACAGGCATTATCTGTGTTGATCTAATAAAAACGAAACATCTATGGAGTTGGAAGAAGGCACGAGAACTTCATCTTGGTTAATCCCGGTGTAATTGGGTCGGGCCTGTGATTGGATATATATGCCATCGTATATCACTTAGAGATCAGTTCTATTTCTCCAACGACACTGAACAGATCATAGAGAGAGCCTTTCCACCTAACTTTAGACTTCATCGCCCAATTGTTATTCAAGATTGTCAGAATGAGGAAAGTATTCAGTCTACTCTGTCTCACTGCTGTGTTACATCTATCGGGTAAGGAATACGACAGCTTCTTTTAAAACGCTATGCGTACATAACGCGTCGAATTTTGCAGGATTCAAAGCACAAGATTCTTGTGTCGAGAAATTAATAATGAAATAGTGCTTTTGAAAATTTTCTTGTGGTATTTAGCTGCACAAATACCTTTTCGCTTCACAATTTCGGAAATGTGCTATCCGTTCTGGAAGTCTGCGTAACGGCATTAGACCGAGTAAAAAAAAATATTCACCTCTTACTTGAATTCTATAGCTGCTCAGGAAGTCACTTTACAACACAAAAGGGACATTTTTTGACATTATTATATTTGAACCATCAGTTTTGGAAACGCAAACTTTTCTTGGGCCTAAAGCCAACAGAAACATGTGGTCGACCTTAAATCTCTTGTTTTAGGTACTTGATGTTTTGTTTACCTTTGATGCTTATGTAGTGCTTACCTGTAAAAATGCGGATGATTTTGCGACCTTCAATCCGGTATTTGCTAATTTTATTGTTTAGTCCCTGATACGCAAAAGTATGTTTCCGCAACAAAAGATAAAAATCTTACCAACTAAAAACCTCAACAATTACAGTAAAAGCCCTCACCTCCGAACCTTTATCCTCCACGAGGCTTAAATTTACTCTGTGTAACTCAGAAAAGTTTGTTGACAATGAATTTCTCCACTTTTTATGGTTCTGCTTCACTAACAGAAAAATCGCGAGTGGGAGATCCCCGGAGAAATCTCAGTCCTCCGAAATGGAAAAAAATTATTCCCTTGAAACACAAAAACTCTATTTCACAGAACGAAAGCCCTACCCAGTGTTCATGCTATACGATAGGGAATTTGTAAAAAAAAATGTGATTTCTGATTTGTCGAGGGTCACGTGCTGTATTTATAGAATTTTGGTTGTCTAGCAGTCGAAAATAATCCGAGATCTCTGTATTTTTTTGCGTTACCTCACTCTGTGATAGGTTCAGAAAACTCGCGCCACTTTCTCCACCAATCACATTCAAGACAAAAATCAATCGCGACATGTAACGTTTTTCCGCGCGTTTTTTCATTGATTTACGATCGCCTCTTTGCAATCCATCTTTTCTATGTTGATTTTTGCGATTACTTTGGTCTTTGTTTTACGACATTCAGTCGAAATGCACTCGAAATATATCCTTTTCCAATGTCTTCCTAGGTTCCTACCCGTTTTGCGCGCTATTTTCACGTCATTATTCCTCTCGGCTTTCGTTCCGCCGACTTAAAGGAGGAGGAATAATTATAGAAAAAATAATGATAAACACAAACGAACAAAAACAACGACAACCGTGTATGAAAAAGGGAAAATCTTACTGGTGTGATTTGATAATACACGCAGATGCATATCATCTTTTATTTCCTTATTACTTGCAGTTTCCGGAGAGAAGCCGGAACCCGTTAAATACAGAAAATTGTCGTGCGGTCTGCGTTACTTTCTTTGGCCAAGCTGCTCAGACCCTAGTTCCTTGCAACATAAGGTCTGTGGAAGCGACAATAAAACCTATGCATCGTTTTGTGCCTTCAAAGTCGCCCGGTGCTATGCCAAAAAAGACTACAATACCAAATTAACTCTTCAATACAAGGGGGAGTGTGGAAAACCAGAATCACCCAGAATGACCTTAACGAAGGATAGTCGGAGAAATGGACCGTTTGGTTGCCCGATTTTAAGAAAGTGCGACGAGTTTAAAGGTGATCTCTCATGTGGCAGCGATGGACGGATTTATATGAATGATTGTCACTTGAATTATACGAAGTGCCGGGGGAAGAAATTCCTGAAGCCCATGCCTTTAGGTAAGCAAACTACTAACTAAAATCCATTCGTTAGAGGACCAATATCATAGGACAAAATACTTCTAGTTTTCCATTTCACCGAGTTCTGAACGTGAATACATGACCCATCTTGGCCGCGTGCGTTATAAAGAAAAAAAAAAAAAAAAAAAAAAAAAAGGCATAACTCAACCTTATTCGATGGCTCAACATAAAACAATTGCGGACATTTTGCGCCGGAGTTGTGCAGTATTTTTGTAATAGAAATAAAGAAACGGCACAAACGAATGAAAAAAAGAAAGGAAGAAAGGGAGGAAGAGAGAAAATCAAAGAAGAGACCGTCATATACATGCATTTTGCCATGTTTCTTGCTCAAACATTACGCGCCATTCGGTCTAACCTATAGATTTGGATTAGGCGCCTGGGTGTTTTTGAGCCTTAACGGTATGCTTCAAAAGGAGAGATCATTCATCAGTTTGGAAACACTTATTGACTTATAGCCTGAAGAAAACCGGCTTCTTCTTTAATTTTCCGAACTCTTTGTTAGATGGAGATAGGTATGTAACCGTCGAAACACATGTGCCAGTCTTCCTTTCGTTTACTTTCATCAATTTATCCTACTTGAAATTAGGCAGCGAAAGTGCTTAACTCTGTTTCCTTGGGTATGATTATAAAAATCAGAAAGATCATAAGGTACTGAAGAATTTCATAAATTTTTCCTTTCATAATGTCGTTGGCACGAATTCAACGCAAGCTTCTAAATAATTGGGTGGAGTTTGACATGATGACCCATAAAAAGTAAGTGATGTAATCTCCAATTGAAGGTACATACTAAACATGAAAAAAATTTTTTTGGACCATGTTGTTTAACTTGCCGATTTTACTGCGGTTTGCGTCGTGCCAATGATTAAACTCACGATATTTTCTTCCGGGAACATTCTTGCATTTCAATTTCGTTTACTTTATTTGATTGAGTGGTGTTTGTAGAGCTTTCTTGACCAACAAAGAAGACCTAAACTGGATACCTTCTGATCAGAAAGTTATTTTTAGAAGAGAATTCAGCCAACTATGGCTCGACGTTGCTCTGAGGCTCCGACAATTTCAATGTTTTTTTGACCAGGCTGAATGTCGTTACATAACAGCGCGGTCAACTCGAAAATCCAAGGATCACGTTTTATTAAATTGGATGGGCGAAATTTGCGGACGATCCCTTTCAGAGCTTACAACGATCTGTTTACAGCATGAGATTACCTCTAATACCTCTTGCTCTTCACTCGTTCTGAATTTTTGGCGTAGTTCTTCTACAGTTTGACCCCGTACCGGTTTGAGTGTCATCCATCTTTTCAATGATGTTGTATGTGGAATTTAGCTGGGTGGCGTATAATGTTGAAATGTAAGGTGGCTCTTCGAGAATGAAGCATTAAGCGTGCACGGAAAAAATTTCCCAAAATTTCCTTGCGTTGTTTTTCCGGCACAAACTAAACCCTTTCCAGTGTTAAGTGTAATCAGCGTGTCCGTAATTGATTAATGAAAATTCGCAGATAAGGGTTTTTTCAAATGGTACTACAACATGGTATTTCGACGCACGCTATTCCTACAGCATCTTGTAAGCCAATAATGATTATTCCGTACGACTGCTTTTTTTTTTTTAACTGAGTCCTTAGAGTCATATAAAACTTTTAATTTTACCTCGGCTTACAGATTGTTTATTGTTTAATTTTAATCCAGGTTGGAACTATTTTGGGAAGGATATTTTGAAATGATATTCGAAGGCAGTTTCTTAGAACCAAATTCATCAAAATGAGTTTTCGGAAGAGGAAACATTTAAAGGGCGCTTAACAAAGAAAATATAGCATAAGAGGGGTTTTTATTCGGTGCAAATATCTCGAAAATATTTGCTGTTTTGTCTCTGGTTTCTGTCGAAGAGGTGAACATCGCGTGACACTTGAAGCGATCCTTGAATGTAACTAATTGGAATCTTTAATCAGATTACGTAATGCTTGCTAACGACACTTAATCTCTTGGACTTGATTTCCGTTTCTTCACCTTTGCAACGAGAAACGCAGTGGTGGCTGCGAGAACAGCGAATGGACCGCTTTATGAAGAGAAGCTTACGATGACAATGATAGTAAAAGATGCGCTTTATAAATATGTTCTGATGCGCTTTAGAACTCTTCGGTTGGGGACTTTGGCTAGACGGCATTCTGCAGTTTACAATTTTTGAAAGGGAATTTTGCAAATATACCGTCTAACCGTTTGCAGATGTCTTTGCAAAGGCAGCTCATTTTCAGATATTTCAAGACCCTGAGTGTTGTTCCGTTCTGAGCTCGAGCCATCGATTTTTTGCACGGCAGTACGGCGCTCTACAATCAGAGCTCACCAGGTACCGCTTTCCCAAATTCGAACAGAAGAAGCAACAAAACAAAAATAACACTTCAACCTCATCTTGGACAATTCACACCAACAAGAGTAAATTTAGATCCCTTGTAAGACCCATACATTAAAACTGATGAGAAAACCTGAAGTTGGCAATTTTTACGACGGTACATGCATGTGTTAGGAAGCAAGTTCTTAATCTCGCAAATACCCATACGCTTCTTTCTTCTTCTTCTTTAAGATGAAACGGCCACAGCATTAAACTTTACTATGACGGATTACCACATAGGACATGAGTCATAAGGAGTTAAAAATCTCTTGAAAAAACTGACTTTGATTGCTGACATGATTTCCTAGAAAGTGGGCAGAAGCGTTTCGATTTTGCACTGTACATTCGCTATAGTCACATTTCGCTTTGTTGAGTTGTTAACTAACAAGCAAGATTTTAAAACCATTCAATTTTCCTGTGTCCCTTCAGCAGTCAAACGTCTTGCATGTGCGAACATTTAAACGGCTGTTTGTCCTTAGAAGCGGCCTGGCTTTCGAGCGAAACAACTTTTGGCACAAACCAGTCTGCCACAGTCTTATAACAGTCTACAACTTTTTTGATAAAGCTAAAAAAAAGTAAATCAAAAGAATAACTGTTGTGAAATAAACTTTGTGCTGGTCAAGTCCCAAGTTTCCTTAAGTTGGTTGCCTTTCGTATGTTTCTATGAACGTTTTGATTCATTATCGAATATTTTGCTTGACAGCGGGTTATATTTTTCTTGAAAATTTTGAGTGGGAAGTTGCGCGCGGCCGGGCAAAATTGACCCATGTGCGCATGCCCCAAGTTTGACCGCAGTGTTTGGTGTGACAGTTAAGTTAAAAGGTTTTTTCCTGTTTTGACAGTGGTAAATATGTTTTCAATTCATTTCAGCTTTCTCACGGAAACTGCTGCAATTTTAGAAATTCACATAATTGCTTTTTATCATTGTTATTTAATTATTTAAAACAATACTTACAAATTTACGTTATAACATTACTAAAATAACTTGCAAGACTGACACAACTTACAAAGCTCAAATATAGGTTTTATACCTAGATATCATATTTTTGCTACTAGCTGCTGTAGGCAGAATATGTGATTAACGCAAGTGTTATTGTAAATTTGTTTCAGGTTTTTGTCAAAACTCCAGAAAATTCCTACCTGTTACATCGTGCCCCAGATATTGTCCGACCGGTTCTCGACCCGTGTGTGGTACGAATCGTAAAACGTATGAAAGTATCTGTCATTTAGACAGAGTCATTTGTGCATTGCGGAAGGAAAACAATGTTTCTCTCGCTCTGTATTACTTTGGAGCATGCAATTCACCGGCCACACAAGAGCCTTGCCCGAAATTGGAAGAATGCAAATCTGCGCCGAAGAAACCCGTGTGTGGGTCCAATGGAAAAACGTACTCAAGTTTATGTCACTTACGTGCCGTAATGTGTCTCGGGAAGAGGTCAAAAGATCATAGAGCGTGCCATGCCGCTTGCACATTGTCAAATAATCCCAAGAAGTCTCCTGGAAAGAGCTCACAAGAATTAAAGGCGTGCATTGATACTTGTGCATTGCAAAATGCCGATGAGAACCTTAATTTGCATTATTTTGGAGAATGCAACGCCCCTATTAACCTAAAGCCTTGCCCAAGTAGGCAGGAATGCCGCATACATGGGCCGAGAAAACCCGTATGTGGTTCGAATAGAAGAACATATCGGAACTTGTGTATTTTTCGTGCATCATCGTGTCGCAAGACGAAGCCACTTAAGATTTTATATGAAGAGATTTGTTAAAAAAATAACAATAAAATTAAGAACAGCGGCCAACTTATCTTTTTAAAAAATAACAGTTTACACATATCAATAAACCATTTCTGCGTGTCATAAATTTATCTCAGTAAGGCCAGGCTCAAATCCTTTCTTGTGGAAATGCATCAATTTTGCTGTACCCCAGGATTTACGTAATGAGAGACATTCTATATAATAATTTTAAATCAGTGTTGAAGAGCAATCTCTTTAGACTTGCTTTTAATTAGATCTTACTTTGTGTAATGTTTATATAAAATTAGTTTTTCATTTGCTTTTAATATGTTAGATATCTGAATTTGCAATATACTCTTTGATATTTTTTGATAAATTGAAATGTTTTAGTATTTTATGTAATTCGAATTTGATCATATTAATATGTTAGAATTGTGCACTATAAGTATTAAACTATTATTATTACTATTATTGTTATTGTTATTATTATATTTAAAGGCTTCACCTTTAACCTTTTTGCAAAAGTAGAGATTTAGGAATCTCGGAAAAGGCTTGTTGCTAATCGTTGTATTCCTAATCTAGACCCTCTCAAAACCGCCATTTACGCAAGCAACCTTCTGAGGGCCTTGCCATGAAGGGGGAATTCGAGATGTCACGATAGCGGTGCTTCAGAAACTTCGATATAAAAATGAACTTCCATTTCGCTTTCGCATGTCGCGATGTTAAGTGCGAAGAGCTTACCTTCTCTATCAATGAAAAACTTTCCTTATGTGGTATAAGGTGAATGTGGCGTCCTTTTAAAAACTAGGAAACATATGGTGATTTTACGTTGCTGTTTGAATAACTGAATTTTAATTTTAAGTTTATTCTCCATTTTACAGAGTTTAAAACAAGATATAAATATATCACTCTTGATCGCACTACGTAACATCACTTAAAATCCCGGAAGTAAGCCCCTGAATTCTTGCTTGTTCCTAATGTTTAGAACGAAAAAAAGTAACAGGAAAGTCCGTGAAGGGTAAAACGTTTTAAATTTGTGCAAAACCATAATATTCAATGACGTTTCATGACCCTTTTCAGGACATCTTAAACGTTTTTCACAACCTTGGATGAAGAAGTCGGTTTCAAAACGCCACAACGTTCTTACTTCTTTTTCTTTGCTATTCTAAAAAAGTACCATTTTCAATCATTTTTTCACGACTCTATACGACCCACACAAACTTTATAGAAAAAACAGGGGGGAGGGAGAGCTTTTTAGTTAATATCGCCCCTTTTACATACACCCCCCACGCACCCCCTGAATAGCCGTGACATTCAGAACTATAGAGTTCTTTCCTTTCAAGAATTTCTTTCTCTAGGACAAATATTTAATTCCATTGATAAATTTCGCTCCTATAATGTGAGCCCTTAAAAATCAGAGGGCCACGGGCTTACTTTCCGAAATTTAGACTATACCGTTGAGGATGAACACAGCGGTAAACGTCCGGCATGCGCAGTGGGATCAAATCGGCCCGGCCACGCGCTAATTTCCCGCGCTAAACATCAAAGGAAAACATAAGAAACACTTACCGTCTCGCAAAAGAGACAAAAGAAAATTGAAAAGTTCACAGAAATTTTTAAAAAGAAACAAAAGAAGGGAAAAGCAGTACTTGAGACTGTACGGACTTAAGCTTTCTGAAGTACGGGTATCCTGCAGATTAACTATTTTGTTTTGAGTTTTACCGAAAAAGTTATACGTTTTTTAAACACCATGACGTAGTGGTTCTTATGATTTGTAATTATGTAACTCGAGTGAGACAACTTGGTTCCGACAGCCTGAAAGCACGCCGAGTAGTCATTACAACGCTTGCACATATGCAGGCGTTTGACCGCTGTGTTTTGAAGTTGTCTTTATAAAGCATTCGCTTTGCTGTTTTCCTCTCCCAGTTAGACTAGAAAGGCAGTAACATTCCTCTCCCCTTCCCAAATATTGTTTTGGCGACTAAATAGAGCCGACAATATGGAGTTTAAGAAACGACGACGGCGACGCCGTGGACAACGTCAGTTAAAAAATGAACTTATATTTGACATACGAATCTCGCGATACTCGAAAGTCATTAAGTTTGTTTCTCGCGGCCAAAACTATCTCGAAACTGAACATGGAACGCAGCGTTAAATTAGACATGGGAATCTAAAAAATTAGGCGTCGCCGTTCACGTTCTCCAGAAAACGCAAAGTTTGGTCATTTCACGATTTTGTTTTGCAGAGAACGCAAAGAAATTTACAAAGCTTTACAACACACGTGTACAGCCTTTGTCCTGCTCATGAAACCTTTTGTTTAGTGACATTCCCGTTACCATTGTCGTTGTGGTTTTTTTTAAACTCCCTAATCTCTTCTAAGTAAAACTGGCACTAGAATGAACTACAATGAAAGAGAAAATGCACACAAATTTTATGATGATTCAGACCGAACCATTTGGAGCCTCATCCAGCTCTGCTATGGTTTTCTTCAAGGTTTTAAGCAATTCGTCATTTTCCTTTGAGGTCCCAACGGTAATTCTGACACAATCTTTGCAGTGGACTTTAGATCCTTGATAGCGAATCACAACACCTTTCTCTGAGGCCATTTTCTTGTAGATTTCATAGGCGTGGTCTATCCTCAGAAAAACGAAGTTGCTATCTGATGGAAAAATCTACAAAAAAAGACACGAAAGGAAAAATTAAATCACTTTATGCATCAGTCAGTTCATGGTCGAATATCTGGTTCGTTAAGCTTTTCACGTATTTCAATCCTATCTGTCATTTGTGACCGTAAACTTGGAACCGCACCATGTGAAACCAGAAAATCCATGGGACCTTGCCTGTTCCAAGCGCTCAGTCAGTAGTAAACAGCGTAATGCAACTCTTGATTGTTAAGCAAATTCTCCTTGCCAGCACCTTGTATAGAGAGTAGTATGGAGAATATGCATGATGATGTTAGGGTGTAAGGAGTTAAGAATCTAAATGAAATACAGACATACAGCTGTAGATGTGTTCACTTGATGTTGATGGTATGTATTTGGTTTAGATAATTCAATAGTCCATTTCACAGTTGTGTGCTTGATTGCCAAGCCTTTGAACAGGAGTGAGGCTAAGGTTGACCTTGTTATGATACAAACCTTGTTGCTTTTCAAATGCAAATTACTTTGTTATCATGCTAACTAGATACTGGTCTCTATCACGGCAAGGTCACCTTCAGCCTCACTCCAAATCAAAGGCTTGGCAACTAAGTACACAACTGTAAAATGGCCGATTAGGTTACATGTACTAATGTAACAAAGTCACCAGTTACCTTTCTCACTGTTGGGAGTTTCTCCAGCTCTTCAATAATCCTTTCTTTCTGTTCAGCAATGCTCTTCACATTAGCCTCCATAAGGTGTACGTTATCTAGTGCTTTGTGAGCTACAGAAGCAGTGAGTTTGCTGATGTTATAAGGAAATTTCACTTTGTTGAATATTGTAATGATGTCTTCATGAGCAATGGCCATCCCAAACCTTTAAAGAGAAAAGGAATAGTGATTTTTTTTTGTCTAATCAAACTCTCCAACCTTAAAAAGCTGTGTCAGAATCAGGTAGTCTGAATCCTGCAAAACTTTGCAACATTTGACAAACAGGTTCTGCTAAAATGCACCATTTAGTTTCTCCTTCGTCTGTTAGTGGCTTGAGTGGAGAAAAATGCCCTCACATGGTATTTCAAAATCTAAGGTGGGATATTAACATCAAAATAAATTCTGTAGATTTTTTGTTGGATAAAAATCTCACCTTATTCCTGCCAAACCAAATGCCTTGGAAAAAGTCTGCAGAATTACTAAGCGAGGATATTTGTCGAGAAGATAACACAGACTACCACAAGTGCTGAAATCAACATACGCTTCATCAATCACCACTATTCCTTCAAATCTCTCAAGAAGTGCAATAATTCTGTCAGTTGCCAGAGTGTTGCCTGTTGGGTTGTTTGGGGAACATAAAAAAATCACATGGGTTTGTGGAGTTACTGCATCTACAACCTAAAAAAAATAATGGCCAGAGGTTAAGTTGATCTCTGTGGCTCAATGTGAAGCTCAGTTAGAACTAGGGTCCAACTGGCATTTGGGAAACATGTCATCAAAGCCTTCCCCAGCATCCCCTTTACTCCAAAGATCTTATCAGTAATTCTCCTTACTATCTACCATGCAACCCTCATCATGTTATTTCAGAGAATTTGGTATTGGATCAACTGATCATGATAATCCCCTAATATATATTAAAATTTATTCAAATCACTTGTCTGCTTGATATTGTATTGAGACTTTAAGGAAGGAAATTGTGTTTTGGTCACCCATGAGAATAAAAGGGTTAATTTTCTTTCTCTGAAATTTCTCCACCAATAGCACTCAACCTGTTATGGTATCATTCATTCATTTGTATGGGAACAATCAAAGGTAATAATTAAAAATGAAACCAGAACGTGGAAAATGAAAAATGAACTGAGAACAATAACAACAACAAAATATTTCAAATAAGTAACTTCCCACTTTTTCAGCCTGAGAGTGAAAAAGTGAGAGTTTCTGATTACCATCAAGTAAACTGAAGTTAAGACTAAACTGCATATATAAATATATACCTCATCAACTGGCAAATGGAACTCTTCTGTCAGAGGAACTGAAATAACTTGCACATTGTTTATGTCAGCCACAACCTGCGAAAAGGTCTGCTTGTCAACAATCAAGCAACATATGTTTTCATGTCTCATGATGAAACAAAATTTAATTAAATTTATTACAAAGTTCTCAGTTTACATAATCCTCAACAGTAGGGTAACAGTAAACATTTGCAGAAGGAGACAGTAGGAGAACTGGGCTCTAATTAAGAGGTCCAGGTCTGAGACCAGGGTGCTATAATCATTGTGTTTCATCCTTGGACAAGACACTTTACACTCACAGTGTCTCTCTCCTCTCCCCCTCTCCCCCTCTCCATCCAGGAGGGAAAAAGAGTACTAGTTATTAATATCAGCTACAGTTGGGGGGAAGGGAGGAAGGAGTTAAAGGGGGGGGAAAGTAGAGGGGAGAGATAGGAGCCTAACCTGTAATGAACTACCTAACAGTAGCATCCTTCTTGCTAGAGATACTAGGATAAGGTCTGGTAGTATGGGCAGGGCTGTCAACAAGTTTGAAAGTTGAGGAAGCATAAGAAATACTGGGCCAACATGTTATCTTGGTTGCCATGTTGTTTTGACAGAAACACACAAGGCAAGGAACTGAGAACTATCAACTTCTAATGTTCCTGGTGATCATCAACAACTTTGTACAAAACCTTTGTGCAAATTCTGAATTTATAATTGACTCATACACCTTAACCTAGCTGTTACTGGTAAACTAAAATGAGATGATTTTTAACTAGCACTTATAATAAAATAAAGAGAAAGAAGCTGCGCTAAAAATGACAGATTAGCCAGCAGTTTTGGCTGGCTACCTGGCAGCTCTTGAGTATGTACCACTTAGCCTGAGTGCTTACTCTTGTTACTTTACTAGAAAGGGGAAACTTTTCAAGAGGTTCCCAGTGGCAGTCTTTGCAAAAGTTTTTCAATCTTACCTTATACATTCCATATGTAGGTGGAGTGATCAATAGACTTCCCTCACCAGGGGTACAGAACACCCTTACCACCATATCAATTGCTTCATCACTACCCACTCCAAGATATATCTGCTCTTTCCTCACCCCCCTGTACTTTGCTATTTTCTCCTTCAAATCAAAGTTGTAGGGGGAGGGGTAACGATTCATGTCACCTTCCATTGGAATGCATGATCCATATGAACATTCATTGGCATCCAGGAGAATGCCTGGTATCAGAAAAACACCAAATGTTTTTAATTAATTTCTGTGACGGTTGATCATCATTTTTACATGTTCCCAGTTCACTCTTTTTCAAACAAATTATTGGAAGAGATAAAATATTTAAAAATGAAAAAAAAAGAAGAGGAAAATGGTTCTAACCCTATAACTCCCAGGAGTGATCAAGAGGTTATTTATCCTCAAATAGTCAATGCAAATCATTGATGCTACAGTTTCATATAATCTCTATTTTAGCTTAACATTCATTTTCTTTTCTTCAGATAAGATTTTAAATGTAAAATGAGGTTTCAAAATTTCTAACTACAATATAAGATTTAGGAAACTTTGAATAACTGACTGATCATTTGATATTCGGAAGAGGATATAAGTCATGTAGCTCGTGCAAATGGGAATGGAGTGTATTGCGTTACAAAGCGTTACCATTGTAAGGACATCTTCTATACTCAGTCGTATTATAAATATTTTACCTATGTGAAAGTAAAATGACTAATCACGAGGATAGCATGGTGAATAAATTACCTTGATTGAGCTGAATTTACAGAGTAAAAACGAAAAGGAGTCACTTGATCTATGAATACTTTACAGGGGGCAGCCATTGATCAATGACGGTGAAATTGTTTCAAATCTTATCTCCCTCGATAACCGGCAAAAAAATTAAAACGTGAAGTTAAAAAACCGACGAGTTTAAATGTGCATTTTTCGATCGAAGCTCAAGAGTTCCTGTCTTGCATAACGGTCTAGTAGGTGCATTGTTCTTCATTAGCACAACGTGGTTTGCTCATCTAACACTTCTATTTTTAAAATCAGATTAAAAGAGAGTTACCGTTATCGTAATCATCCCTTGCACATCTGTAAGGAATCAACTTCAGTATATTTGGTCTCACCAGATTTTGCAAACCAAGCTGTAAATGACTCATGGTTGGTTTGTTGCTCGTAAGCTCAGTAGGCTACTATCCGCTGAGTCCACAATCTTTTACAGCGGTGTTTACAATAAACAAAATGGCGACTACGAAGGGAAGAAAACAGGGAAAGGCCAAGGATTCCTCGGTAATCTCGTCTGGTTTTCATGAGTTCTTTGAAAAAGTACCTGTTTATACTGAGTTTTGTTTCTTTCGTTTAGTCCAAAGTGCTTTTACAGGTCATAAACACGTTGTTAAGCAGGTGAGTCCGAAACGAACTTTTTGCAGCTCGGAATTCGCAAATATTTAGGCGGACACCACAGTAAGCTTAATCATGGAGACAATGCGTGAACTTTATAGATTATGCATCAAGCACCGTAGGAGAACTGCACGTTTAGATGGTATTTTTCTTGCATAATTCTTTTGAATCAAAAAAGAAATGTTGGAAATTGCGAGCCAGCTGTTCAATGGACATTTCCGCAATACTTTCTTTTGTAGTAAGGCTGGTTTGCAAATGTCGCGAAAATCTGCGATATTGCCAAACTGCGGAATACCATGCAGAGCAGGCTTTCGCTTGATATTATTTACAATTTTCATGAAAGCTCCTTTTCATTTGAAAATGACTTGGTAATGACTTAGACGGGAAGAAAATTATTCCCTTATTTCCGGCTGGGATTTCAAAAGTCCAAATTTTGTTAGGCGTGTGTCTGGTATCCTCATTATGTTTCGTTCAGTTCAAAGTGGATTCTTCTATTGTCAACAACTCTTATCTAGTTTTGTTGTGCATCGGCCTTTGTATTCTGAACTTTTAGATATGTGCAGGCATTATATAAAGCTGATACAGGGAATCTATGTTTCTTTTGTAAGGGGTGTGAGGTACCCATGGGTCAGTTGCTTTGATGAACACTTATTGGAATCATTGTAATGTGTGAGGGGATTGAACTGAGGCATCGGAAGGAAGAGAAAAACGCTTAAATGAACGGCAGTTCATACATAAACGATTGAAGTTTAAGGAAATTGCTCCCTATTGCAGAAACCAGGGAAGCATGAAGAACATAATTTGGCAAACACCATACACTTAATGTATGGTCCTGTGGGCAACTAGTTAGTTTTGTTTTCCCTCAAGTCCTGATGTTTTCCTTGTCTTAGTCTCAGGAAACATAAGGAACTCTTGGGAAAACAAAACTAACTGTTTCCCTTGGGACCATACATTAATTGCTTTGTTATATATTTAGACTTTCCATTAAACAATCATGAGGCAAAAGGATGCTGTTGTATTTGGCACGTGGGCAACAACTGCGCAATTGTATCCCATTCAGGACACATTTGAATTTGATTAGGGGCATGTGACCAAGAATCAAACAATTATAGTGCTTGTTTTGTGGAGTGAAAGTCCAGGTATATAACAAAATTCATTGTCTTTTGAGACTAGGGCTTTAATTCATAGTAGTATTGGGTCGTATGAGAAACTTTCCAAAGCCTGCTTGCAGGAGGGTAAATTTTTCCTATTGGTCATGAGCTATGTTTGGAAACAGTTTTGTATAGGAGCTTCATAATGTTAGATGAAGACATTGGTGATTGATTAAAGAATAATACACATTGTTATATCATATGATGAAACATTGTACAGAATTGATGGTTTATGACGTCAAGGTGTCTAAAACTGACAGATTGTGTTCTTCTTACCTGTCAATGTACTTGGACCAATCAAGTAAAAATAGAAATAAAATTTGTTTGTTTTTTTGATCAGTGATAATGCAGAAAGAAGAGTTATTGAAAGAGAAAGATTGCAACATGAACTGAATGAATATGATGACAAGCTTAACAGACAGGTGGAGGGTAAGGCATTCTTTGTTTTAGGAAAAGTAGAGATCATGACAAAGTTTTGTGCAAAGGAATGTATTTGTATGGTGTGTATACAGGGCAGCACAATTTTTTTATTTTCATCTTTAACTTAGAGTGACAGACTCTATATAAAGGATTTATATTTTTGGTTTAATTTAATCTTTTATGGGTCTCAGAGACTTCAAGCTAAATTTAGGTTGGCAGCTATGTTCTATATGTCTTGTTCATTTATAAATGTGGTTGAAATGAATGTAAGTGTTGTTGTTTTTTAAAATTATTTTTTGCTTCATTTGTTTCTGTGTCATGATTATTTTCTCTTCTTTTTATTCTGAGTTATTCCAGTTACATGTATCTGTTCTGTCCTAAGTAAAAGTAATGTAAAATTTCCTAGAATACAGCAGAAGGCTGAAGAACAACAAAGAGCATTGAAATTGTGGTCCACTTCTTGAGAAGTGTAATACATGTTGGTGCATGTGATTGAGGGATGGATTGAACCACATTTTACATGTAACTTTTGAATGATTTGCCCTCCTACAGCACACCAGGATCACTTGAAATCAAGCATTCAAACATTTACTGGAATCTCAACAAGAATTGAAGGTCTGTTTTTGTGATTTTGGGGCAATAACCTGTATTTTGAAATCAGGTTAAGATGAGGGGTGTTTCTTATGATACATTTTTTCCTTAAGTCATATTAAGGAAAAGATGTATCATATAATGAAATTATAGGAATAAAGTTGCAATTATAGAAAAGGGTTTTTCTTGTAACCCTTCTGTTTAAGAAAGTAAGAGAGGAGGGGGGACAGTTATGCGAGGGAGCTACTTATTTGGAATTATGGCCTCGGGACTGGGTGTGTATTTGGTTAGGGTGCCTATTAGAGCATAAAAGGCACTTATTGGAGGAAGTATGTTAACACATAGGTGAGATTGTCAGATTAGACCAGGGTTTCTTTGTTTTATCAAGCTTTTTAATTCAGGGGCTAATCTTTGGATTTTTATTTCAAAATATACACAGCATCTCTTCAGAAAGTGAAAGTTCTTAGAGAGAATTTGTTAGCATGCAAGTCATTACTGCACTGTAAGAGGGAAGAGTTGAAAAAGTATTGGATGGATGGCTTGGAGTACAATGAAGTTTTAAATCTTTTAGACAGAATGTAAGTAGTTTCCTTTTGTATTATCAGACTAGGCGGCTTTATACATGTATGTTGACCGAAAGGATGGTAGTCTATTTTCAAGGGGTAAAAACAGTGTTTTGCACTCAGCTTGCACTCACAGCTCAGTTTTGGTGGAATATTGGTTTTAAGAAAAGGAAATTAGATTTACTTCCTTATCTCAATCTTGTCTTCTTCTGTAAGGATTTGAGAAACAAAACATCTGGGTGTAGGCTCTTGTAAATAATAAACAACACATGTAGTATGGTTCATTGTTAGCATAACAAGGGGTGAATTTCATCAAATTCTCCTCCACCAATTCATTTAACTTTTTACTTCCAAACATCAGCATCCATATTTTCCATACTCCTCTCGAAACATTCCCTTTAGAACTGACAGGATAATCCGTTAGATATGATCATTTCCTTTATTTTTTGTGACCTTAATGTGTAATTCAAATGTGATGTTGTGAGGTGAAGTTAGATGCTTGTAACTCTTAGGGGCCAAAGGGTTATTAATCATCAAGACCTCAGTAAGCATGCAGTACTCTTACTAGAATTTTAAATTATTTTGTTTTGTTATGTGTTGTGATGTGTAAGTGTGATTTTCAAGGATTTTTTACTGAATCAGAAAGCTCGCTGTAGTGCTGCAGAGTCAGTGTTGGTGGCTGTCTGTGAGAATTTAGCTCGTAGTTTGCAACGGGTTAAATTTTCACCGCAAGCCACCTCCACTGCAGTGGATACACAACATGTAGTTGTTAAGTGTAGGTGACTATTCATTCAGCATGTATGCACTGAGTTACATGTCCATATGCACATGGCTTCTCAACTGGAATGCTTTTGAACAGGTCTATAGAAGAGGTGATGATAAGAATAGTAGTAGTAATAACCGTTTATTCACAGTATCTCTATCAAATAAACATGGCTTTTCACTGGACTTGTGTAAACTACCCCCACACTGACAAACAATGAAATAGTTTATTAAAAACAAAGCTGTTTTCAAGTAATAAATTTAAAGTCTTTTCTTGTCTAAAAGCTGTCTCATCTACGTGTAAATCACACCAAACTGAAGAACCTTTTAAAACCCTGTAAATATAGCAGTTGCCAGCTCAGATCTTCATATACAATCCTGTATCTAGTCTCTCTGTGTAATTGTTTTTCTTATTTTTAGAGATCAAGTTAAGAATGTCCCTGAACAGATTGAGAAATATAAGAAAAAAAATATTACCTGCATGCAACAGAGCTTCTTGTGTCTACAGGTTTGTACTGTCATGTTTTGTTTTAAAAAGAAAAAGGAGGATGGTAAGTCTTAAGCTTAGTAAAGTAACAGAGAAAGATGTTTTTTGTCTTGTCATGAGTGCAACAAGACAGAAAACATCTTTCTCTGATCCATTCTATTTTGCCTGTCCAGAAAGTATGTTATTATCCATAGGAAGGTTATCTTGGTTTTGTTAGAGTTAAGTACGAGAAAAGAGTGCTCCATGTATATGTACTCAACTGCTGTATAGGACAATAGTCTATTGGATTTATTACTTGACTTTCACACTTTCTCTGCTTTTGCTGTCATTTTAGTGATACCTAAATTTATTGTAAATGTACATGTTCTTCCTTGTAGAGAGAGGCATTATTAAATTATAGTAATCATGAACGCAAAAGAGTCCCTACCCTGGGCTGGAACAAGGAGCTATAGAACTGGATTCTGGTGCACTTGTCTTCAGAATGATCCCTCACTATTACAGTTATGTTATCCCATTCAGTGATGAAAAAGGGTGTAAGATGGAGATACATGTAGCTAGAAATACAACTGTGCATGTATATTTTTGAAAATATGCCTTGGGGGGGGGGACCTTAAGATAAAACGATCTTAATTTTTATTTGTGTATTTCTTCAGTTTCTCTACTAGAAGGAAGTTTGTCTGGAGTGGAAGCATTGAGACATCTTCGTCTTGATTTACAGTCACGCAAAAAGGCAAGTGTTCAAAGCTTGTTCAACAAATTGAGCTCATTTTAAGACCACTATTATTCGTCTTGATTCTTCATCATGCATGGTTTTTAAGTTCCTGATCAGGTTGATAAAGTTCAGTATTTTGTTGTTAGGAATACTGTGTAGGTACATGTACCCTGTGCAACTATCTTGCTCTGTTGCTTTAATTTGTATCACAGACTGTATGATTTTTTACTGAGATTTCAATCTTATGTTGATGTACTATGGAGAAGTTTCTTGTGGTAATAGTGATCCCTAATAACCTTGACTTTACTTTAATAATTAATTTAATAATTATTACACTGCATGTACATAGAGCAAGGGGTACCACAGGCAGTAAATTTTTACCTGCCTGAGAAGGATCACACTGCTATTGGGAGTACTCTAGAGTTGGTTCTAAGAGGTTCAGTCGGAGAGTTTACTGTGACTGTAACAATTGCTTTTATGATTTTTTGTCCTTTTCCTCAGGTGGAGCATGAGTTGCTGATTAAAGAATTGACCACTCATCTGTATTTGAAGTCAGAGAAAAGCAGAGAAAAGAGAGCAAAACTGGTGGCGTACATGACAGACAGTGCTGCTTTGGCTGTAAAAGGTACAAGTACGCACTGTGCCCATGCTACATACTTAGGTTGTTATTGTTATATGTGAGTGATTGGTTACTAAAAGGAAAGAACCATCCTTGGGATGAATTTATAGTTACATGTCATGTAAACAAATTGTGTCAAGGTCGAAAGCATTAAATTTATGAAGTAAATCAAAGAATAAAATTTTTGCAGAATCTAAATTCAAATCTAAATATGATTGTGGCAAGATATGCCCATGCAAAAATTTACTACTACTGACATGTGTCTTTTCAACAGAATCATCGTCCAGTATTGGGTCATCTGGAGGACTCTTTAAAAAATCCCATTCTCGCACTGCTTCAAGTAAGATGTGAATAGCAATTCTCCCTTTCAGCTGTTATGCATTTCTTTCTTGGTTACCGGTAGTTGAGAGAATTTGTGTCTTATAAGATGGCATCCCCTTGCTGAACATTTTGTCAATTCTAGTCATTTTCTTGCTTGATAATGCATTTAGCTTGCTGGGAGACATTACATGTACTGAAATTTTTTTCTGGGTTGAAGGAGTTAAAAAAAGGTCTAGAACTACTTGATGATGTAAGCTCTCTAGCCAAGTAACATTCATTACAATTATCATGATCATTGGTAAAGCTTAAAATTGTTATGACCAGTGATTTTTTCTGTATATTTGTGGTATATCAGTTGTATTATCATTGCTCTCTGGTGTTATTACCTTGATGGGTATGGTTGTAGTGCATCACAACACAATAAGCCTGTGATATCACTGTTAACATTTCATTGAAATAATTTACATTGCTCTACTTTTTCTAGCACTTCCAGAAACTAATGCGAGTAAGCAAAGAAAGATTTACTGCATTTCACTTTTTTTACTCTCTCCAGACCCTGTTAGACAAACCTACATTTATTTTTGAATTTATCTCTTTGGAATGATTATTATCTTGTAAAAAAATTGAAGTCAAGTTAATTTTTTTCCATACATGACATACATGGTGGTTGTAAAAATTGAATCTCTATTATCTAACAAGAAGTGCTTATGTTTATGCTTGTGAAAGGTGTTCCATTACTTGGTGATTGTAATTTTCAGTGTGATTACTTTTTCAGGATCATTTAATCTTTCTGAAACAATATCTTCAGATGATTCTCTTTCTTCAACTGAGGTGAAAATGAGAGAATTAATTGTATATAATTTACTATTTGTGCAAACTTTCCATGTCTTAAGACAGCCTTCTTTGAGTTGATACATGTAAGTAATATATGTAAACATCAAGGGAAGTTTTATTATGCAATTCCTTTTTTATATATATTAAGCTCATAGTGAGAAGTATTAACCCTCTGACCCCTAAGAGAGACTGTGGTCTAATTTTTCCCCACGGTTTCACCCCTGAATCAAAATTACGGTCATGGGAAGAGTGTTAATAAGATGGATATTACTTGATTTGACATTAAATTCAGAGATGAAGAATCACTAGAAACATATTGGGGATAGTACTAAGATATTTAGATCTTAGCACATATTTAGATCTGGGGAATGAACAATGATGAAAAGAACAATGATGTAAAATATATTGTTCTGTCTTAGGTCACTGAAGATCTCAATACTGACCCTGAGGCTGACAGTAATCACTTCATGATCGTGATCATAGAGTCCCTATCTCTTCTTGGGAAGATCCCTGAAGCACTAGAGGTACCACAACTTATGTATACTTTTCTGTTTATATAAATTAAGAGCATATCTCTTACTAGTACAATCATAACCATTACAATTTCTTCAAATGTGATTGGTACATAAGCTGCTGTATTTTTCACTTGTCATTCTTAACTGTTGTAATTGGACAGAGTAATCAAATGGTTGGCTGTAATCAGACACCTGTAATTGGACAGTTGAAGCAGCCAATCATACTTAGTCCTTTCAGCCAAATCTACCAATCACAGAATTGATCCCACTAACCATAGCAACAACCACTTATCCTGAGAACAAGGGAATTTCCAAAATGGAGGAACTTTTTACTTAAATAGACACTGTCCCTAATGGAAATGTTTCTCCTAAATTTATGTCTTTTTTTCAGAAATTGTAATTGTTATGATTAATTGGTAATAGGACTTTGTGTTGTCCAATTATGTCTGTAGTCATACATGTACTACTGATTGACAAATGAGACTCACTTGTATGATTACAGACTGAATTGGAATCCACCCGGTCCTCTTGCCATCAGTAATTGCCGGGTTGTCATAGAGTTTCTAAGCTCTGGTCCGTCAAGGATTCTGTCCCATTTCTCTATAATCACCAATGTGATTATAGCAGTGGTGCTATATTTCAACACCACTGTTATTATGTTATTATAAAGACTGTTATTATGCAGCAACTGTATATGCAGGTCACTTGTTGGGTGCCTGGCCAATGAGAAGGAAGAAAAAAAGGAATTAAATGACAAAGAAATGACACCAATGAGACCTTCCATGTATGTGAATTTGGATTATTGAAATTTAGTGGGTATGATGGTATAAACAAAGGGTTAGTGAACAGGTAGCAAACTGGTTTCATTTATTGCTTCAAAAAGGTTTCCTGTAAACAGGAAGTAACATATTCTCTACTGGTTGATGTAAAGACCTTACAAATGTCTAAAAGTTAATCAATCCAAACAAAATTTACCCTTCCTCAAGTTCTGCTGCTTGCTGCTTTGCTGCTTTGATTTGACAGGCAATCAAAAAGCGAATGAAGATAGAGATGTCATTAATTATCCATAGGGCTACAACACTTGTTACTAAGAGGTAAGAGGTGTCATTTTTGTTCAAGAATGTATTTCAGTTTGTATTCAAGAATGTATAATATACATTATTAGTTTTCTGAGGTTAGAAAGGTACTTCTTTGCACACTCACAAAATGGTTGTCATGCTTGAATTGTAGTAGTAATTTAATTGAGCATGGCTAACTTATTTTGTAGAGCACTGAACTGTTGTGCAGTAAGTTGAGGGTTCAGGTCCCAGGCTGGCCAACACTCAGGGTCTTCAAATTGTTTATACAGGTCCCCATTTAAACTAGCTTTAAAAGCTGAACTGAGCTAGTATTGCAAATTAATAAATTAAGAAGAGAGTTTCTCCAATCAAATAAGCCCTCTGTGTAACTTGGAATACTTGATGTCTGATAATGGGATTGTATATAAACCCCAGGTTTTTATTTTTCCTCATTCTTCTTTTTTCTCTCCCTCTTTTTTCCCCTTTAAATTAACTTTTGGATTCTTGAACAGGATTGGACAACCTGGAGAGATCATACTTCAACAGGTATTTGCATGTATTTAGTACAATTTGTCTTGGATTTTCCAAAATTAATTTTGATATAATATTATGGAAGTAAAAGATCTTGTACCATATCGACTCTCTTGTGGCAAGTTGGAGCCATTTTTGGAAGCATGAATCTACAAGGAATGTTGCTACAGGTACTCCTCCGGAAAAAAGTTGCAAGTCCTTTGCAGGTCATCCACTTTCCCCAGCTCGCGACATGATTTCATGTTTTGCTGACAGTTAAATGTTTCTGTTTAATCCTTCATGAAAAAACGCTTACGAGTTACTGAGAGAGAATGATTTCTTGCACAATGGAGCAATTTTTTTACCAAGTGTCGAAACTTATTCAGGAGGGCATTGGTTTCGGTTTACTTTGTTCTGTGATTGGTCCAGAAAACTCGCGTCACTCACTGGACCAATCACATGCAAAACTAACAACTTGGTCGCCCGCGTTTTCCCACGTTTGAGGCGCTGAGCTTGTTTTCACTTTGAGTTCCCATTGGCTCTTTGGGTTATTTTCCTTTCTATCTTTTTACGATACTCGATCGAAAAGCGCTCAAACACAACCCAGTGACCCTGGATAAAGCTCCAAGTGGGACACTTTATGTGACGGCCAGCATATTATAAACATTTCATTATGTCGTCTCCCAGTAAAGAGTAACAAAGAGTTTTTCTTTATATTTTCAGAATCAGCCTCATTACCTTTTGGAACTCTTAGAAGTGGTGTTCGACTTGTTCAGAGCCGTGGCACATGCGCATGATACAATTCTTTCTGCAATCCACCGAATCATTGTAAGGAATGAGTTTTCTTTGTATTTTAAATAAATAAATTATATCACTATTTCTCAGGTTGCTGTTGTTCCATAAATGCCCCGTGCCAGCTATATAATATTTTTTTGGTCAGAAAAGTTTCAAAATAGAGGATTCTATGAATATTATTGTGCAACTTTGTAGAAATGTAATTTCAAAAACGAGTTATTTGGTTAAGTGCTTCGTGCCTTGCCACTGAGCTACTGAGTATATGATGGTGAGCCGGGCCACGACCCGGCTCGGCTCTTGAATTGTTCCCTGTAGTTTATATGACAAATGTTTGGGATACAAGTTAGGCAGACTGATCTCGATCCCTTCAATTGTAGGAAGGGAAAAGTTCCTTGACGTGAAGTTATGGACAGTATTCCATGCATTCTTTCAAAATGTTGTATTCCTTATTTCCAACGTATTCATCAGATCATGCAATAGTTCCTTTGCGAGGTTACAGTAATGCATTTTGTCACACACGGCTGGGTGTTTGGGAATATGTTTTAAAAGAACTTTTGTAACAACACAAATAAATCATCGCAGTAACTGAGAAGAGAGGTAGTAGGGATGTAAACGCGTTAGGTTCATCTGTTTATTCTTGCTTGAGATATACCGTGTCGTCCTTGAAAACCTTGTGATAATTTTTCCAAGAATGTCTAGTTGGTGATGTAATGCTCTTTTCCATTTTCTTTTTGCAGAAGACGTCAGATACGCCGATTGATTTAGGTACGTTTTAAAATATAATTTACTTGTGTATTATTTAACTGTTTGCAACTCGCTTGTGACATACCATATTGATGGAAAGCTACGCAACCTATTTTAAAAACAATTTTTTATTAGAAATCTCATCCAGTGGCAACCTGATTTGGCAAATTTTTGAAAGTACTAGCCATTCCAAACATAAGACTTACTTTAGCTTGCCTAAGTGCAAAGCCCGCCGTTTAATATATACTTATTGACCGACTGGATGGGCAATTGGACGAGAAAGTAACCCTATGTCACGAGGTGCGGACCCTGTAGCTCTTGGTCGTTACCTGATGACCGAGAGCTAAATATTTTCCCGTCCGGCCCGACCTCACTCAGTCAATGAGTATTTTACCATATGACCTCAGCTTTAACCCTTTAACTCCCACATCAAATTTGCAATTCTCCTTACTGTCAACCATACAATTCTTATAATGTTAGTTCAGAGAATTTAGTATTGGATCAACTAATTATCCCTAAATTGATGTTTTTTCTCTATTCTCATCACTTATCTGGTTGATATTGTATTGATATTGTAAGGAGAAATTCTGTCTTGGTCACTCATGGGAGTTAGAGGGTTAACTCTTCCTTTCTGTTCTACTCGCCTCGGCTTGCGAGCAGGCCTTCATTATTGGCGCTGCAAGAAGCACGTTTCTTCGCCCGCGGGAAGATTGAAGACGAGTCGAACAGAGTTTTGCGGGGGGAGTGCTAGACCCCTTACAGACTCCTCCCGCGCTCAAAGCCTCATACGTCCTCGCGGGTGAAGAAACACTCGTGCCGAATCAGTAATGATGAGGGCCAGCTCGCAAGCTATACTTGCCTCTTTTGGACCCTTACGCCGGGTTGTGGGTCCTTCTCTAGCCCTAATGGCACCAATGCGTACAACCCTCATATGTTTTTTTGGGGGATGTTTTCCAACAAAAGTGTGTACTGGAGTGAACGGGTCTCACTGTAGTAATAGTTTTTTGGGTCATTAAAATATTGTGTACACAGATTAGGCTAAAAATTGCCCAATTCTGATGGAACCATTTTCTTTTTTAGTTGGGAAGTTAAGCAAGTTGACCCTTCCTCTTTTTGTTATTAGGAGATACAGACATTTACACCATTGACGATGTTTGGTCTGAGATTCAATTTGCTGTAAGTGGAAACATTTTGTACTGAAGATGTAGGATCACAAAAGTGTAGGGTTTTGTTGCATTCGTTCTCCTGATAGTAAAATTTACTTTCAGATCCAAGTATTGCTGGGTGACTACTTAGATGTTCAAAACACTGCAACACAGCAAACTTCAGTGAGCTTTACTGAGTCATCAAGGTAATTTCTTATCTTCGTGAACGATTCTATTAGAGCACATATGTTTTAACATAGTTACAGTAAGCGGGAAGTCGAATAGTGCAGCAGTGAGAGCGCTCGTCTTCTGCTGCTGTGACCCGGGTTTCGATTCCCTGCACCGGCGTAACATGATGGTTGAGTTTTGTTGTTGGTTGTCGTCCCTGCCCTGAGGGTTTATGTCCGGGTCTTATCGGTTTTCCTCCCTTCACAAAAACCCACGTTCCTAATTCCTATTCGACCTGGAGACAGTGGACGGGTAGAGCTACCTCAAGGAAAGTCCACGGCTAAATTCCCATTATTATTATTGTTATTATTATTATTATTATTATTATTACTATTATTATTCCTACTTATTATTACTTATTATTACGAAGGAAAATGATGTGAGGTGCCGGTGGTGGGAACTTAAGTCAAAAATCAAACTTTTTATGAAAGCGAGGGAGAACGCGAGGGATACAGTTGCGCATTGTTTGAGTTTGCGTCGGATTCATTCGGAGGATAGAACAAGTTTTCTGCATCGATCTCTCAGGAATTTGTAAAACTTCAATGAACGGTTCTCACTAATTGCATTTAGTTTTTAAACAGTTGAATAAAGCTCAGTAATGGTCTGTTTATTTCCTTTTTCCTAGTGATGTGGCAGCATTCTTTTCTCTTAGAAGAAGAGGACCTCTGAAGTCTGATGAACGGGTAGGAATACTGAGTCTTATTCTTCCTCTGCTACTTCATTTCACCATATTAGGGCATCGGAACGTACAGAATGTGCCCCCGAATTACATTGTAAAACGTGGTAATAAAACAGATGAAAAGCGGAGCAATAAAAAAGCAGCTTCAGGGCGTGAAATTGCGCCTAATACAGGCGCCAATGCGCCTAAATTTTTCACTTTGGCGACCAAATCCTGACAGTTAGTCGCCAAATTGGCAACTAGAATGTTTCATCATAACCTTACCAAGAGATATAGTGAATTAAAAAGATTTGCAAAGATAAATCCGCTGCAAACTTCCTCGTTAAGTTTGTTTCCAAAACGTAGCACATGCATCTCGATCGATAACTAGAAGCCATCTTGGATTTAGATGAGCCTAAAGATTGTATATCATCCACCCTAGTGTCCACTTTGTAGCACGTTAAAGATCTTTTTCCTAACTTAATTTTGGAGGGTCTATCTAGAACGCTGACAGCGTAAAGAAAGATTTTGTTTGTCTTTGAAAATAGCGACCAACTTCTTTTGAATTGGCTACCACTTTGAAGAACTTAGGAGCCAAGTGGCTATCGGAAAAAAAAGTTAATTTCACGCCCTGAGCTTAGAACGATCCAAATTTTTTTTGCTTTTTCTCCTTTTTTCAGGCTTCGCTTTACAAGATGTACCTTAAGACGCTGCAGATTTTTTTGTGCGCCATTATTAACACTTAAATGGTTTCGTTCGTGTTCTTTTCTTCTTTCGCGCGGCCTTACGCGATCTAGACGAGGTTCAGATGAGGTTGTAAGATATATTTCGAAAACTAGAAGCCAAATACGTGAAACAACCAAAATACTCTGGCTCCTTCGACGTTCGCTCTGATAAAGGGCTAACGCTCGAAACGTCAGCTTTGAAACTCTCTACGGTGGCCAGTTTACGTTATCAACTCCTCGATAATACTAAATTACCCTGATATACTCTCCTACCGACGCAGCACCACAGTTTCTTTAGAAACTTATCCCCTTTATTCATTTGCTTTTCAGACCCCACTGTATCGTTTTGAAGGTTCCTCGTCAGCTATCAGTATGAATACGTACATCCGGGAGAGGCGCCAAGAATGCATGGCTGGTACTGCGGTATGTAAAAAAATCTTTGATCTAAAAGAGTCATTAGGGGACTGGGTACAAATTGTTTTAAAGCTGAAATTTGCCACTTCTAAGAGCGTCCAAGCCCTCGGGGCCAGTCATTGTTAATCGCCTGAGGGGAAGGGGGGGAGGGGGGGAAGAGAGGGGTGTGGAGGATTTTAAGGGGATCATATGGTTTTCAGGGTAACGGAGGAAGGATCAGTCGTCGCGACAGAGTGTAAAAGGGGGATTATGGAAAATTGGCTGCTAATTAGCTACCGGTGAGAAGTGATAATAAGAATATTACAGAGCCTTAAAGGGGAATTAAGCAAATTTTATCGTGAAACAACCAAAATCCTCTGACTCTAGCAGTTGAATAAAAAATGACTTGTCTCTTACTTAGGTATTGACTTTGTAGAGTTTTGTAACCCTTTAACTTCCATTAGTGATCAAAAAAAATTTTTTACAATATCAATACAACACTAGTTAGCACAATTAGCAAACGTTCAAAATGAGTGAATGTTGTGATCCTCTTTCTGCGAGGCTTAATTTTACTGTGCGATCGATGATAGCAAAGCTCCGTTTAAAGACAACGTGGCTAAATCGATTAATTTTCAAACCTACCATGACAAGTCTCACTCAGTAAAAAATGGATGCTGTGCAGTGCATTGCGAATAGGAGGAGCCAGGGGACGCTCTTCTTCTCATTCTCTGTTTTCGCGCGGAGCTGATTTCATTGTATTCAGTCATAGCGTACGTTTATGTCCCTTGCAAATAAATACTACTTCGTCTTCTATTAAAACTTTCAGAATGAAGATGACGATGACACTTATGGAGTGCCGTTACACAACACCAAGCCACAGCTGTTATGTAAACCAAACCCAAGGAACATTACAGGTGAACTGATAAGAAAAATCCATGTGAATCGAGGTCGTGATGACATACTTTGCGTTGTAATGATAAATTTACGGATCAATGTCAGTCCCTGAGCAACTGCGCACTTACCCTTCCTCTAGGCCAACTTTAACCCCAACTTGTAATCAGTTGACTGTTGTAGAGTTCGCGGAGGGAAGGCTCAGGTGCGCAGTTGCTCACACATTTTCATTGCTCGGAATTTTACAATCGACTCTGTTGATATTTTTCTTGAAACGATTTACCGTGTTTGTTTACCTCGCTAACGTTGGCTTTCCTTGTTTTTTTCTCAGTTGTCTTCTGCCCTCTGATGTCCTTTGTCGGTGAAATAGAATCAGCTATTAAGATACACGGAGAGTAAGTGTGCTGTAGTTAGTTTCTTTTCTACCTTCCTGTCTTTACTTACTACTTGAAAACGTTGTCAACTTGACAAATAGATTCCATGTTTCCGTTCATCTGTTTAGTATAGTTAATCACATGATTTCGAGTGAAATTTGGAATATATAAGCAGGAGTAAATTTTTTCAAAGACAAAATTGTACGATCCCATAGGGCGAGTGCAATTTGTGGTCTTAAAAAAAAAATATACAAGTGCACATTTATTCCAAATTGCACGAGAAAAATCATGTGATCACTTACTAATAATATACGTGAAAAAAATACGAGATAGCTTATCATAATTACACAGAAGCAAGGCGCGCGCATCAAGTGCAAAAATAATTGATTCAAACCCTGCAAGTGACATTGCGCGTTCGGTCAAAACAACCGCGCACGATCAAGACAGTAACACACAATGATGCTTTTACATCTTTAGGCGCAAAAAAGTTTAAATCCCGGCTAAACAGTTCAAGGAATTGTTCAGTCTGGTGTGTTACTTCTTTGCACTGAATTAACCCTCTTCTGCATTGAATTACCTGGAAACTGCATTTATCTCAACCAATCAGAACTGAAAAATTTTTTCGTGTATCTTATTAGAAATAAAATAAGAACAAAAAAGTGGCTCAGGAGGCGCAGCTGAGCGTGTCACTGATGTTCTTTCCACTTTTTGACATCCTCTGTGATCTGTTACTATACAAACGTACTGCAACACGGAATCTATCTGTTTTATATGATAAAAAGCAAATTTTCGTTGATGGAGAGTAATCTAAGCGTAATATAAGTAAGTAACAAATCAAAATGCGTTTGTAATTCAGCTTATCATATGCTGTTTCCTGGTTCAACTGTTGTTCATCCAGTCAGAGCGATTACTTGTTGCAATAACAGTTTTGGCAGGACCAGAGATTTCTTTTCAACTCACCTATCCATTCGGACAAATACACCATTTCTTGCCCGCTTGAGCTCTAAACTAAAACGTCGCAGTAACGGCTTGAAAATGCAGACGAACTCACGGGACACTCGGAAAACCATACACAGAATAGGAATGAAAGAGGCTAAGGGACTTTTGGAGTTGTTTTTGGGACAGCGTGGAGAAAATTTGGCCCAGTCTTGTTCATTTGTAACTCTGAATTTTACTGGAGAGGTGACTCGAGGAAAATCTCCATTTTTCATGTGGAGTATAATTTACCTGTAAGAGGCTGTGGGTCTGTTATTTCATTGCTAACTTTACTTCCTCTAAAACTTTACAATATTTCTTTTTAGGATGAGATGTACTCTATATGGTTTTATCACTGACTACGTGAAGGAAATTTTTATTGAGGACATCCTCTTTCATATTCTTGAGAAGTTGAAAGAGGTAACCGAAGGTAAGACTCATTGTACTAAAGGCAAAAAAGAAAAAAAAAACCGCAGAGCAGAGTTTGAAGATTAGAAATGTTACAGAGGTGAAAGAAGTCGCTTTCGCCTTCTGTGGCCAGGATTCGATTCTCGGAGCAGGCACTACGTGTGTTGAGGTTTTTTTTTTCATAAGTGCGAAATGAGAACCAATAACCATTCCAACAATGCAGTAATGCGCCTCCCACTGAAGGTGGGAAGCGGATGCTTCCGCTGCTGCGCCTTCCGTTATTCAGTTTATCCGAATTCAGACATACGCAATGTTCAAATTGGCCTCCTGACTGAATGTAATACTCAAGCGATTACAGAAAGCGCTAACATGCTGTTGCTGGTTATTGAAATTTTTTGTTTGCTTTCTTTGTCGATAGACACGGACACATTTCGAAGGACCACTGATGCAAACATTTTGAAGCTCTTGGGAGCAAACAGACCCCTTCTGCAGGTAGGTTTTTGTTGTTGTTTTTTTTTTTGGCTTAATCTTTCGAGCCCAGTAGCTTATCAAACTGGAGCTTATCCCAGTTTTTTATTACGTGAAGCAATAAGCAGTAAAAAAAACTGATGCTATCCCATGGCAGGTTTCTTTTCCCACGTCCCACTCCCTCAGTAAAGAATTAATTTAAAAAAGAATTTGTCAAGTTTCTTTGAACGTTCACCGCTACCCAGTTGAACTTCCGGGTGTAGAGAGGCACTTTGAGAATAAAGTAGTTTACCCAAGTTACAGAGTGCCCTGCCAAGGGCTCGAACCCAGACCTCTCGATTCGGCCGGATTTCAACGCGGTCACCCGGAATTCAAATACCGCGTCTCCCTGTAAAACCTGACGATATTTCAGTGTCGGGTTTTTCAATTAATGCTGGTTACCGGCGGTTTCCGGTTGGTTATTAGGCCTCTTATGGTCGTCTTTCAAGGATTTATTTATAAGACCTTTACGGCCTTTTTAGTTCAGTACCATCTTTTTTACGAACGGTAGTCACGTATGAAAGAAAGAAGTAATTTAAACTTTCTTTAGTTTCATTTTTAATCGACTCTAGTGCTTTTCCCTTGTCTGACTAGAGCACTGCGACTGTAGAACAACTGATACAGGATCTTAAGAATCTTATGCATAGCTTACCAAGCTACTCGCCTCAGTTTGTTGAAATGGTTTCCAAAATGCTGACGATTTTCAAGAATCGGTGCGATGAGACATACAAAGGTAAGTTCTATCGCGTGTTGTCCTCTTCTGCCAACTTGGTAAAAATTGTTATTTCAATTACAACCTCTTTTGTTTATCTGCAGATCTGCTGAAATACAGCATGGATGGTGACAGACACACTCGTGTTTTCAGCGCCAACTGGACCAAAGACGAAGACATCAGTCGCTGCTTGAGGTAAGGAAGTGATCAACATATAACTTCTCCCTATAATATTCATACATTATCCAGCAAACAGGTAGAAGAATATTCAAACTTATCACATAGAAAATTGTTATGGCGTCCGAATACCAAATTCCCGTAACTAATTTTATAGGAAATGTGTAGCAGCTATTGGGGAGAATTAACAATCAGATCTTGGGAGTTGAAAGGTTCAGGCTCAGGAACCTACTGTCCCGTTTCAGCCAAGCTTTATCCCGAATCTGCAGTATGAAGCGACTAAGGATATTCAAGGGTGTTAAGAAGTTTGAAATTGAAGGAAAACAAGAAGTAAGAGGTGGTAAAATTCTCGTGAACGCCATGTTATTTTATTAGGCGTTCCACGAAGTTCGATCGAACCTTTGGTAAATTATTTATTCAATCCGACTTGATAAATGGCCGCTGTGCAAGGGGCTTCAATGGTACTTCAATATATTGACGATTTTTTATCAACTTTTGTGGTAAAATGAGGTGAAAGTAGCCGACCAAGTCGGCATACCAGCCGACGATCTTTTGCTGCATACAAGCTGTCATTGACAGCTCTTAGTTTTACGACTCCTCTTAGAAGGGAAAACTAGTCTTTCCTAAGCTGGTGACCATGTTCCTTGATAGTTTGTTGGCGCATCTTTGTACTCTTTGGTTGAAAGAGGCATTGTGGGAGTTTAGTGCCGGCGGGTTGGTTATGAAACGCAACACTGGGACCCTCCGAGAGTCCGAACATAGACCCTTCTGTTCAGAGTCTAGCATCCCAAGCGCTACGCCACCTCGTCTCGACATTACCTTATCGTATTTGACTTTTGATTCAAAAGAGATATTGAATGGAAATAGATAGACTTTCGGTGTAGAAGGAACTTAGTGCGAGGCTGTTTGAGCCTGGCTAACTGTTGCTCTGCCCTGCAGGTCCTTACCAAACTGGCCTGGCCTTCAACAACACCACACGCATCGACAAAGACAGGTTAGAGTTCAGCTTAGCCCTGCAAAGCGCTTGAGGGTTACTTTGATTGGATCGCATTTGAATGAACCAACCGTTTTTGTGCACCCTTGAAAAGAGACGTTATTTTTTTCATGGTCGTTTCAGTTTTACAATATCCAGAACCATCCAAATAGTAATCCTGCCGTAGAAATTTCAAACGCACCAATTTTTCTTGTAAAGGATACAGTTCAAAAAGTATCAAACGAGCAAACAAACAAACAAACAGAGCATGTCCTGGAGTTTTTCCAAATGTCTTCTTCAGGTAGCCATTTGAAATTAACCTTAATTTGAGTTTAAGAATTGCTTTTAACAGAGTGGTAACTTTTTTAATCGTGAAGTTGATCTGGAACGATTCTTTTGTCTCAGGAAGATGGAGAACAAGATATTGAAGCTGCAAGGAAACGAAATCAAAAGGTAACGAGGGCGCTTTTTGATTGAGAGTTTCCATCATAATTTATCATAATGGTCAGTTGTAGCAAAGGTATAAGTCACAAAGGGCGTATGGCAAAATCCCTATCAAGTAAGAACCAACCAAAACGCTCGGATTTACCTCCGGACTACCTTGCCATATAATAATACTTTTTATAATTATTTTATTACATGATTGTTCTTATTATAAATGATTATTTGCACGATTATGATTATTTTGATTCACTTGCACGGCATTTGTGTACAGGAGACGGACATACTGACTGACAATCTGGCCAAGCATCTTCTGAATGATTCTGAAGTGTTGTTTGAAACACGTGACCACAGAACACTGGCAAACCTTCAGGAGAGCATGGTAGGAAAACACATCACGTGTCTCCTTGTAATTAAACACCAGGGTAGCACTACAGCAACCTGACGCTCCTTCTCCCGAAAGAATAGGTCAAGTTTCTATAGTGTCTTATTTCTACTTAAACATATCTCAGTTTCTATATCATGAAGTGACTATAGGGTATGACTAATAAGAATTACTACTCTGCCGGGATGGGGATGTTAGTCCAAGGAGTGTCCCCTCCCCCGCCTCAAGAGCCATCGTGAGGGTTGTCTGTCTTGCTCTGCACTAATCCAACACGTAACCAAGCTGGAGTTCATACCTAGACCTTTCAATTCGGTGTCTAGCGCGTTGAACTCGTGGCCACCGACTCCAGAATCCAACCTAAGTTGGAAGCAACGTGATTGAGAATTTAGAATACTTGACTTAAGCTACTCATAGGATTTATTCTCAGTCCCCCCTTGTTGAACTCTCTGGTCTGAAAAGCTTTATTGGGGTAGTGGTCAATGAATGAATTAATCTTTGATAGCGGTAGATAAATGTTGCTCAAATATGGCATAAAACGCTAAGTAAGTTGCGCTTTTTGCCCATGTGTGTTGTTAGGAGTGGCTGGCAGGTCACATACGGGGTTTTACCACAAGCTTAACAGCGCAGTCCACAGGTATAAGTCTTGTCACAACCGAGTCACAGGAGAGAATTAAACCAGTAAGTTGGATTGAAAATCTTTTAAAGCTACCTTCCTTTGTTGTACTTTACTGAGACAATTTAAGAACAAGAAAACATTTCTTTTGGGCTACATTGCAAAGTCTTATTGTAAGCAGTTGGGCTTCAAAGAAAAAAAAACTGCGCTATTGGGTTTCACTGAAAGAAATTTGGCCCTGTTTGTTTGAAGGGTGGATAACGCGGTTCACTAGATAGATCCCTATCCGGTGGACAGCGTGGAACGTTTTGATAACGCTTATCCAACTGGGCCCTGGGAACAGAACAAAAACTCTTCTTGTCAGATATCAGAATACACACCTCCTTAACACAATAAAGCACATAAATTGAAATTAAAGGTAAATTTGCGAGGAAATCGCGCAAAACGATCATTTTGGTTAGGTTTCAATTTATCATTTGAAAGTTCTTACACCTGTAAAACGTATGTTAACATATCTAAAATACCGAGGAACGGAACAATATTTTAAACGATGAAGATGTTTTATATAGTCTATTGTTTTCACCCACAACACGCTTTGTCCATGGGTATTACTTTGTTTAAAATAAAGTCCTTATAATATCTTGGAAACTGCATGATTTAAACCGAAGTCTGTGGCCATGTCATCGTAATTGTTGTGTGGAATTGAGAATTTTAGATTCCAGTTTCATTTGAGCCTCAACGGAAGGAAAAACATTTTCGTTAGGAACGATTTTTTAAGAGGTGCAACATTGAGTTAAACCTGACACAATGCAAAATTAAACTTAACAGCGAGATGTGCACGACGGCTATGGATTTGCTTACGTTTATGGTAGAAATTGGGTGAGTTGTCCAAGCATTACTTGTCAATCGACATGAGATATAATCTGTAATAACTTAATTGCTTCTAGCTAAAAAATTGTAAAGATAAATTATCCACACATTTATTTTCATCGGTCGATTTTTGATTCCTCAAATAGTGAAACGGGCAAACTTGTTCCTTGTCGTATCATTGAGAGAGTTTACTTAAAAGGTGCTCATAAACTCGAAGATCTTTATTTGAATTACTGCTTATTGTTCTCATCAATATCATTTATTGATCTTCTAAAACAGAGCTTTAAAATGAGGGCAACTAATTGATCGATATAATTTCAAAAGTAACTCAGTTTATTATTTTTTGGAAAGTATCAGTAATGCTGCTGGACCCACTGAAGTGAAGTGCAATTTCGCCTGATATCAAGCGCATGCTTTTATAACACATGGTTGATATCAGACCAAAATTGCACATCACGAATGACCATTCCAATTTAGAGGAAGTTCAATTCAATCACCTAACTACAGGATTTTGGTCAGAATTAACACTTAATTGATTCACATCAAGTATGTTAAAAAATTAGTGCGATTTGCAGATAAATTTTCTAGTTGATATTTGGAGAAGTGAAGAATTGTCCGTCAGTAGGGTGTTGTAAGTCATCTTCATGTTAATCGATAGTTCAGCTTTGCTGTGATGTTATTGGCTTAAAGTCTCCAGTTGCACGAGTTGGTCGTGATTGGTCAGTTTCGATCCCTCGGTAATGTTCTGTACGATTCGCATGTTGTGTAAATGTTGTAAATAACTATTTGTTTGTAAGATGCCGGTTGGTAGCGGTAGTTGATGTTATTATGAAAGTCAAGCGAGGAAATTTCTTCCACTTGGTGAGAAATTAAAACTGATGAACAAATTCGTCGAAGCCGTCGTGAGTTGTATCGTGTTATATACTTAAATGTATTTTTGAGCCTTGCTTGAAGTTGCTTGCCTTTTGTATCGTTTATTTTACAGCAAGAAATCCCCCCAGTCTCCCAGGAAATCCTACAGTAAGTATTTCTATCTCGTTAACTGTTATAAAGTGAACCTCTTTCAAGTGAGTTTCCAACCTAATAATCCGGGATCGTTTTGGTTTTGCTTTAGAGTAGTTCTCATTGATAGTAAAATATAATCCGGGAGTGCGCTGGTTGTGATTTTGGTTTTAGTTCAGGTTTTGCTTTTGCTTTACTTTTCTTGGTGATTGGTCCGGAAAAGTCGCGCCACTTTTTCCAACAGTCAGATGAAAAACTAACCAATCGCGACTTGGTCGCCGAACGATAGATTCTGACATTACCCATTGACCGATCCAACGTTTTTCTTGCAAAACCAATCTTCCCTTTTTTGAAAAAAATGAAATGATTGTAATACAGCCTATCCTTAATACACCCTTTCGGTACAACTCAAAGTCTTGTTGAGTAGAGTAAATGCAGCACACCACGTTTACAGTTCTAGCTGGGTGGAGGCAAAAGCCTGCCCGCGTATCCACTGAACTGAGCACGTTCGGGTTAAGAACTCAGCTCTCTACCACGTAGATCCCCTGTCTTCACCCACTCTCCCCCTCCATGAAAGGCTTATGAGACGGGAAAAAAATGATTGGCAAATAAAGGTTTTGCCTTGCATTTGACTTACAAGTAGTGGCCAAAAGGTAAAGTTTTGTATTTCTTACTCAACTTTAAAAGAAACTCTGTAGAAAGTTAGTCAAAACTTAATCACGTTTTTTCAACCCACAGATCACTTACAACGCTAGCAGAAGATTTTCAGAAAATCTCGGACTCTTGCTTGCTTGTGCTTCATCTGGAGATTAGATGCCATTGCTTTTATTTCTTGATGCGGACTGTGCAAGAGGTCAGTTACGCCCTTCTGTCCTACAGAAGACAAAACGCTACAAAATGGTAGCCTTACCATCTGTTTCAATAGGAAATATTTAAAAGCAAGGGCAGTTTTTGATACTGGATTGAAGAAAGCTTTGCAACGACATGACACTGCTTTCTCTGATGTGCTTCTCTGTTAATACCAAAAACTGTAGATAAGGCGTGACACAGGTTTCATATTATGGTAGTCATCATCAATATTTGTCACTCTGCAAATTCTTTTATTGCAATCGGCTTTCTGTCAGAGGTTGTATGACATGTCAGGGACCAGTCTTTAGTATGGGGGAGGGATGGGGAGGGGGGAGTGAAGGATTTTTGGGATATCACATTGTATTCAGGGGGAACGGGGGGGAGGGGCTGGGGGGGGGTCAGTCATACCTAATAGAGCACAAAGGGGAGCTATATAAAATTTACTGCTAATGATGGGGGTCATAAGAATATTACTGAGCCCTAATGAGATCCACCAAACCCCCTCTTCCTTCCCCTCCCTCCGATGAATAATGACCGGTTCAAACGTGAAGTGAATTGTAGACACTCATATTTGTCTTGTTTTTTGGAGGTGAGGAGGTTGTGCCATCTTCTAAATGAAACGTTTGCCCTTGTTCTCAGTTTTGTGTGAAATTTGGATTACTTGACAAAATGCTGAAATGCACTCTTACTGAGAACTCAACGAATGATTCTCATTTGTTTCTTTCAGTCTTACGTGTGCAATTCAAACGCTATGGACCCTGATAAGAACGTGAATGACTTGAACAAGAGTTTGTCATCGTTTGAGGAAATTGCAACTGCTTGCATGGGAAACTACAAGTTTAGGTACTTAAATATACTTGCATTGTTTACTAAAATGGAACTTGTCATCACTTGTCACCTAACATTTGTTAGCTTTGTTTTCAGAAAATTGGGGTAATTTAATATTATCAACTGTGTTGATAACGTAAATTGGCCACTGTAAAGAGTTTCAAAGCTGATGTTTCGAGCGTTAGCCCTTCGTCAGAGCGAAACGGGCGCGTGTTGATATGGAATTTCTCTTCGAGTGTTTAACTCGATAGCTCACGAGTGAGCGAAGCGAACGAGTGAAATGTCGATTTGTACACGAGAAGAAATCTTTCAGAAGAAATCTTTCAGGTACGCGGCCAAAATCGGCCCGTGGCAAATCTTCCACTCTTTGATTTTCGTTCTCAGCCAGGAGAAATGCCATTACCAAAGCCACTGAATACGTAACTTTCGGTTTTTCTTTTCGTATTTTGGTTTTCTTCCCCTTCTAGGAAAGTTTGAACGTCACTGTCTGTAAGCGATACGGATTTTTCGGTGTTTTAGCAGCCATAATCCGAAAAGATTCCGACAAACGTCTTTGTATTAAGAATGGTGAAGGCTTTGCTGTTCATTCATCAACCTGACCGAGTGGCGCGAAAGGCAAGTGACGTGTCAGCAGCTGATTGGCGATATCAAACACACGTGAAAAATATCTTAATTTTTCACGTGTGTTGTCACGTCTTTTCTCAGGGCTGGAAATCCTTGTATAACACCGTAGTTTATATGATAATACTAAATTACTTTGTGATACTCTCCCGCCGACGCAGTACCACAGTCAGTTTTTTTTTTAGAAACTTACCTCCTTTATTGTTTTCAGATACCTGTTTGAGGGAGTGGGATTCCTCGTATCTTCTATTCTCATCTCAAACGTTTCGGAGATTAAGAGGATTAACCAAAACGGAATAAAGAAGATGTAAGTTTGCCTTTGTGCGTTTTCCTTTGATCAGGGAAGTTTCAACGAAGGAGTTGCCAGTAATCGGATGCTCGTGTTTGCGTAAAGATTTCTGGGTTCGCCAGGGGTCAAACGTTGCAATTTTCCGGAGGAAAATAATTGGCGAAGGTTGCATCGACGTCCAAAGAAACTAAAAAGACCTTAGCGAGTTATTTCTAGCACTTCATAGCTTATTTTATAATATTTCGAGACCATTGCGCGATGTTAATTTTAGAATAAACCTTACTTAAGGAGAGCAGGTTACCGGTAGATTTTATTGCATTTTTCTTCATGATTATTTAAGCAAAAGCTTATTTTTCCGTCGTATTAACATTATTTTAATCCATTTCTTAAAACACAGCGGTCCAAAAAAGGGCTTTGATCTCTTACAAACGTTTTTTGAAGAGGACGTCTAATAATCTTTCGCCATATATTTCCTTGCAACTTGCAAAGTTTGACCACTGACGATCCCAGAACTCTTTGCGCAGTCTAGCCTTGATACTCTTCCATTGACGTTATTTTCTGCTAATTTAGTGCATGGTTCACTATGAAATTTTATTTTCTAGGTGCCGTAACATCTTCGCTATTCAACAGAACTTGACAAACATTACCATGTCTAGGGAGGGGGACCTGGATCGAGCCAGACAGTATTATGAACTGTTATACTCTAACCCAGATGTAAGTGCCAGTCTACCGCTTTACTCAGCGCCCACTTTAATGAACTTCGGTGAAAGATGAACCCCATGCATATGTTAAGTGGACACCAACTAGAGTCCCAATTTTGTTGTTACTATAATTACTTTAAAAGGACCCATATTTAGCGGGCGTGGGAGTTAATTGGAGCTCTTTTGTAACCCAAAATCTTCATCAAGCGGATCCCTCTGCGAGGTTTATTATGGAGTTTATTTCATTAAGGAAGCTATACAGTCTTAAAATCTTTTGCATCTCATCTTTTGCATTTTAAAGCTTGATATGGCGATCAGGCATATTCAAGCAGACAATTACCCAAGCAGAAAATTACCCAAGCAGACGAGGCAGAACCTTGCCTGCCTTACACAGTTCAAACATATTGGTTTTTTCCAACCGAGTTGATAATGTAAATTGGCCACCGTATAGAGTTTTTAAGGCTGACGTTACGAGCATGCGCCCTTCACCCAAGCGAAAAGCCAAATTGTCTTGTAACTTCCCCCCCCTCCCCCCACCCCCACCCACACAGCAGCACTGCAATTTCTCTAAACCCCCCCCATTTTAAATTACACAATTAAGTTTGTATACTTAAATTATACACAGCAAAAGTGACAATGGGTAAGGGAGATATAAATCCCTTTGTTTGACTTTTTCTGCAGGAAATCTTAACGTCTATTGAGGAGCAAGACGCCAAGTTTTCCAAAAGGGAGTACACTGACCTTTTGTCACTGCACGCTCGTAGTCAGGCGGTCCGAGATAACAGTGCGCATGAACAGCGAATGGAAAGACTTAAAAAAATCTTCGACAACAAGCTCAAAATGGAAGAATAATCGCTAAATCCACTTTCAAATCTGCAACAAAATAAAAAAAAACTGTAGTGGAAGTGTTAAATCATTGAAATGTAACTTTCTTAGCCAAGTTTTGAAAATTGAAAATTTTTTTTTCCTGTATATTTTGTTTTGTTTTGTTCTTCTCCGTGAGGCAAAGCCAACTATATGACGAGTTTCATTTGATAAACTCCTCATTAAGATTTTTTAGACGGTGGAATGTGCAGATTTCAATCTAATCTCCAAAATTCAATGAAAATCAGTTAGGTTTGTTCGTTGGCACAATTACTATATAGTATAATTAATTCAAAGCAAATACACGCTCATTTTTCAAACCGTTGAAACGTTTCTACGTGTAATGTGCATCTAGGTGTCGTAAAGGATTCAATTTGTTGAGAACTTTAGCAAAAAATGACAATAACTGCCCGTGTATTTCGTTTGATGGTTGACGGTGATTTGCGAAATATTTTCAAACTCCACCAACGGCTCGTGCTACAAGAACGGAAACTTTTAAAAAGTCACTCGTGCTTAGAAGTCACGAACTGAACTAGCGATTGTGCAATTTTCTTTTTCTTATTCAAACGGTCCTCTGACTCAACCATTTTGCGAGAACACAAATGCAGTTTTATTGCGTCAGCGGAACTCAAATTGATTGCTCGACGAACAGTTTATTGTGTTGTTTCATTTTATTGTTTTGCTGTCATGCCATTAATGTTAGTCGAAATCTAAGCATAAAAACCTCGACCAAACTCTTCCTTTAAGGATGAAGATTTACAATGAAAAAGATCATTTGATATCAGTTTGACATCGTCGTTAAATAATAGAGTGAAATAACGATATAAAACAAGTTTTGAACAGCTCTATTTATAAGAGCTAATGATTAAAGCAGTTGTCATGGAATACATTGCAGATAGAATTACAATTTTTCTCATCAGGATATACAAACTAAAATTCCTTGGCTGTAAGTATTTCGCCAACAAAACAAATAATGTTATAAATCTCCTTCATCTGATGTGGTTAATGAACATCAGAAAATAATTCTTTGAAAAGCTAGTGTGTCTGTATCCGGCTCAATCTGTTTGTTTTAAACTTAACTTAGCAGCTAGAAGGTGTACAGAGTCCTGTAAACGTCCCACAATTGAAGGGCGACATGTTCTTCCATACTTTGCCATGGTACCTCAATCTCGAATTTTCTAAATCCTGGTGGTGGATTCTGGTGTAGCTCTTGAAGACTGCATTTCTTCCCTTGTTCCTCAACAGCGTTTTCACCAAGTCCGGATACACAGCGCCTTCGACCATGTGTTTTGTAACAAAATTTATCCTTGCCTCTGCTTAGTTTCGCAACACAAGCTCCCATTATTAGAACCAAAAATGCTTCCCAAAGAGATGAATAAGGCGGTTCTGTGTAGCTGTTCGAGGCCAATGAACTAGAGGGCAGGTAAACGCTCGATTGACCTTTGGAATCGGTTAAAGGTCCATATTGCATAACAAAGGAAAACTTTGGAGGCTCTTTACAATTTCTGAAACCCCATTAACTTTGCCACTCTGTCGGTGATTGGTCAAAATCACACACGGTGACAAGTCGGCAAATCATAGTAACTAGGGCGTAAACGAGGTAAACAAATAGAAACCTCCTATTCGCTCTATTTTCAGGAGAAAAACCTGCGCTCTCGACCACGCATAAAGCTCTCTTTTCTAGCTCATCGTTACTCCTTTAACCCCTAAGTGTGACCAGTTTCTAATTTCTTCCTATAATATCACTCCTGAATCAAACATCAAGGTCACGAGAATCAAGGAAATGATCACCGACTTATAATTCTCTTGATTCTTGCACAAATTCTCCTCGCCAGCGCTTTAGGAAATGTTTAGAGAACAGTATGGAGAATTTGCATACTGATGTTAGGGTGCAAACGGTTAAGAGAAAAACAGACTGCTACTTGCGGCAATTCAGTTGGGCTCAAATTGATAGGGGTTTAGAATCGGTGGAAACTTAGTTCTAAAAGATCGTCGATCAAAATAATGCTTAATGGGTGAAATGTTTAAAAAAAATTGTGAAAGAAACGGTTTTTAGAATTCAACAGTGAAGCGTTACCTTAAAACACCGTTGAAATCAGTAAGAAATACGTCCAGCATTTACGCCCGCGATACAACCTACTCTTTTTCCCATGCCTCCGTCTGCCCCCTGCAAATTGAGTGCTATAGATACGTTGTTGACAGAGCTTGTTCGGTCAAGATGCGTGGATATTGGCCGAGTTCATTTTGGGGGTTTTTATGGACCGAGAGAAAGTCGAGATCCATGAAACGCAAAAAGGAGAACGAGGCTAATATCCAGCTGCCATCTTGGTCGAACAGGCTTGGTCAATAAAGGTGTTGTTGTATAGCAAAAAGATGTTCTTATAAAAACCAAGAATGACTTGTTTATTTCCAAAGCCGGTAAAGAAGGTCAACTGTGTCTGTGCCACAATAAACCTACGGGAGTCATCTATGTTTTGATTGTCTTTTTGCTGCTCCTTTTTGCGACCCTATCACCGACTTTGTCCAAAACTTTACTACTATGTAAGTCCGCTCCACGAATTCTGTTTTCTCTTTTGGTGCGGAATCAAAGCGGGCAATCCCGAGCGGGGGCCCATCGTGTCCGCTTGGGTGGCCAATCAGAACACGGGATTCGCTTCACATTACCCACGAGCGTTACCGGCAATATGATAAGACCTATTATACTTGACTGAAAAGGAACTCTTCACTCGACTCATAAGATGACTTTCTTCGAGGCTGTGGAAACGTCAGTAACTACCACCATTATTATTAGCCCCCCCCCCCCTCTTACCCGCAGCAGCTCGATTAGACCGTACAGCACTTGAGTTGATTTTTAGCGGATAGTGAACAATGGTTGAGGACGGTCTAGAGTCACTCTAATGTAAGGTATGTGAGCGGTTGCATATATGGAATTGAGGGTCACCATCAATCTTCCAAAGAGAACCACAGATGCTGGGGTGAGAGAGGGCCAAAAAGGAAAACCCTGGGGACATGGAATGCTTCTATGACTGATGCCGAAAACAGTCATTAAAAAATTGAAGTGACAAGATAGAAAAGAGGCAACAGGGAATCAATCAGCATATACACTTCATTCTCATGATGTCAATGAAGGTTCAAAACACAGAGTTGATCTAAATTGTTAAACAAGCATCTCCTTTCCTACTTTTTCTCTAATATTTATTTGTCCAACGGTTATCTCAGTGAAAAAGGTTTAGCACTGTCCTTAGTAAACTTAAATTTGACATATTTTCTATAACTACACGATTGTCACTCAGTACATGTACATGTTGACTAGAGACTAAAAATCCCTCATATAGGATATCTAGCTAGGAAATACTTCTCAAGAACCAATATATAGTATTCAAATTCAACAACAGTTGCAGATAAAAAATAAAGTGTCAACAAAACTGTGGTGTTCAATTCAAGGTAACTATTTAACTCAGTTAAACTTAATGTCTAGTTTATCAAAAAAAGAAAACCTTTAATCCAGTGCATTTACCAGAATTACTTAAAAAATTTCTTGTGAATGTTGAAAGATGTAATTGTTAATCACTGAGATTTTGATACCATAAAAAAATTTTAAATTCTGGCATTAAATTCATCTGCACAGATTAAACGCTCAATGTTAGTACTTTCTACTGCCACAAAATACACTTATAATGTAGCTTACTTGTTTTTTGCTTATGAATTCAATACCGGATGAAAATTGTCTGAAAATTTTAAAACTGATCGTCTTTCAGTTATGTCAATATTTCTACACTTCATGTACACTCATCACAAAATTTCTTCCACATTGTGTCAATTATTAGATTGAAAATAATATCATTTGTCAAAAATACTTCAAGGTCCTTTAGTGTGAACTGTACAAAATTGAGAATTATGTATAATATTGTAGTTCATAACATTGAGTCTACATTTTAAATTCTTGAATGTTTCAGTGAGAACACATGAGCTTTAGTTGACTACATGTATATTTCTAGCCAAATTTACTACCAAAATACTGTTTGAGTCAATCTCACTGACTCGGCATATATAAAATGCAATTGCACTGCATGTCTGTTAAAATTCCACCCCCAATAATGATCCATTCTAGACCCACTTGGAAAGAGAAGCTTTCCTTGTTAAGCACAAATTAAGTGGTGTGGAAGTGGACTCACAGGAAGTAATGTGTGATCTAAGTGGATATAATTTTAAAAACCTTGTAATATGACTGCATTTATATAAAGCAATTTAATAAGATCAAGTTTGGCAGCCATTAGACATTTTACAAGAAATGCATTCAAATATGACTTCTCTGCTCCCTGTGAAACTATTAACTTCTTACTAACAGAGTATGAGGGCCAAACTGGGAAATATTGACCCAAGATAAGGACCAAGCTCAGTGAGGTCTGTAAAAAACAAACCGGGGCCAATATTTCTCAGTACAGCTTGAGCAAGCAAAGCTAGTTAGTAGTTTATTACACAACACTCACACCAAAATTGTTTATTTTGAATTTGCTAATTTTCATGCATAAAAATACAAGAGTTATGAGCACTTCTTAGTAAACACTCCATATAACAAAATACGGACCAAGTAATGACCAGTGAATCTACCTCAACCACTATCTTGACATCTAATGACACAGCTTTAACAACCAACATCTTTGTCTCTACATTAGTACATATATCTTCCCTTGCAAGATTCCTTTCTGCTTTTTAAACTTTTCTGTGACATTCTAAGTAGGGCATCAAAATCCATCTCATCTGATGATGGTGGTCGGCTCAGCTCCTGTTCTTCAAGATAACTGGCATTCGAGTCTGAGAATCAAATTTTTCCATAGTCAGAAAATGAGAAAAATCTCTCTTTACCCACTGATGGGGCTAACAGAAAACTATTTGTCTTTCTTATCCTATACATTTCAGAACCTTATCTGAGAGTAAGATTCAAAAGGTCACTTTGATCTTCAGGGTCATTCTCCTTTCTGTTACAGCACAGAATCTATGAGAGACTATCCTCCAAATCAAAACCAAGGGTGGGGTGTGTTCATCTAATTGTTCATTCCACCCTCCAGTTGCTACACATTCCCTTGTAAATCAGTTACATGTACAAGAATTTGGTATTACATGTACATCAAGATAACAACTTTTATCTAATAAGTTTGAGGGAATAAATTCCCATAACCTGCTATTTGGTGGTTAATGTGTGGACATTAGAGGGAGAAATTACAGTTTAATCACTTCTGGGAGTTGATGGGCTGGTTTACATGACGTCTAACCTACATGTACAGTACATGTAAACCACAGTTTTATGCAATCTGCGGGCCTCAGGCTTTCTCTATAAGGGAGTTGATTTGATTACATTAATACCCTTCTACTTTATGCTTTTGGCCCTCATGACAATGTTCACAAAAATAAATGTTTAGGTATAAGTTTCAGCTAAATTGAGGATTGTTTAAGATGTGGTTTTGTCAAACAACAGCTAAACCTTGTTTGAATAACCAATCCAATCGGTTAAATAAATAAGAACAGGTGAAAGGCATTACAAAATTACATGTATGCCAAAGCTCAAAAAATACTCACCAAAGTCTACATAGCTACCACCACAAAATTTCCTTCTTCCACCGAAGCAAAGATCCAAGACAGGAAGGCGTGAATCTTCATTTCCCCCTAAGGAAATAATTATCTTAAAATAAGAGATTTTTCTCATCACCTAAAATCATACAAAAGCTAAACTGAAAAAGGACTCTTAGAAGATTCTAAATTTCTAACAACACTCACTTTCAATAGCTTCAGCAGCAGAGGAGGTTTCAAAAAATGTCACAAAAGCATAGTTGTCCCTGTTGGAAAAAAGGTAGAAAAAATGCATTTTCAGCTGTGGACAAACAAAAACAAATCAAACCTTTAACTGTTAAGAAAGTTAAAAAAGAAACTAATGCTGAAACTTGAAACAAATCTTTTCAAGCAACTTATAGGTGAAGGAAGAGAACTGTCACAGCCATGGTGCAAATTAAAAATCTGTCATCAGCTAAACAATGGAAACTTTCATCTGATATTGGAGTTTTCTTATAACAAAAGTATACCCTACCCTTTCTCTCTGAAGTGGACAGTAACTTTTTCAATTGGCCCAAATGGACGAAACCTGCTGAATACATCATCTTTTGTTGTCTTGTTGGATATTTTTCCAATGTACACAATACGCCTCTCTTCCTACAATCATATAGAACATCAAAATTTTAGAACGATCATCATTAACTATTATTTTTTTCTTGTTTTGATCTTCAACTGAAAGAGTTTTTGAACTTTTGAGCTGTCCACCTACAAGAATTAATCCCATAAGAGGACACTGAAAAAATTGGGAGGATGTCTGCTAAGGGAGAGTTTATGACTGGATTGTAATTACTAGTCATGTGAACAGACAGTCTGCCTTCCCCTGGACAAATAGAGATTTGACAAAAGTGATCCACACTTGTTTTTGATAATTTTCAAACTAAATACAAACTTCATTGCTATGAGTCAGTTAATATGCATGGGGTGTTACTGGGATGTAAAAAGGGGAATTAAAAAAGCGTTTGCAAGTAGAACTGTCTGCTCTCCCGAGTGTTCATTAGCAGGGAGTTGACCATATAAGCAAAATGTGACTGCATTACAATGTTGATCTTCAACAGAATTAAATTTTGTCTTTTAACAAGGATATTTAATGATTAAACATGAAATGTCCATGAACTTGATATATTAACCCTTAACCTCCCAACAATTGATTTTCACATGCAATCCTCCCCTCTAGCTGCTACACACTTCCTTGTACATTAGTCACAATAATTTGGTGTTAGATCAAGTGACAACTTTCACCTGTCCAAGCATACTCGATCTCCCTAATCATTCCAAGAAGCATTATGGCAGTTTGCAGTTTTTCCCTACATCTAGGCAGTTCAGAAAGCCACAAAACTCTAGAACCAAAATTTATCTTTCAAATCGGCACTCTTAATTTAAATATCATTGTGCATTTTTCATTCAACAAACTTATTCTTGTTTTCTTGTCACCATATTCCCACCGATAGTGCAGCTCCATTTCTGCATATAAACACACACACAACCCACAATTGCTCCATTCGCTCTGACGAAGGGCTAATGCTGGAAAGGTCAGCTTTGAAACTCTTTACAGTGGCCAAGTTACATAATCAACTCAGTTGATAATATTTAATTACTCTCTAATACTCATTACCTATTTGTTGGCTAATGTATGGATATCATTGGGAGAAGTTACATGTTAATCACTTCTGGAAGTTAAAGGGGTTCAACCACCAATTGTGAAATTGGTGGTTGACTCCAACCAACCTAAAAATTACAGTACTGTAAAAAAAAAAATCAAGCAACCACACAATGCACACAACCTCTGTTTTGGATAGCCACTGCATGGTAGTTTCAATGGTAGTTTTAGCAATCAAACAAAACAACAAAAGAAAATGTTCCCTGTACCTTTGCAGTGTTCCTGATGTTATGGTCAAACTTGAACTCTAGTTTTCTTTCAAATTCAATATCATGGAATGTTTTGTTCTTTGTGACACCATTTCTCTTTTCAGTGGGGTCTTTACTCTGAGACCTCCTCCTCCTTCTTCTGTTGTGAGGGCTCCTGTGATGGTCTGCTTCTCTGTCACTACCACTTGATTGCTTGCGCCGCCAGTCAGATTCAGAACGTCTAGGATCATATCGGGATGTCCTTTCATTTTTACACTCTTCATCTGAACTGGAATACTCTCGTCCATCATAACTGTCATTTGAGCACATGCTGTGTCTACGATTGCTTCCTTTATAACAACTTCTGTCTCCATCAGAGCTGTAACTAAACTTCTGATAACTATTCTGTCTCCTATGGTCTTTATCTTTGTCAGTGCTCATTTCCCTGTAGCGATACTCTTCATCACAACTGCTTTCGCCACCACAGCTCTCCTCACAGTATGCACCTCTATAGCGCTTTGGAAGTCTCCTCTTTCTGTCTGGTGAATGATCATCACAGCTTAACCTTCTCTTGTGTGAGTAACGGTTTGGACCAGTTTCTTCAGAAATAGAGTGATGATGATTCTCCATGTCCAGAGACTTTTGAGGACTACATTTCAGAATAGACTCTTTCAAAGTATTGTCATCTTCTGGTTTCAACTGAATAGGTTTTCTCAGTGGAGATCCACTACAGGCATAGTTGTGATCTGTTGCATGATTATCAACATGGGAATTCTTAACAGTTTTAGAATTTTCATCCTGTCCTTTTACATCATTGTGAGAAGATCCACCACTCGTTGTTCCATGAACTTCTTGATTTTCTTTATTTTCGGCAGAATGAAAATGTGCAGAATTCTCCTCTGCAAGGGAAGGTAAGCCCCTATTTTCTACATCACATGGAATGTCAAATTTCAGCTCATGTTTCTCAGCAAATGAATTGATCTTGTCTGAAACAGTCTGCATTTCACAAGATGTATCTTTCCTGAAATTATAAAAACATACAATGCCCCTTAGGAGATTTCCATTTCACAACTTGCAAAAAAAGACAGCAGCACCTTGCTACAAAACAACTTCAAAGAAGGTTACAGCAACAACTTGTTGGTATGAAGAAAATAATTTTAGTGGAAATTCATATCAAAGAACACAAACTTAAAAAAAAAAATCTCAAAATCAAAATCTGAGAGCAACAAGAAAATGATTCCTTAAGATTTGTCCCTTGAAGCAATAGAGGCAAAGTGCTTCATAACAGCAACCTGTAAACTAGCATCTCTCTCAGGATTCAACCTACTACTGTATTTTGTAAACACTTTACACTCCAAGAGTGATAAGCATCTAATTTCTCCTTGCTGTATCATCCTTGAATCACATATTATGGTCATGAGAATAGAGAAAATGATCACCAACTAAAGATGCTCTTGATTGTTAAACAAACTCTCCTTGTCAGCATCTTAGGAAATGTATAGAGAACAGTATGGAGAATATGCACACTGATGTTAAAGTCTAAAGGGTTCAGACAAATACTTACAGAGAGGAAAGCTGAGGTGTGCAGCAATCCATTGAACCTATAGGGACAGACATGGAAAAAAAAATTTGAATAAAGAATTGACAAAATTTACAACCACTAAACTAAACAGTCACAAAACTAAGAGTTTTCTCTCATGCTTTTGCAATACCACAGATATTTCTATTAAAGCCTCGTCCCTACATTGCACCTCTTGGAAAACAGGAATTAGATAAGATAATTAACAATCCCTTGTCACACTAGGAGTCATCTTATAGTGCCTTTGACATTTTGACGGTACACAGGACCCTTGCCACATAGTAACTTAGTTTCACAAACAAGTTTGCTGCAGAAGAGCTTCAGACTTCAAAATCTTGGGAGACTTTGCATTTATTTTGTCATTCCTTGTTTCTGATTGCCTGACCCTTGCAGGGCGTGAAATTGTGCCTAATACAGGTGCCAACGCGCCTAAATTTTTCACTTTGGCAACCAAATCCTGAAAGTTAGTTGCCAAATTGGCAACTAGAACTGTTATGGTTTTCCAGTGTGTTGTATGTTGTGTATTACCATATATGGTTTGCTCATGCGCACGCATGAGGCTTCATTAAACAGTCTTTTACTTGCCGAACCGCCATATTGTTTGGGGTGTGTAGTTCTTAAGTAATACATGACAATTTTGGCGACGAGGATGGGATGTTAAGGGACCTTTTGGGCTGCTAAAAGTGAAGACATCCCTAAACTAAATCCACATAACGTCCACGATGGCCAGCGATGCAAATACGGCACCAAATCCAGTTCGTAACATCGGAAAAGTTCAAAAGTTCACTGTGGGAACTGACTTGAGGCGATACAGAACAGTTAGGATTCTTCTTCGTGGCCAATGGAGTGACCGACGCTTGAAACAGAAGAAAGCCATCCTGTTAACCAATCTTCCCACTGAAACGTACCAACTGGCGAAAGATTTGATGGCTCCGACCTTGTTAGGAGAAGATTCTCTCACGCACAACGCAATCGTAGAGCGTCTCCGCGAACAATTGAAGCCACAGAAGTCTGCTTTAGTAGCCAGGTATGAGTTTGACAACCGAGCACGTAACGCAGGAGAAAACGGTGAGTCAATATGTTGCTGTTTTGAAACATCTAGCTATGGATTGCAAATTTAACGACGCCATGCGTTTGGAAAGGCTTAGAGATAGACTGGTTTCGGGTATTCGAGATAAGAGAATGATGTCAGAGCTTTTGAAACTTAAGCTTGAGGAACTAACATTTGACATTGCTGTTGCAAAGTGCTTAGCTATTGAGCAATCTTACAAGGATGTTGAAGCTCTCCAGGGAATAAAGCGTCAGAATCAATCGATCTATTAGCCAAATCAAAGCCAGGCAAGAAGCTTAAATTCAAGAGAGAAGCCAAGCTTTCAGAGAAAAAGGGTTCTTTTTCCCCAAGAGAACGGGTGATCAAAGTTGCTACCGCTGTTTGGGAATTCATGATCACAAAAGTTGTCCATTCAAGAAAGAAAAATGCCACCACTGTAACAAGACTGGTCACATTGTGAGGGCTTGTAAATCAAAGAAAAAGAGACACAAGTTTCCCAACCCCAGTAAATTATGTAGACAGCGATGACGGGGACAGCGATGATTATTTGGCATCCCTTGAGGTTAATAATGTGGGTGACAAGGATCACGTAATATGGGTCAACCCCAAAATACAGGGAAAGGTGGTCAAGATGGAACTAGACACAGGGTCAGCGGTGTCTGTACTTCCATACAAACAATATAAGGAACATTTTAATCATGTCAAACTTTCAAAGAGCCTTGTGACACTTAAGACATACACTGGGCAGAAAATCACACCTAAGGGAGAGATGAGATGTAATGTTAAGTTCAAGGGCCAGGAAAAAGAGTTAAACCTACAAGTTGTTGAGACGCAGGGACCAGCACTGTTTGGGCGTGACTGGCTGTCCAACATTCAACTGAACTGGGGTGAAATCAAAACCTTTAAGCTTAGCAAGACTTCAGAAGGGGGTATGGCACGCAAAGTGGATCAGCTACTACAGAAGTACGAGTCTGTTTTCTCCGAAAATCTGGGCACACTTAAAGGCTACAAGGCGGATTTGAAGGTCGAGGAAGGCTGCCAGTCCAGCTTTCATAAACCACGCCAAGTGCCATACGCACTCCGCCCCAAAGTAGAAGCAGAATTGACACGCTTAGAGAAGGAAGGTATTCTCTCTAAAGTAGAATACAGTGAATGGGCGACCCCAATTGTCCCGGTAGTCAAGCGAAACGGATCGGTACGAGTTTGTGGCGATTTTAAGGTCTCAGTGAACCCAGTACTTCTTGCAGAACAGTACCCTCTGCCACGTATAGAGGATATTTTTGCAAATTTGGCTGGCGGTAGACATTTCAGCAAGCTTGACCTTCGCCAAGCTTATCACCAGATGGAAGTAACCGAAAGATCCAAGGAACTCCTTACGATTAATACACACAAGGGCCTTTTTCGATACAATCGCTTAGTCTTTGGCATCTCTTCGTCTCCAGCCATTTGGCAGCGTGCCATAGACCAGGTATTACAGGGAATACCTGGGACCCAGTGCATCCTTGATGACATGATTGTCACAGGCAAAACCGATGAAGAACATTTGGAGAACCTGGAGAGTGTACTCAAGCGATTACAAGTTGCGGGTCTGAAGGCTAACAAGGAAAAGTGCGAGTTCTTCAAAGATAGAGTTCAGTTTTGTGGGCATGAGATCGATAAGGAAGGTCTACACAAGACACAAGAGAAGATTGAAGCAGTGGTCAGTGCACCAAGACCTGAGAATGTGTCACAGCTTCGCTCATTTTTAGGGCTCGTAAACTATTACAACCGTTTCTTGCCCAATGCGTCTACAGTTCTCCACCCACTTCACCAGTTGTTAGAGCAAAACAACGAATGGCAGTGGACTGAACGGTGCGAGCGAAGCGCTCACTGAGGCTAAGCGTATGATTACATCTGAGCAGGTGCTAACGCACTATGACCCAGCATTACCGGTTAGGCTGGCATGTGATGCTTCACCAACTGGCATCGGCGCGGTTCTGTCACACGTCATGTCCGATGGTAGCGAAAGGCGGTAGCTTTTGCGTCCCGATCGTTGACCAAGACTGAACGACGGTATGCACAGATAGACAAGGAGGCATTGTCCATTGTGTGGGGGTGAAACGATTTCATGTTTACCTCTATGGGCGACGATTTATTTACGCCATTACAGACCACAAGCCCCTCACTGCCATCTTCCACCCAGGAAAGGGAGTTCCAGCCATGACTGCTGCAAGGCTTCAGCGATATGCATTGTTCTTGTCTGGGTTCGACTATATCATTGAGTATAAGAGTACAACCAAACACTGCAATGCCGATGGACTGTCGCGGCTCCCTCTCCAGCAGAAAGAGCGAGAAGACTTGGAGGTGGATTCAACAGAGGTGTTCCACGCCTCTCAGTTTGTGCCATTACCTATAACCAGTGAAGCAGTGGCAAGAGAAACACGCCGTGACGTTGTCCTAGCGAGGATACATGATTCTATCGTGAAAGGATGGTCTACACGCGTGGAGGGAGACAAGCCTTATTACGAAGCGACGCAATGAACTGACGGTTCACCAAGGCTGCATCCTATGGGGAATGAGAGTGGTCGTTCCCAATAAGTTACAAAGCAGAGTGTTAGAGGAACTTCATGATGGGCATCTGGGCATGGTCAAAATGAAAGCACTCGCGAGGAGCTACGTATGGTGGCCTAATATCAATGGTCATCTGGAAGAGCTAGCGAAAAGGCTGCAGCGGGTGTCAGCAAAATCAGAAGATGCCTGCTAAAACACCACTACATCCGTGGGAGTGGGCCACTACACCATGGCAGCGTATACACATCGACTACGCAGGGCCATTTCAGAACTCGATGTTCTTAGTGGTTGTCGACGCACACACCAAGTGGCCAGAAGTGGTTCCAGTCAAGTCAACTTCTTCAAGTTCGACTATCGAAATTCTACGCGATTTGTTCGCCAGATTTGGAATTCCAGAACAGATAGTCAGTGACAATGGTACACAGTTTGTTTCGGAGGAATTCCAGACATTTGTCAAGTCCAATGGCATCCGCCATATAACTTCAGCACCGTACCATCCAGCGACGAATGGTCTTGCGGAAAGGACAGTACAAACCTTCAAACAGGCTTTTTATGCTTCCATGCGTCAAAGCCCCAAGCCAGTGAGGGAGAAGTTGGCGAAGTTTCTCATAGCTTACAGGAACACTCCACACTCCACCACCGTGAGAGCCCAGCACAGTTACTCCTGGGAAGACCATTGCGTACTCTCCTAGATTTGGTGAAACCTAACTTAAACCGTAAGATGGTTAACCAACAACACCAGCAGAGCATTAAGGCAGCGATTGACAAGGGTAAACAGTATCGCCAGTTAGAGATTGGTGACTCAGTTATGTCACGGGATTATCGAGGGGATCTGAAGTGGCGTCCAGGGCTGATTGTTAACAAAACAGGTCCGCTGATGTATGAGGTACAGGTGGCACCGGGACTGACCTGGCGCCGACATATTGATCAGTTGAGACCAACGGCAGTTGGACACACAGTTGAAAGCACTGACGCCGACTGTAGTGTTGAAGTCAGCCAACCTGAAATGGCCAACACACCACTGACCCCAATTACATCAAGTACTCCAACCACTGAGGGCGGCACAGCTCCAGGAGGTTCCAAAAAAGATCAACCAAAGATGGTTCCTGTTTCCACACCTACGGTACCTGACCCTCCTGATGCTAAACCAGCTACAGTTAGTCCGATGGTCAAAATGCGACAACACCCTCAGAGAGTTCGCAGGGCACCACAGAGGCTTGATCTCTGAACTTTGTTTTATTCTGTTCGTTTTCTTGTTTAAAGGTCGTTCTTACCTTTCGAACTGTGGTTACCGGACACTGTTGGTTTATTTAATGTTTTCCTTGAAATTGTATTTTAGGGCTTGTTTTGAAAGCTAGGGACAGATCGTTTTATGTGTGGAGGAATGTTATGGTTTTCCAGTGTGTTGTATGTTGTGTATTACCATATATGGTTTGCTCATGCGCACGCATGAGGCTTCATTAAACAGTCTTTTACTTGCCGAACCGCCATATTGTTTGGGGTGTGTAGTTCTTAAGTAATACATGACAAGAACATTTCATCATAACCTTACTAAGAGATATAGTTAATTAAAAGATTTGCAAAGATAAATCCGCGGCAAACTTCCTCATTAAGTTTGTTTCCAAAACGTAGCACATGCATCTCGATCGATAACTAGATGCCATCTTGGATTTAGATGAGCCTGAACGTTGTATATCATCCATCCTAGTGTCCAGTGGAGGGTCTATCTGGAACGCTGACAGCATAAAGAAAGATTTTGTTTGTCTTTGAAAATGGCAACCAACTTTTTTGGAATTGGCTACCACTTTGAAGAATTTAGGAGCCAAGTGGCTATCAGAAAAAAAAGTTAATTTCACGCCCTGCCTTGCAACAAATCAATAATTTCCTATATGATTTGAAAAGCATGCCAAAACTGACTGCCTATTTTTGATCTGAGTCAGTCAACTCTCATAACTGAACCCTTCAGGGGAAGTTGAAAAAACTTCAAGTTAATGGGAGATGAACATACAGGCACTAAAGTTTAATGTAACTTTGACCAACAAAACCTGAACTGGACTGACATGTTTCGGTGAAAATGAAAAAGGACAAAGACTACAAGGCTGCTTCAAAATAAATTACAGTAAATGTTTTGGACCGCAGTACACTGTTTGTTTTGATTTGCCACATATTGACAGGTGTGGTTCAACATGATTCAAGGTAATGATAGTAAAAATTTAAAAAGAATGACCTGAATGGAAATGAAAATTGCTCTGAGTTAAGGAGAGGTTCAAGTTATTGAGGGTTTGAGTTAATGAGGGTACAATTGCAGTAGATGTGTGATGGAAATCCAAGGGAAATCGGATTTGATTTGATTTTAAATTATTGGTATTTTCAGGAAGCTCAAAATCCAAGAAATTATGAGAGTGCAGCAGTTCAGGTATAGTTTAATGACCATGACGTACCTTGCTTTTCTTCATACTCTAAAAACTGCTCCAGTAAGGTGCTCACATCATTAGCTTCAATCCCTGTCAATGAGTGGAGCTCAAATGAGACCATTACACACTTAACGAAAAATTAATATACACAGACAAGGACACTATCATATTAAGTAATCATACAAAAAACTTTTACCACCAATAGATAGTTGAAACATGTAAAAGGCAGCCATCAGACAGTGATTGTTGCTTTTACCTCAGTAATGAAATAAAGAAAGTTGTTTTTGTATCTTGCCACAAGCATAGGACAAAGCAAAAATTGAGCTTTAAGTGGAAGTGAACTTCAAAATTTTTCATTTCAGCCTCACAGCATGGAATCCTAAGGTTCAAAGTTTGTTTCCTTATGAGAATTTCACATTTTTCTTTGTACTGTGCTTGTGACAATAGAAAAAACACCTTCAACTCCCTCAAGAAATTAACATTAAACCTATAATATCCATACAATATTTAGCAAACAGGGATTGAAAATACTCAAACTTGTTAGGAAGACGTTGCTATCTAGATCTACCAATGAATTGTGGTAACTAATTTACAAGGAAATGTGTTGCAGTTTGCTGGGGAGGATGATTAACAGTAGGATCTTGGGAGTTAAAGGATTAAACAGTGAAGTTACTTATTATGTGATCAAAATGTCGAGTGTGGCCCTCAGCGAGAGGGGATTATGTGTAGCCTTGAGAAAATCAGGAGTCAAACAATTTGCACTGAGTGATGTACATGCCATGCTTTCTCTAAGACATGTGGTCATTTAATGTTTTTTCCTCTGAAGTTTAATCTTTGAGGCCAGTTTAATTTTGGTCTTTGGTTGTCTTGAATTATAGTACCAGCCAAGTGAAAATAAAAAAATTGGCTATCAAAAGTCACGATTCCCGAGCAACCCCAGGGAAAATTTTAACCTATGTATATAAATACATTAATTTCACAAAAGTAAAGGATTTTTTGGGTTTGTTAGAGCAAAGAGCAAGGAAAAAAATAAGTAGTACTGTTACTTTCTTTTGGCTTATTCTGCTCTCAAAGGTTTCTTTTTTAGCTGGTCCTTCACAATTCATTTTCTCTAAATCTTTTTTTACATGTATGGTTCAAGACCATCGTTGGAATTTCTTACCTTCATTGAATTGGAATTAAAAAAAATCAAGAACTCACGACTAACCTTCAATAAGTTCACCATCTTCTAACTCGTTCGAAGAAGTTCCCTTGCTCTCGATGTCGTTCTAGTATCCCGAGAAAAAAAAAAAAAACACTTTGTCTAACAAAGAGTCACATGAAGTCACGTACACATTTTGAAGAACATTGACATAGCATTTTGATCAAACATATGATAATAGATTTATAATCATAAAGACAATCATCTACAAAGGTAAGTTTAATGAGCTCATTGTAATGGGAAATTGATCAAGATTCTGGATTCTGAGTCGAGTCAACTTTTCAATTTGAGGAAGACATTATATTAAAAAAAACCCGAAGTAGCTAATGAGTCGTTTGGTGAAGATGATTTTCACCAATAATAGCTCAAATTCGACGAAAATTTCAATAACTCTGTTCAATCAATTCAATCAAAGTTGCATGGGTTTTTATATGGCAAGGATTTAAAGATTTAGAGCTCCGTTGACACCACGTGTTATAAACATGCCTGAACACATGACTTACGTTGCCTAAGAACGACTTTTTACCGGAGAAAAAATTATTTCACACAACTATTTTGTAGCGGTCAAAAGTAGTTCTTACCTGAGACACTTCATGAATTGAAGAACTAGACACTTTGCCGGCAACAAAGTTCGGTGCGGACTCGAAATCCTTATGTTTCGAGTCGCTTTGTACATCATGGCACGAAGACACCAAACGCAGTTGTACGGCTTCACTTTTTCGCATACTGCTTCTTTACATATGTATATTTTTTCTATTACAATTCACAAGATTTACTTTTTAAAACTGACGAAGTTTATAACCGACCGAAGAAAACGCCGCTTTACGATAAGAAGTTAAATCATCCGTGTTTTTGACTTAAAACCACGCGGATGAACTTGTTGCGACACAACGTGTACATTCATCCTTTGTCGAGTGGAGCCCGGGACGAGCATACTAATTTTTTAGATTCAGCGGTTTTCCGCCCACAACTTTTTATGTCATGTGCTGGTACATATATTGTACCTCATTCACCTTTCTTCAACATGGCGGACGCAAACGAGAAACATGACGAGGAGTAGTGACTGATCAGTCGTGAGAAAAACGAGGAACATGGCGCGTACTAGTGACTGATCAAGCAAACGATTTTGGATCAAAATGTTTCGGCATACTTTGAAAGGCGTTAAGGTAGTGAGTAGTTACGCTGTTCCGACGTTACGTAAGTTGTGGTTTCCCTTTATAGGTAAGCCTTTTGTACTCAAGCCTCCTTTCCTGTCTATTTTTCAGTCCATAACTGTCCAGTCGCCTTCACTAGATTTAATTTGTCAAAGAAAATTAACTCTTTTTTCCAGAGAGTCAAGCAAGGTTGTTATCAAGCGTGATCAGCACCCTTGAGCCGCACTTGAAAAATCTTGTGAAACAACACGAAGAGATCACTGAGAGGTTGTCTGTTACTGAGGTATTATTTCTGACCAGTGATAATACATTTCTCTTACTAACCCAGTTCGAGGTCTGTACTGTAAGTTATGGACCGAGGGGAAAAAACGAGGTTTCGTGACTTACATTACGCACTGACAAAGCGATGTTACATTAAAATATTGCCTGCTAATTTGACTAAGCAGAGCTCACGTACTATCTGAGAGATATAGTGAATGTATATAATGCTTTTACCACTCTACATCAATATCTTTTATATTAAGCCATTCCAAAGATAACGAGATTTATTCTTATTGGGTTTAACAAATCTCCTTGAAAATTTAATCAGAAGATACTTCAAGGAAATACTTCTTGGGAAAGTTGAAATAATTTTATTCTCTGAACTAACATCTTAAAAATCGTATGGCAGACAGTAAGGAGAATTACAAATGAAATTTGGGGAGTGAAAGGGTGAAGTTACTTCATTAAGACTCAACTTTGGGTCTGAGATGGTTCTTTGAATTTCCATGTTTGTAAGGGTGGTTTTTAGTTTTAAAGTCCTCCTTCCTCCAGCACTCTGTACCCTCAGCTGACTTTTTCAAATTATCATCCCCCTTCCCTTGAATTCAGTATCAGTTTTTTCTGATATTTTTGGATGGAATGTTACTTCACCACGAGCTAACCTCCCTCCTCTCCTAAGAATTTTGTCAAATTTCCCATTCAAACAGTTTGTTATATTCCATTTATAATCCTCAGTAGAAAGAGAAAATCCTGAAATATAGTGTTTCAGCCAGGAACACTCAACAAAGTGACTATAACCAGGACTTGTAATGGAACCTTCCCATCTAGAATCCATTAAACCTTTACACCCTCACATTGGTTTATCTGCCCTTTACACGATGGGATCCTGACCTGAGATACTCCTCTTGTGGGTGTGAAAGGGTGTACACTAACCTGTTGGTCAGTGTGTCTTACTTTGTGTTGTAGTGACCGGGTGAGTTGCCTTTCAGGGGAATATTCCAACTGCGAGTGAACACAAGACTTTATCCAAGCAGCTTTCTAAACTTTCACCTATTGTCCATTTGATAAGCCAAATTGAGACAAAGGAGAAGGTGAGAAATAGGAAATGTCTTGAATTTGTCTTTTTATAATGTTAATTATATAGAACTAATCATGATGATTACAACTCAGTTCGATTGGGACAAGGGTCTTCACTGAGAGGCAACAGAAGTTTGATGACCATTTTTTGATGTTGAGTCGTGTTTTTGTGAAACTGGCTCCATTTTCATTGTCAATGTGTGGTTTGACCTCTTTTGGCAGGCTTTTATGTTTGATGTTAGGCAATGCACAGCTATTGAAATTTGGTTAGAATTGGAAATGGGGAAGGTTGCCTGTGTTAACACCATAATTTTACGGTCAAAACCTGGGTAACAAACTTTTTCTGCTTGACAATCAAATGATAATTAAATATTTGATAGTTTTTATTTCTATAGTAAGAAGGTGAGAACAGGAAACATATAAAAACAGAGACAAAGAAACTGAATGTATGGCACTGCATGAAATCCATTTAAAAAATGAGATGGACCTAAACCAGTTAATCTTGGTGTGAACTGGAGTAAACAGTGCAACTAACTACTGCAATATCTGTTTCAATTCTTTTTTCTGTAGGAAATCAAGGATTTAGATGAAATGATATTGGAAATTGGTGGAGAATTAGGGAAATTTGCCGAAGAGGATAAGAAGCAAGCTCTCAGTGATATTAAGAAAATTGAGGTACGTCAGTCTATGTCACTAAGCAATAAAATAACTTAAACTTGAAGGTACATTGTACTTTTAGCGTTTTGGAATTTCCTATCAGTATGTGTACCCTTTTCTACAGCAATCATTTAGCATTGTTTCATTAAAAAGTTGTAGTTACTTTTTAACAAATTCTTGCACAATGAGCTAAATATAAGGATTTATACTAGAATAAACGGTTTCTGTTTCACTCTCAAGGTAAAATCTGAACCAGTTTTGAATAAGTACAAACTTACTTCACCTAGGTGGTTGTTACTTTACACCATGTAAATTTTCTGGGCTGATTTAGGGCAATTTAGCTCAGTTCTAGTTTATCTGCTCCACCCTCTATATAATCTTTTCCCAAGGTAGGACACTGTATGACACCAATAAAATGAATCCAATGAAAGCAAAACATTATAAATTTGGTCCAATCACCTTGAAACTCCACATACAATAGCAACATAATGACAATTCATACTAGTGTTCCTCATTCAGGATTATATGCAATGAAAAGGATATAACCCTTTACACCCCAACATTAGTATGCATATTCACCATACTTTCTTTATACATTTTTTTAATGTTCTGAAAAGGAGAATTTGTTTAACAATCAAGAGCCTCTTTAGTTGTTGATCATTTCCCTTATTCTCATGACCCTAATGTTTTACACAGGGGTGATCTTGTAAGGAGAAATTGGATGCCAGTCTCTCTAAGGGGTTAAAGAGTTAAACACAGCCAATTCCTAGCTATAAGTTTACTGATAGACTTTGGATGATGAGTTATTCAGATTTTGCAGGACCTTAAAACTATATGAACTTTCAAAGAGTGGCTGATTTCTAAATTTTCTCCTATGCCACTCTCTTTGCACTTTTTGGATATTATTAATGTTACCCCTTCCCTCAATTTTATATTCTGACCATTCAGACTTATTCTGGTTTTGCATCATGTTAGGTGCAATAGCCTCTGATAGAAAGAAAAAAAGAACTGAATTGGTTAATTTTGTTAACTAAATTTTCTTTCCTAGGATGAGTTGCTTAAGGCTCTTATTCCTCAAGATGGTGATGATGAAAACAGTGCCATACTGGAATTAAGGGCTGGTATGTGAGGAAAATAATTTATTAGTATGGGTTTGAAATGACTCAGCTGGTCGGGTACGAATTGACCTAACTGGGTATGGAACAACGGTGTATGAAACAAATGTAATTACAAAATGTTTGGTAATCCTGCTAAATGCTTTTTACTCTTAAGATTAAGAAACTTTGAACACAATGATTTGATAATGCAAGGGAAATTATAGTGCACTGACTAATTACAGAAAGTTCATGACATGCAAGAAAAACTCCAGATCATAAACTTATAATTATTTGATCTGTGTGTTGTTAAGTTTTCTCACATCTGATTGGTATTTTCCTTGGAATACATAATTATTCCATAATTGCTTGTCCAAGCTTCTGCTGTTTGCAGTTTGCTGAGTTCCACAGAAAGCAATGCAAGACTGATTAAATATCTTACCATCAGCCATTCTCTTTCAAAAACTAAAGATAAAGGTGTGTGGCACTGAGCAAATAATAATTGCTATATTTGTGGTCTGCAGGCACTGGTGGAAAGGAAGCATCCTTGTTTACTGAGGAGATGTTGACAATGTATCAAAGGTTTGTCTTAAAAACTAAAAAGTTGATATGTCTTTTAAGTGTGCAGTCAATGTAAAATTCTGCGAGTATTAATTTTATCAGACAATAGTTCCTTTAAATTAGAGACTGGTTTAACCCTCAGAAGTGCTTAACATATAGCTTCTCCCTATAACATCCATACATTATCCAGCAAACATGTAATGAGAATACTCAAACTAACCAGGTACAAGTTGTTATCTTGATCTAGCACCCAATTCTCATAACTAATTTACAAGGAAATGTGTAGCAGCCAGATGGGAGAATAAACAATCAGATCTTGGGTTAAGTAAAATTTGAATTCAGTGAATAAAAGTTATATGTTTATGGCCCCTGTGGTGTAATCGCCACTGTTCAGGGTGAAACAAATGGTTTTAAAGAAGAACTAGAAATCAAACAATTTTTGTCTTTGTTGATTAAAGACTAGTCTATCCTTTCAAAAAATTGTCTTAAAAGGTGCCAAAAATTTGTGTGTCAGTATGTAAGGAGATAACTGTTGTATAATACTTTGTAATAGCTGACGTAAGATTCTTTCAATTGTTTCTGGAGCACACTTTTCCTTTAATTTATCTTTCCTTGCCTACCCCAGGTTTTCAGCTTACAAGAAGTGGAAATTTGAAATTCTGAACATTAGTAAAAGTGAAGGTGGTGGTATTAAGGTAGACTTGAAAGTTTGGACTCTAGGATAATTTGTTGGAACTATTTTGAATTTTTAATCTATCGCACGGTTACCCCTAGTGTTTCATCAGGCTTCTCTGACAATTTTCCGGTACCCATTTAGAGAGAAACTGTGGGAGTAAAGTGTTTTCCCCATGGACACAACACAATGGTATGCATGGGGCCCGTTTCTCGAAGGTCCTGGTAACTTAATGGGCCCGCATAGCTGTTCTGTTTTCATTCAAGATGATGGTTTCAAAAGTTTTAAAAGTTGTACAATAAAACTATCTGACAGCTAAATAAACAAAATGGAATAATTAGGGTGCCAAAACCTGCTTCTCTGTTCTTTAACATTTAATTTTAAGATAACTATGGCTTCGGGCCCGGAACTTTTGAGAAACGGGCCCCTGGCCATGTATCGAACCCAGACCTCTCAACCCAGAGTTCAGTGTGGAGTTTTGTTTGAATTACTGTACAAGTTGAATTTTTTCCGTTATGCTCTTAGGTCCTAATGAATGAATCTTGTAGGATTTCTACGAAAACCGAAGAAATAAAAACAATTTCTGATCGAACTAAGAACTCTTGGTAGCTTTGTTTTCACGCTGTAATTTTAAAATTGAATAATATTGAGTTCAGTTTTGTTCTACTGTTTGCAGGAAGCATCTGTTAGTATTGTAGGGAGTGGTGTGTTTGGCACGATGAAGGTAACTTGAATGAGTATTTAAACATTAAAAGTTTGTTGCAAGAATGAACACCTTACAAATGTGGCTTAGCTTGTGATTAGGCCTGCGTTGTTACGAACCCTAAGCTGTCAGGACGACAATACCGAGGAAAACGTCGATTAAAAAATGAGATTTATGTTAGTTAGAATTTCACGAATGGCTAGATGTCTTTACTTTCTCATACGTCGCCACACTCCAACTTCAGCATAGCGTATGTGAGCAGCTCCAAATGGAAACTTAAATTATTTGCCATCGGGGTTACCATGCTCAGACCACGCAAATATTTTATGATTTTACGTTGTTGTTTTGCAGAGGACGGCAAACAAATGTACAAAGTTTTAAAACGTACGTGCTGAGCTATTGTTCTGCCCGTTAGGTCTTTTTTTTTGTCACGCCCTCTCGCCGTTGCCGTCGTGTTTTGCTGAAATCTCTTTCGCACTGTAAGTCGCGCGTTTCTCCGCTCGGATGAAGATTTTAGACGCGTAGAGGAGAGGGTTACCGCTGAGGGTCTGGGGCTAATAATTAAACAAAATATTGACAACTTTCTAGGGGCCAGAATCGGAAAAAAGGTGCAGGGTCCTCACAGGCCCCCATTAGGGACTTTTAACAAACCACGACCGCGGCGGCGACGAGGACGTGGCTAAACATAAGATTTAATTGGCAGAACAATAGCTAAGCACGTGCATTTTAAAACTTTGTACATTTCCTAGCTGTCCTTCGCAAAACAACATCGTGAAATCACCAAAAATTTGTGTGGTCTGAGAACGGAAACCGCGGAGGCAAATTATCTAAGTTTCGATCTGGCACTCACATACCTCTTACTGAAGTTGAGGTGTAGTGCCGTGAGAGACGGTAAACACATCTAACCATTCGTGAAATTTTGACTAAAAATTTAAATTTATATCTGAAACTATGTCTTCGTCGGCGTTGTCGTGCTGACTGCTTAAGGTCATTATCTGTTACACTCCTTGTAGACTTCTCACCAGCTGCGTTACTCAAGGTTTCATACACGCTGTACTCTCCCGCAGTGAAGAAACACTCGCGCCGAAGCGTTAATGAGGGCCCGCACGCAGTCTAAATGTTGCTTAGGTTTGTTTCCTGGGCATAGCCTCAAATGTGGGTTGAGTTTGTTGTTGGTTTTCATGCTTGTTCCAGCTGATACTCTAGGTTCTAATTTACCTCGAAACGGTCGACAAACAGACTCTTTGAATTTGCCACTAATAAAATTCCATTTCTTATTTATCATATACATTGTTGTCATTTAGATATCTCTCTTCTAAACTTGGTTAATGACCTTCTTAGTTGTCATTTTTTGCTAGTTTGAAACTGGTGTCCACAGAGTTCAAAGAGTTCCGCAGACAGAGTCACTAGGCCGTGTTCACACTAGCACTATGACTGTGGCAGTGTTACCACAGCCTGAAGAGGTACAGTTACATTACAACCAAGTATATTGAAATGATCACGTCGTGTGCGTTCAACTATTGAGAGTGTTGTCCAAGAGGTACAGTTACATTACAACCAAGTATATTGAAATGACCACGTCTTGTAGGTTAAAATTTTGGGAATATTGCCACAAGGGGTTTCTTTACTTTTTAGTATTCTTCTATTAGTTATTATGCTATTACTAATTAGAATCGAAGGATTGATTTTTTAAAATATTTTATTTTATTATTTTCATAACACAGACACCAAAATGCTAACATTCAGTTAACTAGATCATTTGCCTACCTGACAATACGCACATTTACAATTTTTCTTCTACTCTGTCTACAATTATGAAAATGCTTCAGCGCAGCTTAAACTAAATTACTCACGATGCCTTTCACTACATATTATTGACGTCAGCCAAGTTACGATACCTCACAATACACACTGTACATTTCTTATTAAAAAGTTACTGGCATCGTTTTTTCTCCAGGTAGATGTGGTGATTAATCCAAACGATCTCAAAGTTGATACATTTAGAGCATCTGGGTAAGTAACTTAACAACAGTACAAAAACACCGGCAGTGACGTGCTTCTCAAGCAGGTTTTTCTGGTTTGTTTCAGTGCCGGCGGTCAGCATGTCAACAAAACTGATTCTGCAGTCAGAATAACTCATTTACCGACGGGACTTGTGGTCGGTTGTCAAGAGGAACGATCTCAGATTCAGGTATTATATGATAAGCTGCATTATGTTCGCATTTTGATTGTTTCCTTCTAATGATCCTTTAGAGTACAGGCGCATAGATGACATTCCATTAACAGAAATTTGCTTTGTTATCATTTAAAACAAAGACATTTCATGTTGCCGTTGGTCTGCACAATAATAGATCATAGATTACGTTGAAATGTGGTAAGTACATCAGTGACACACTCGGTGCGACGGCATCGGTTTCTCTTCGCTACGCTACGTGATTGGCTCAGAAAACGCGTGCCACCTTCTTAGCCAGTGAGATGCAATACCGAAACCAATCGCTACTTGGTCGCTCGCGTTTTCCCGCGCTTTGAGCAGTTTCTTAATTGAACGCGATTTGTATCATCCTGGTTTGCCGTTGTGATTACTCCTGTAATTGTTTCGCGATACTCTTTAAAAATATATTCTAAGTTTTTTTCCCCCTTTTTAGAATCGCTACAAAGCCTTACAAGTGTTACGAACGCGTCTGTACGATATACAGCGTCGACAACTGGATTCAGAAAGATCTGAAGCCCGCAGAAAACAGGTCAGCAGTAAAACGGAAAACGGACTGATGCGATAAACACGAAACACAGCGGTCAAACGTTTGCGCATGCGATCTTTATATTGGCTAGTTAACGCGCTTTCGGGCTGTCAGAACCAATCGCACGAGCTAGCAAGTCACGATGTTTTCCTTTGAGATTTTGCGCGGGAAACTGGAGCGCGGCCGGCCAGATTGGATCCCCATGCGCACGTCCAAAGTTTGACCGCTGTGTTGCTGCCGTAGCACGAAGCACGAGAGGTCCTTTTATTCATTTTAGTCAGGCTGGTCAGGCTGGGCGTCTATTTTCCGTAACCCAAGCATTTTATGAAGTTTCCTAGATTGTTCGCAGGTGCACATTTGTACTCCAGGGTGCTGGAGAGAGAAACTTTTAAGTCTGTTTAGTTTGCCCAATAACATAAAACAATGATCGTGCGCTTGCTTGAGGGAGTTTGCCAACTTGTACTTGAGTTCTAATTTGCTCCTTGTGGTAGCTCCTTTATTCCTGGCTGTTGTGTTTACCTAGTTTGCTGTTTTACGACACTCAATCAAATGTGATCTAAAACGAAACGTTTTCCATTTAATTAGATCGGGAGTGGAGGGAGATCAGAAAAGATAAGGACGTACAACTTTCCTCAGGTGAGTCCAAGGTTTTCCTCTGTTTCGGTTTACTATGGTCTTTTTAAGTGAGAAATATTCAGTCGATACATTGTGAGCTTTACAGGAACAATGGAAAGTTGTCTGTTTTGCACATTCCTCCGCTGTTGTTACTTAATAAGAAAATCCAACTCATAAGTCGGGAAATTATGGTGAAATTTGAAGTGTTGGAGACGTGATTTCGAATGTTTGATGTTTGTCCCCAATCGCCATGATCACCTGACCTCAACTGGTCAACTCTGGTCGAGAATTGTGTCATATCTCGCTATAATCACCTCGCGCGAGGTGATTAGAGTAGGAGCGCTACTTTTCAAAATGGCTGTATTGTGTTTTGTCAATGTTTTTCGAGGAAGTGATAAACGCAATAGTAGAAAATTGAAATTCGAAGAGCACAAAAGATGCTACTAACGTAACGCTCTTGTAACGTAACGCTCTTCGAAAGTAACTTGAATTTTTTACTGACTAATTGAAATAAACCTAGTGGAAATTGTGTGCCTGTCTTGAGACGAGTAATCAAAACAACCATAACAAAATATGCGTAGTGCTTTCTCTATTTATGAATAGAGAAAGTAGTGCGCATATTTTGTTACAAAATAATTTCAACCACGTAACCAATTTACCAGAAAATTCGAAAGCAACGGAACGATTGTACCAATAACAATTATTGTCCTCGGGCTCAATGCATATTGTTGTTATTCAAAAATATTCACTTCGCCTTCGTGAATAATTGTAAAGCTATGGCGGTGATTAAAAAAAAAAATTGCACAGCTTCTTGTGCATATCCTCCTTCAAAGTCTAAAAACGAGCATGTCTTCCCCAAGGGCCGAGTGACAGATCACAGAATAGGTATGACTGAGCATGGAGCAGAACTGTTTTTAGAGGGAGAAGACAAACTTAATCACATGATCACGGCTTTGCAGTCTCAACACGAAGCCGAGGCGCTACAGGAACTTACCAGTCAATATGACACCGGAAAAAAAGGGAATAGGTAACCAAAGGAAAACACGGAAAACACAGCCAAAGACAACAACACGGCGCTTTCTCGAGGGCTCATCTTACGAATGTGCAAATGGCCAGACGATGAAATAATAGTATCTATATCGGAATTGGTTATGTATTTGTTTCGTAAAAAAGAGCAAAATAGTACATTGTAACATAGTGAAAAAGCATAAAAAAAGAAAAAAAAAAGTCGCCAAGTGTTGTAAACTGCCTTTCCTTGAGGATACAGAGGAAAAATGATAATGAATAACCTTTGGTTCAAATAGACAATCTTTGGTCCTAAAGGAAGAAATTCCAATCATCGTCGTTACCCTTTTGGAAGGGTAACCATTTCGTAGGAGACATTTTTTAACAAGACTGTCACCTGAATGTCCACCGGGGTAACCTTTCCATATGTTATCTTTACTAAAGGGCAACCTCTATTAGGGGACACTTTTTCTAGTCCCGAGTTTGTCCCTTTAATGTACGTTCCACTGAATGAACGATGCATTTCCTAACTTTACTTTGGGACATCTCTATTCGGGGACACTTTTTCCAGCCTCAAGTTTTTCCCGGAGTGTAGGTTCTAGGTATAACCTTTCCAGTTGTCATCTCTACTGAATAAACACCTCTACTCAGGGACACATTTCTATTTCCGATTTTGCCACTTCAATGTAGGTGCCACCTTATGAGCCATGTATTTGGTAACTTTTACTTTAGGACATCTCTATTCAGTTACATTTTTTTCTAGTTCCGCGTTTTTTTTCCCAGAATTTAGGTTTTACTACATTTGTTGTATTTTTACTGAAGGGACACTTCTACTCAGGGACAGGTTTTTTTCTAGTTTCAAGGTTGAGTGGATTTTCCATTGTTCAGAAAATCTTAATTTGAGGCCTAATTACAGTGTCCGCAATTCTCCCCGAACCAAAGTTTATCATGGCATGATGTTATTTCAATTTTTTGTAGGTCGATCAAAGATTTAGTTTCTTTCCTAAGCAGGGCAAGAGTTGAACATTAATATTAATCGCTGATACGTTTTGTGTCAAATTGAGGAAAATATACAATTTCGTATCTATGTCTCTATTTACACTTAAAAGATATAAGATAAGAGATTATATGCGACCATACGGTACGGAGACTTAAGAGGTGTTTTTACCTCTGTATCTATATAGGAATTGATGACTTATTTCAAAATTATTAAATGAAAGGGCTGGTTTTTGAACTGAATATATGTTTTTTTTCATAATTTATTTTTATTCTCATAAGTGTGGGAGCATTAGCTTTTTTGTTTTGTTTCTTCACTAAAAGGTATATTTGCATATTTGCCTTTTTGTAAATTCTTAATTTCCTGCAAAATTGAAATGATAAACGTACAAAGAGAATTTCTATGTTTGGTAATTTGACGATAAGATATTACGATAAGATGTACCTGCTACCGGCGGAGCAGTAAAAGATTCCCTCTCGCTTCATTTTTCGTTTCCAGTATAATTTCCGGGAAATGTGTGGTTTCTTGTGTTTATGAACCAAGATACACCTGTATTTACTATCCATGGGGAAGTGTTGACTAGGCTAGAAGCACGAATTACCCGTTTCAATAGACATATCTTTAGAATTTGTTTTGTTTTTTTTCCTTTGTGATGGAAAAAGCGCACAGCAGTCAAAACAATGCAGGTAGATTTGAAATGTAATTTGGTGTAAATCGGAGACATTTCGATGAATGTCGGCGAACGCTCTCACATTTTAAGAGTTTTGAAGTTTTAATTTAAAAGTTTAGAATGAATATGCATGTAAGCCAGAGGTTCTGTTATTAATTAGCGTCGTTTTGTTAATTGTAATCGAGTTTATGAAACTGTTTTGAAGAAAAGAGAAAGAGAGAGAAATAAGAGAAACAGAGGAAAATATTTTGTTTGTTTATGTGCATGATGTCGAGAAGAAATGGATATTTTCCAATGATTACAATTTTTACCATTTAATTCATCCACAAGGTCCGTCTTGATAGTGTTCTATGTTTGTTTCTAGAAAGAACTTGTCTAAATAAAAATAAAAAATTAAAAGTATTTTGTCTCAGGGAAATTTTACGATAGTTTGTATAACCGGATGATAATCTCCCCCAAGAAAGATCAGTTTTGGACCTTTTACAACGAGATCAATTCGTTCGCCGATTTCGATGGCAAGTTTAAATTAGTACACGAGAGATGCTGTTTTTATATTTCTTAATTTGTCTGTTCCAGTTACCGAAAAAAAAACAACAGTAATAAGAGCAAAACATATGTTGTGTGGATAAAGTTGCGAGATTTAATAATTGCTTTCTTGTATCCTACTGAGGAAATTTCTATTGTCATGTCCAGTATTTATCGTCTCCCCCGTTTATTGACCACGTCTAGCGGCGAGCGAAAATGACTATTATCTTTTTCAATGATGTTATATGCAAATCACGATGTCACGAGTTTCAACATTAATACAAAAAGCGAAATTTCAAAATCCTGTTGGCTTAAAGTGGCTTTTTCAAGTCTTTCCAATAAATGTTAAACAAATATTCGGGTTCGCTGGCACATCGGATGAGAAAGACTGTTTAGCATTTGGCATTTATCAGGTGTGTATTTACGTAGAGTATCACAGATTTAAAACAGAAATTCTTTGACCTGCTGCAGTCAAAAACGAAATCAAACAGTCACACGGTGGAAACGTGCGAGGTGGTTGAGCGCTGCAACTCAGCGGTTAATCTTCCATGAAATTTTAATATAACAGAGGAGTCGACCCATTAAGACAGAAACAAACATATTACCGCTTGGTAATTAGTTCTTGTCTTATTCAGCCATCATTTGGTCGCGGGAAGCTTTTTTTTTTTCGAGAACATTATTTCGGATCAGTGGCACACTACGATGAAAGCAGCGCTGGATAATTTTCTCAAAAACCACGCTGATGCCTTCGTGCGATATCGTCGAAAGAAGCTTAAGGAAATCGAAAACCTAATTAATCCATTATTGGAAGAAGTAAAGAAACTGGATGGAAAATTTGACTTTGAAATGGTCAACCCTAAAAGCTTTTATACCATCAAGTCACCCATCCATTACGAAGTACTTCTGATTTTTCACGGGGTGGACCCTGAAGAGATTTCTGTCGAAGACGGGCAAACACCAGCGGGATTTGCGCTAGCGAAACTTACTGGTAAAAAGATGGTGTCTAAGTGGAAATTTTGCAGTGGGAACAGTAATCCCAGCAAGGTTTACATGTCGGCTAAGATTGTCAGAGAGAAACTCTTCGAGCTTGTAAACCGAGTGATCAGCAGCTCGTCTTTTCTGGAATCACTCAAAGGGAGTAACTTTTGTGTAGAAGTCGTCGACGACGACGATGTGATTTCAATGCGGGTCAGCGGACAAGCCGTTGAAGCATACAGCGTTGATCTTATCCCAGCAATTCCTTATCCAGGACGCTGGGTGCTCTCTGCGCATGCGTGGGAATCCAAGCAAGCTGATTGGATGAGCAAGACTTTGAAGGAAGAAGTCATTAAGACCGGATTTCACTTGGTAGCCAGGCCATCACCGAGTAGGTCATCGTACCAGTGGCAGATTGATTTTCCTGGCCCCATGAGGAAGCTACTGGAAATAGACATGGGCTGTCGCATAAAATGTCTGCTTATTCTTGAGATCATTATGGGCGACATGTACTCTCAAAGGGATGCATGCGACAGTTTCCAACTCGAAACTCTCGTGTTGCGTATAACAGAACACTATCCAGTGAAATCGTTCTGGAGCGAAGAAAAATTCTCCAAACGTTTCTTAGACACCATAAGAGAACTGCAACGATGTCTCTCAGAAAGACACCTGACGCAGATTTTTATCCCAGGCGTGAATTTGTTTCGAGATTTCGACAAAGTGAGTTTGAAAAGTTGCGAAGAAGTTGTTCAGAGTGTTATAGAAAACCCAGAAAATTTCCTGAACACTTTCGAACTGTTCCAATATACAACTGCTTTGTAACCCAGAAAAATAGTAGGCAAAGTCTTTACTTAAGCCAGATAGCCCATCCAACCCGAGTTTTATCCCAGTTTCCTTAGCATGTAGCGAATAGGAAGTTACCTCTCCCCCCCCCCTTCCCCCTTACGTGGGATTTCAGTCCATCACAAGGTTACCCCTCGCCCAGGCATTTCATCGGGGTTCCCTGACATTTTTCCTGCACCTTTTTATACCTCCGGATGGAGAGAGGCACCGTGAAAGAGATATGTTTTCCCAAGAAGACAACACAATGACCTGGCTAAGTCTCGAACCCAGACCTCTCAACCCGGAATTCAGCGCACACTGCGTCTCCCACCGAAAGATCGTTAGAGCTGAGTACTTTGATGTCTTTACTCTCAAGATCTAGAGTGACCAGAAGGCAATTTCTCCCAACAATAACACTACACTAACAAGCCGATGGGGAATGACAATTGAGATAATAAGGGGATAATAATTTCAGTGATGAAGAACTAAATTCTCAGAACTACCATTATAGGAGATGCGTGGAAGACAGCAAAGAGAATTGTTATAGTGATCTTTCAGATCTTGCTTTTGTATGATGTAGCTACCACGTTCCACTGAACGATCTTTATCTGGGATCGCTTATTTTTCAGTCAGCATCTCTCTGTAGGGAAGCTTTAAGATAAACAGAAACCTTAGAAAAATCATTTACTTAGGTACACAATCAAAAAGAGGGGAAAAAAATTAATAAGGAACGAAGAACTCTTCGTGATGGGTTCCAAGTGACAGACTTGAAAAAAAGGCTACATTGAAATGTAAATGAAGCGAAACTGTTTGAAAATGAAGCTTGCACGGGCAATATTAAATCATATATTTACCAAGCCCGCTTCCCGGGAAGTTGTAACAATTTTATTTTAAATCGTAGTGCACCAGGAGCCCATTATATGCGCTCCCGAGTGCACTGAGAAGAGTTTTGTTTATAAGTAACGTACCCGAGACCTCTTTGTTTGATTTTTTCCAAAGATTAATTACCAGCTTTCCGCTAGGATTTTCAGAATTTTAAACAATATTTCTCTATCTTTTCTTTGTATGATAACCAAAGCGATAGTGATCGGTAAATACGTTTCTCCTAAAGCATACCTATCAGTACTGTGGGCTGAAGTTTTTTTAAACAGTAAACGCTTTGATATCTGTCCAAAAGAGCCGGTGAGGAAATAAGAATATTTGAAATCAGATGGAAAGCAAAATGGGACCCACCAAATACATTAAATTTATGAAAAAATGATGCCAAAACAAAAACAAAAAGAATTAACGAGAGGACGGAACTGTGGTCAATTAATGTTTAATATGAGGATTAATGTTTCATAAGCGTGGAGAGTTTTTGTTCCTGTTACCACGCCAATCAAATATATGTTATTTTATTCTATGAACGATTGATGTAAACCAATACTGTGAAGTCTCCCACACGTCTAGCAATGAAATTTATCTTTTATAAAGAATTTTCCGAGTTGAATTGCCGGCGTTTAATGTACTGAGCAATTGTCTGCACCATCAACGATTCTTTTTTGTTGAGAGCGTAAAGAATTTTAAAATAATACAGTTTTCTAACCACGCGAGTGAACAGCCGTTGTTGTGCTCAAAGATAACACAGTTTTTTTGCTCTCAACGACCGAAAAAAGTTTTGAGAACCGGATGCTGTAGTGGGTGAAACTACGCTTCATCATTAGTAATGGCGGAAAATTTCGAACTTTCAGCATCAGACAACGAGCACTGGTTAAACGGCTTCCTCCAACAAAACTGCGAAGAGGCGAGAAAACGAGTTTTAGAAGAACGAACTATGATGAATTTTGCGGAAGACGGAGGTTCTCAAGACGAATGTGATCTGTCTGGAATGTTCAACTTTAATGAATACGAAGAGTTCGACGAACAGAGAGTCTATGAAAATATAGATTTTTCGATTCTGTCCGAAACAAAACGTGCGACGTTCAACGGTGGTATATCGACTTCCGTGGGCGATACCTTCCACGACCTAGACGTAAAACCTGACATGGGTATTGTGGCATTGAACGGTAATGTGTCAATTCATGAAGGTGAAAATCGATCAGTACACGACACTAACGATCGTCTATCGACTCCCAGCGACGACACTATCCGCTACCGAGAGGACTCTGATACGAATTTTTCGACATTCAATACATCGATTTTCAAAAGTGACAAACGGTCTGAATTGGACGCCAATAGTACTTTATCAACCCTCGAGGACGAAAAACGGTTAGAGAAGGAGGTTCCGCGTAGTAAAGACAATCACTCCATTATGAATGTCACGACCCTGGACGACAGCATGTTGATTTTCAAAGATAAAGGACGACACGACGCCACCCAGGATCCAGTCAATTCTATTCCACTAATTCAGACGGGCACGTTGTATTGTGATGAAATATTGACGAAAGGCGATGAACCACGAGCTAGCCTTGATGATTATGGAAAACGCGTTGGTAACGCGCAGCCACCTTGCGAGCACGCTCCGCCCACGACAAATAATGGAGAGTTAGCCTTGGGCTTTGAAACCGAACTGGTTGAGGTGCCAAGTATGGGAATAGCTCACCCTAAAGAACAACTCTTGAAGGCAATAAACGACTTCAACAAGAATGTGGTAGAGATTCAGCGAGTTCGTTTTAAGCAGATGATGTTCCAGATCCAGGAAATAGTCAATGAAATCTTGGCTGAAGTAGAACGACTTGAAAACACTTTTAAGTTCCAAAGAATGAGCCCTGACAGTTATTATGAAATGAAGTCGCAAAACGAAGTGGACATACTTGTTGTCATGGAAAACATTTCGCACACAGAATTTATCATCGAGGATATGAAAACACCAACTGGATTTGCACGAATACGTATGACGTCAGCATACATGACGTCATTAGATGCAATGAGGTCATCAGATGTAACGTCAGAACCTAATATGGGGTCGTCAGGTGGCACCATTTTCCATTGGTGCACGGACACTGATTCTGGTGAGGTCTATTTCTCACCTAAAAAGTTGTGCATGAAATTTGCTGCCTCAGTTTCTCGGGCAGCGGCGAAAATTTTACGGCGTGGCTCGAGCCCACTCAGAAAGAAAGTGACGTTTTCGGACAGAGAAGAGACATTCCCTTTCGTCGTAAATCTTATACCTACAGTCGCCTGTCCGCAGACCTGGCCGCTGTGTGCGTACTGGCTCAGAAATTACACTAAACGATGGCCGTCGCCACACGTCAAAGATGAGGTCGTTAAGGGGGGAATGCATCTCGTTGCCATGGCGACTAGCCAAGAGTCTGATCCTCTATGGCGAATAAGCTTTTGCTCCGCACGTCGGCGTCTTCTTCAGGCTGATGGTGATGGAAAAAAGAATTGCTTGCGCGTGTTGAAAGTTCTCCTCGTAAAAGACTTGTCGAGACCCAAAGGCATCACGCCGCTGTACCTAGAAAACATTGTACTATGGGCGAGTAGGAAGCACTGGCAAGAAGAGGAATGGGCCGAGTCTATGTTAGCCGACAGATTCTTGGAGATGTTGGTGGCGCTGCACAAATGTCTGGAAAATAAGGATTGTTATAACTTTTTTGTACCAACAATGAATCTTTTCAATGAGTTGAAACCCGATGCTTTGAAAGTGTTGGCTTCGAAAGTTGAAGACATCTTGCGTGATCCCTTCAAATATCTGAAAACCTAGGGAGCCATACCCACCCCCTAACGTAGGACGTTTTGCTTGCTCCAGAGCGGCATGGTATATCAAGACAACTTTTTCTATTTTGGTTGTCGTTACCTGCATGACTGACATTGTACAAACACTGTTTTTTTTAATATTTCTAAACTGGGTCACCTCTAATCATTCCTTGGGGTAAAAGTTTCAAAGGTCTTGATCTTAATGACACAGTGTAGGTCCAAAAGCTGTCCTACGAGTTGATAAGTATTAGAGTGCAATCCACTACCACGAGATTGTGTCCCGCCAGCGGGGCCGTAAATGATCTCTTGAAGTGGCAAAAACTCATCTTTCTGAGACGCACAATTTATTGGGGCTTTCTTAAATGATGGTCAGTGTAATAATTCCACATATACTTTCTGATAGCACCGACAAAAGCTTTTTTTCTGGAGTATACTTTGTCATGGACAGAAGTAGATTAGTGCAATGTGCAGTATGATATTCTGAAATATTTGCTGGTTTAGGGATACTCACACCTCCCCCCCCCCCTCCTCCGCTTTTAGAATATTGTTTCTGAAAGACGGACAAATCTATTTGTGTTTTTTTAATCGGTTTATTTATCTACTCATTTAAAGTTATTGTATTTTTTTTCTTAGAAACTATCCTGTCTCTACACTTGTTGCATGATCTCAATATAAGAAAGAACGCTTTTATCATATAAATTACACCTAAGTTGGGGAAATTAAATACTTGACGTCAAATAACTGCTTATTCTCCCTTGTTATTTAAATAAATCGAAAGATTTCTAAAAAATATTTCACCTTTTGGCAAGCTCTCTCGTTAAAACACCGAGTAATGCGAAAACCAAAAGCAGTTTTGCTCGTAGGCTAGTAAGCTTTCAACTGTATCTAATTATATATTGATGAGATAATTAAAACCTGACCCAAATTACCTGCCCAAATTACCGTTATGTTTATGTATTTTGTATGTTTTTTGCTATTGTTACATATTTCATTATTAATTACATACTTGAAGTAAAACATTGTATTCCGCTATCAATCTGAACAGCTCATACAATAAAATGGCTTAAAAGGAGAATTTCTCTCACTTACAATGCAATGGCTTTAAATCAATAATTCCGTCGGACTTAAAACGAAACTCAGAAAGACTGAGTTCGACCCATAACGCTACGTTAAAAAACTTATTTTCCTAAATTTTTTACCAATTCTAGAAAAATTTAGCGAAAATGTTCCTCAAAGATAATTTCTCTTCAATTCAGTTCCTTAATCTCTAAAGTGTTTTTCTTAGTTATCTCTTTAACCCTTTTCACTCACTTGAGTGACCAATACAGAATTTCTCCTTACAACATCCACACAATATCAGGCAGAGTAGTGATGAGAATAACGAAAAACATCGAATAAGGAATTGTTAGTTAATCCAATACCAAATTCTCTGAACGAACATTGTGAGAATTGGATGACAGACAATGAAGAGAGTTGTAAATGAGATCTTGGGAATAAGGGGGTTAAGATTGTTCTAGCGGCCTAGTCCTGAAGTACTAAAATAAAAAAATAGCAAACGTTTATATAGGGAAGCTTTAAATCCATTTTGATAGCCAGGGTTTCAAAAGTGAGTAAGAATCATTACTCTTCTACTTGAAAATCTTTGGATACAAAATTTTTCCACTACATCCATTACATTTCAGAAACTAAGGGAAAATTTAGTTGCTCGAGAGGCCGTTTGGTATAGTTCTAGGCTGTTTTTCAAAAACATATTAAATGATATTTATAAACGACAGTGAAAAAGCAAAACAAACTATATTACTCCCTAAATTTTGAAATGGGTAGCTTCAAGGATACAGAGGTTATGTATTACGCAAGGTCATCTCTGGCCTTGGCCAGCTGTGGATAAAATTTACATCTGAAAAAAGCCTTCACAAAAAAAGGAAAAAAAACTTCGCAGGTTTTTCCAAGCACCAAGTAAACTCCAAAATGATAAAGTCTAAGACTGATTCGATCTGACTTTGCGGCTAACTGTCCATTGTTCCAAACGAAACTGTTTGGGGATCGCTTGTAGTCGCTCTCTGAAAGAATCTTCTCCAACGCTGATCTGTATATCCTTGGCTAAGCGTGTTTGACTCTCAAACAGAAGTATCACCAGATTTGTGACCGTTACGCTGTGAGAACTTCCTGGTACCAGGAAAGCTGTTGTTTGAGCCATGAGCGCTGTGTGCATATAAATGCTCTTGTCTGAGAAGCAAACTTCTGAATAACGTGTCGAACCTCGAGTCCATGTGCTCGAGCATGGCCTGGAGCTTAGCTTCAACTCGCCCCATAATTCTCTTCTCTGCGGCATAGATGTTCGTGGTGATAGAGTTATAAACTGATAAACATCCGGGGCATCCGCATTCGGCGCACCTGAGTAACAATAGAAATGCATTTTGATAACATGGGCACTCTCTTTTTTTAAGGTGAAATGCTGCATTGTGTTAGCTTTTAGTGGAGTTGAGAGGGAAATTGGCGCAGACCTTTGAAGGGAAATTCTGAAATCAGTCTTTCGGTACGTCGGCTGGCAAGTTTACTTCTACCAAAGTGAAACTCTAGGCAGCTTAGCTGTCCCATCAGTGTTGCAGTTACCATCAACACATCTCCTTCTCCATCCACCCCTCCCTCAACTGCCAAACGCTACCTCCCCCGACCCCTACCCCCATTATCATATTTGCCCTTACCTGGACTTACTCCCGGAATCCGAGCTGTCAGACGAAGCCTTCTCTAACGGAGCAGGCGCTTGTTCAGCCATAACTCGTTCTACAGCTCGCTTGTCTTCCAAGCAGAATGACTGCGCCCGTGGATTGATTGTAGCCTGTGTCGCTACAGGAAGCGCACTGCCGAGGGAGACTGGTCTGGCTTTGCGCACCATGTTGCGGCTTGCACGTACACGTGACTGTAAGTAGGTTTCCCACCGGTGCTTAGCGAGCGTGGGTGATTCCGGGGTATCGGGTGCGCCATTTTCCACCGACAGAGTAGCAGAGTTCTCCGCTGATTCGGGTGACTTTTCAACCATCAGGCCTGCTAGCATATTAATAAAATCTTCATCGCCTTCTGGACTTCCTGGCATATTCCGCGCTGTAAGGAAAACAAAAGATAAGTTGGCTATCTAAAGCAATTTTAAATCGAGAGTCGAAATTCATCCGAGATTGATTTCGTTCTGCTTCGCGTCGCTCTGTGATTGGTTTTGCACCACTCTATCAACCAATCAGATGCAAAACTACAACCAATCACGACTTGGTTGCCCTCGTTTTCCCGCTCTTTGAACGGTTTGGTTTTCATCGGCTCTTAAAGGTAATTTCCTGTCTTTCGATTGGCCATTGTCCGTTGTGATTACTTTGGTTTGGTTTTGCGACACTCAGTCTAAAGGGACTCTAGAAGTCGAAGTTGATTACACCTAACTGCAAGAACATTGAGAAAGTAAAGAACGTTTTAAAAAGAGCCAGTTCGGAATTATTTACATCGTTATAAATCATTTCATTACACAGACTGATGCTGAAAGTACGTTCCTGCCTCTTTCTATCAGACTTAGTCTCACCCAATCAGTAGAATTTTTCATTAAACAAAAAATGATCAAACCTGTTAACCTCTAGATTGCTCTTAGCCTTTTCATTTTGTATTACAAAGTTTAATGACAGAAAACGGGTGAGGAATTGAATTATAGAAAGAAAACTCCAAAAAAGTGTGTTGTCCACGCCAAATATTCACAGCATAACGTTAAGGGAGCCTGCCTCCTTCAAAACGCGAACTTTACCTTGGAAGTAAAATCAGTGCACTTCTCAAAGCGTCTTCCAGGCGTTCAGTCAGTACAACGATGCACTATAGAAGCGGAAGAGTGAAATACCGAGGGATGTTTGGGTCGGGTGGTGTTCTCTGCGCAACTCGGCCCGAATCTCCCTCGTTTTCACTCTGCTGCATCTATTGCACCCTGAGCTATCTGGAATAGGCTACTTCTAAGTGACTGACGGAAACCAAATTGCTCATCTTGATTCGCCTACACCTGGGGTTACGAAATCTTTTAGAAATTGTTTCGGCGTTTGGCAAAACTTTCCTCAAATTGGAGAAAACCAAAAAACGTGAACATTGAAAGATGGAAAGATATTAAAAATATTGAGAGGAGGACTTCGAACCAAGGTGGAAAAGGATGGAATAGTTTGATGAGGACTGAAAATGTTTAACTCACAAAATTTAGACCAAAGTCGTAGCTTGCAAGACGGATTTCGCTTTTTCTTGAGGGGGGCGTTTTCAAGCAAGCGCAAAGTCCGCTCAACTGAAAAAGGGAAAAGACAACTTGTTCTGTAGGCTGAAAGTTCAACTTACACATCCTTTCCGCTTTCTCTTCCTCTTCCAGTTGTTTCGCTCTTGTCATGGCCTGTGATAAGATGCTAGTTTCACTCCCAGATAAATTCATGGCACCAAGGTGTTCAGGCAGAGACCCACTGCCATGGCTAACAGATCTGACATGCTCAGAGACACTTCTACTTTGACTCTGCCGAAAACACTTCATGATTAGTTTACTGAGTCCGATAAAAGGGTTCGATTTTGGCTACAAGCGTAAGAGCTAAGTAATGCAAAATAATTGGTAAATATAGATCACTAAGCTACTTTAAATTATGACATAAAAAATACAATATTACCAACCATTTGCTTGCTTTCCATGGACTCCAAGAGTTGCTGAGCCTCTGGTGACAGTTGTTTACCCAGACTATCCAAATAGCTCCTCACATTAGATATATCCACTTGGCCTGGTATCAAACCCTGAAAAAATTTGCATATCATTCTAATTTATTAGACAAGCTGAATGATAATCGCATCTTGATTCGTTTTTACTAATCAGTTATGAGATAGCAGTGCATTATGGGAAGATTGGGTGTTATGACACCAAATACATTAATGGCTTTTCAGCATTCTAATTGACCGTATTTCCTACACCATGGTGTACATGTCTGCATTTAACTGACCGAATAACTTCCCAGAGAGCTTATTTTTGTCCTGTGTTTGGCTCATTTCCAGTAGCTGAAGTGTTCAAAATCAAAACTCTAACCTGCAAAGGCATTCCTGGGCTGGGAGGAAGTGTAGAGACTCTGGCAACTCGTACAACAATGGTCTGAAGTCTCATTGATTGCTCTTCCGCATATGATAGGAACTGGACATGAAAAATCAAAATCTTGTCAGCTATAATTTTTCAATTTGTTACTGTTAAAACTACAGTCTAATAGAAATTTTAAACCAGATAACAGACCCAATGCATGAATGGCAGACTCAATTAGTATTCTTTTGTAGTCATGTAGATTACCCCAACTAGCCTTGTCAGTATGTCTCAGGAAAAAATAAAAAAAAAAACCCCAACTCAAAGAAAGGCTGGTTGGGCTAATTTATATGAGTTCAGTAGAATACCAATCTGGCCTGCCATTTATGCATACTGTCTACTTACATCTTTCCTAATTTAATTCTCAGGAAAGACAAGAAATCCTCAGTCAGTTATTTGTAATGCATTAATGCAGAATACCAAACTGATCGCTCAGTTGGGAGATATAGGGTCAAGTGTTTGCCTTCTTTGTACCAAACTACAACAAAACAATTTTAAATCATGGCAGCAAGGGGGGGGAGAATGAACCTGGCCAAGGTGACTTATTTAAGCTGTTAAGTATTTTAAGTGTATTTGCAGCCATGATATTATTTTATTTGAGTGAGAGAGGTGGGGGGGTTTGTGAGCCTGGCCAAGGTAAATGTAAATGTAAATGTAACTTTTTTAAGCTGTTAAGTAAAAGGGTCTTTGAACCTATCATATTATTAAGTTTGTGAGAGGTCTGTGTGAGAAGACGTTGTTAAAAATATAGTAACTGGTCCAAGAACTGAAGCTGGCTCACATTGTTAGGAAAGACAGGGCCAATGGTCAAGAAACTTGATTATCACCCTTGAAGGGATGATACCAAGTCAGTGAGTTTCAAGAAAGGGGTGGTTGTTGATACATCTTTTATGGTGCCTTGATAATGGTTCCCATTCTTTTGAAAAAACTTAGGTTTTCTAACAACAGGCTGCCCTCCTCTCCAATTTATGCTCTCACTTACCTTAACTAAGCATCTGCAAGTTCCATGAATGAACTCAGTCAAGTCAAACTCAGTTTCAAATAAGGATACTTTTCTGGGAAAAAAATACAGCACGATAAAATTAATGTGAAGATACTTAAAAATAATTCATACTCATTGGAAATGATTGTGTAATAAATACAGCTGTAAAATAATTTTGCACAAAAGTGACTGCCACATCTGTTGTACAGTGTTCTGCCTTAAGCCTTAACCCTCAAACTCACGTGAGTGACCAAGACAAAATTTCCCCTTATAGCATCAATACAATATCAACCAGATAAGTGATGAGAATAAAAAAAATATCAATCTGGGGATAATTGGTTGATCCAATACTAAATTCTCCAAAATAACATTATAAGAATTGTATGGTTGAGAGTAAGGAGAATTACAAATTTCATCTAGGAGTTAAAGGGTTAATCCTCGAAGAGTGACTGGGATATAATTTCTCCTTAGCTAAATCAAACTGTAAGTTCATGAGAATAAGGAAAATGATGGCAACTAAAGGAGCTTGTGATGTCAAGCAAAATTCTCCTTTTCAGTCCCATAGAAAATGTAAAGGGAACAGTTTGGAGAATATGAACATTAATCAGGTTAAACATTTCTCTGCGATTCTGTTAATGGCTTTAAGTCTCAGATCAATTTTTTAATTCTCCTTTCTGTCAACCATACAATTCTTAAAATGTTAGTTCAGAGAATTTAGTGTTGGATCAACTAATTATCCCCATATTGATATTTTTCTTTATACTCATCAATTATCTGGTTGATATTGTATTGATATTGTAAGGAGAAATTCTTTCTTGGTCACTCATGGGAGTTAAAGGGTTAATGATGTATGACAATTATCAGATAAATTTACCCCAGGATGGAATAAAATACCAAAGTGCATTGATTATGGTTTAAAAATAATGTGATCTTCATACCTTCCTTTGCGAATTGTAAGCATGATACCCTTTGCTGTTTTTTCATAGTTTTCATCAACATACAGCTCAACATTCCTTGCTTCAGAGACAATGACAATGTTTTTAATGTAGAATTCCTGAGCCATAGGGTGTGCTGTGAAGCTCATTTCACATGGGACTACATCACTGTGTGGTTTTGGTTGGGTCAGGATCACACCGGCTCCAGCTGTCTGGACACACCCCACAACAAGCTGATCCTGAGCCCTATGGAAAAGAAAAAACAAAATAAACATACAGGAAACTGTAAAAGAAAACTGCCTAAAACATACAATAAAAATACAAGCACAATGGCTTAAATATGCTCCCTAGAGAATGACAGGAGATAGCTGTGAAACCAGTGTCACACTTGACTATATATCATAGAACTGCGCAAACTAAGTTTAGATTCCCTTGTTCTTTGATTCTCAGTTCTCAATCCTTGCTTCTCAATTCTTGATTATTGATTCTTGATCCTCCAATTAAGTTTTGAGGATTGAGGATCAAGTTTCAAGTCAAGATTGTCAACTTACTATTACATTTGTGACACATGAAATAGGTACTTTCAGTTTAAATTGTATGTAATGGATGAGTTTTTCTAAAATTTGTGCATGAAACAGGATTAGGACCCAAGCTTGCTACCTTCTTAGAACTGGGTTGTATCAAAGAGAGATAATTAACATTAAATTCCATCACAAGCATGAGAGAAAGAAAAAAGCTGGGTTGTTCTACCAACAGAGCTAAATAAAACTTGTTGGTAAGATGGGTTATACACTAATTCACATGCATAATGTTAGCTACAAACTGTAGCATCAGCAATGACAAAAGCATGAGGATAGAGAAACTTATGAGCTCTGTTGCTGAAATGTATATCATGAATGCTTAGTAGAAAAAATTTTGGATATTTCATCACAAATTTGCTGCAATACAGCTTTGAAGAAGAAGTATATTACTGTACTTCTCTCAAACAACACAATTGTCATCTTCCCCAATGAAAAATTCATTTTTCTCTATGGTTTGAGACTAGAGAAAAAAGTAACCTGAATTTTTGAAAATTTTTTCAATTCTTTATATCCAAATATCAGAATCCAATTGTCAGTCTACAAGGACTTTACAATGAATAAGTTTTAAATCAGGAGTTCACTGTAGAATAACTTACTTCTAGTTTTAAGTTGTTTTAGCTCTTTACACCCTAAAATCAGTAGGCATATTCTCCATGCTGCTCCTAATACACTTTACCAATCAAAAGCTTCTTTTGTTGGTGATCATTTCATTTATTCTCATGACCTTAAAAGTGTGATTCAGGGCTGATATTGTAGGGAGAAATTTGATTCTAGTCACTCTGAGGATTTAAAAGGTTACTAAACATTCCAATGTTACATGTAAGTGAACAATAACTATAGTGCAGTTCAGTACCATCACAAAAGTTGATCAAATGTATATCACAATGAGATAACAGGAAATGGAACAGTGAGACTATATTTGATCATATTCAAAAGAAATTTTCCCACGCCATATGTCAACCACATTTAGCAAACAAAGAAATATGTTTGCAATTAAAATACAGATTAATTGTTTACAGAACAAACAAATCTGGATTAGTCTACTTTTTAAATTTGCCACCAATGGAAAAAATAATTTAAAAAACTTGTAGAAAGAAATGGGTTTATTCGTTGTGAATTGTAGGCTATTTTCATAGTTGAATTTCCCTCATGCACGAAGTGAGCACACTCGTTTTTTTAGATTTAGCTATAAAGTATCGAAGTTATTTTATACAAACTCTACAGGGAGGTTCCAAAAATTTTATACATCTATAGTTGAAACGACATAAATTAACATAAAAAACCCACAAGAATGCACTTTGAGATCCTTGGACAAGAAAGGAAAGACAAAAAGCCTTTTAATCCATGTTTATTAAGGCATAAAGATAAACATCTAGTAATTGTCTCGAGAATCCTTCTTTGGCTAAAATTGCCCTTGACCTTCGTCAAGATATCGAGGAGATGCTTTTTCGTTTTGATCCGCCTTATCAACAAGAAGAACAGTTGGAAGATCGACGATATCACGGAAATATCTATAATATCGTCGTAAAAAGTGAAAATATAAAATCCATGTGTTAAAATGTATTCATTATTGTGATAAAACGTATTTAAAGTGCTAACAGAGTATTCGTGGCGTTAACTAAGGTTAAACGTAATTGTGGTAGCGCTGCTTGCTTTGGAATGAACTGTCATGATGGGTGTTCTTGAACGAAAAGGAAATTGTTTGTGATAAAAATTACCATCGCGTGATAATAAATTCAACCAGAGTTTTACAAAGAAGGACCTCCTGTGATTTCACCTGATTTGTTTGGTTTCTTTATAAAGGCAAAAGTTAACCTGCACTCGCCGAGAGAAAACGAGACAGTTCATCATAAGAGATTTTACATTGTTACAATGTGTTTATCTAGTAAGCACCTCAAAGGATTAATCGAATGAACCTGTTCTTAGAAAGCACGAATCACCGTGATCGATTTTATCACAAAACACAGTGGGAAATCAAAAAGGATATCAGCCTAAAACTGCGATTTTTATTGACAAGTTATCAAAGGGATAAACTTCACCTGCAATTATTATTACTGTTAGTGCCGTTATCATAGGTAATAAAACAGTGATGTTCGATCTTAATCTCACCTCGTTTCGCTGTCGCCTACGACATGAAACACGGCTGACTGCACAGCTTGTATATCCCAGCCTTCTGGATAATCCCACGAAAAGGCGATCTGAAATCTCGCCCAAAAGCTCGATAAATCCTCTAGATCCATTTACCAGTTGATTGCTCCACAGGGCTCTTCGATCAATGCGATGGTTTTCTTTCAGCGATGATGGATCGCTGCCCACACATGGCGCTACTGAAAGCGAACGAGATCAGACAACGAAGAGGCGCCTAATCCTTTTATACAAAACAAAGAACTTGCACGCATTCAACGACGAAGCATGAAGCTTGTCAGGCTTGTTTTGGTTTATGAAGTTGCGGGCTTATGTCAAACAAAGAGCAACTCAACTTCCGATGTGATAAATAGGAAATTCTGTGTGCTGCGAAAGCGCGAAATGGAAGACAAACTAGTACTCAGGCTACGGCCGCGAGGTGACATATAGAAATATGGAATGGACTCATACAAGGTGGAAACTAGAACGAAGTCTGTGGAATTTTCAGCTTTGCATCTGATTAATCAGGCTTTAGAAAAATAGAGCCATTTCTTCCCAAATTGGATTTTCAGTGTACTGCATAAAATACATGAATCACAGTTTTATTTCATTGTATCACAGTTTTATTTTATTTCTTTCTTGAACAACTCTTGCGTTGTAACGTAACAATCTGTCAAAATTGATTAACGCTTCTTTCCCAGTGCACATAAATTTTATCTAGAAGCGGCATAAATACGCTTTAACACGTTCATTGTTTTGCAGTTAAGGTACATGCTTAGCTGATACTGTACAAACTCAATTTTCTTTCAGCAAGCCATCTTACGGAACATTAAACTTCGTTTACTTCAGAAGAGTCTGCGATTAATAATGTGTTCTACATAAAGTTCTCAGTTTTTACATAGCCCAGGCCTCGAGATCTTTCAGGTCATCATCATCACGCATAGTTTTGTTTTTCATTAACGGATCTGTCGATGGAACGTTCGGTAATCCTGTGTTAGGACGTTCCATTCCAAGAAGTTCTTTGTTGAGACTTTCTTGTTCGATGGCTTCCAATTCGGCTTCGAGTCCTTCATCATCGAAGTCTTGATTCAGACCTACACCACAGATTGCCTCCGAAATCTCTTTAGAAATTTCTGTCTGTTCTTGAATATCATCCATAATGTCGTGAACATCCTCCACATCGAGAACTTGATGAATGCTCTTCAGTGTTTTAGCAGCATAATTCATATTCTTCAAAACTTCGGTGTTTGTGTTAGCGTTTTCCAAGGCTTCACGCTGAAATTCTATGGTCGATAAAGTTCCATCAATCTGATTAAGCTGTTTTTCAAAGCGTTTCCGCCTTTTCAAGGCTTGCAGCGCAATTCTCTTGTTCGTTTTGGCGTGCTTTTTCGCTGTTGCGTTCTCCATATCGATTTTTTTCTCCAAGAATTCTTGCTTTTTCTCCAACATTTCCTCGGTCTGTCTCAGTTTTTGGATTGCATCTTCAGTTGTCGGAATATTTTCCTTATTCTTACCTCCAAACATTCGCTGCAATACACTCATTATGGCAGCGAAAGACCAGAAAAAAACTGCTGATATTTGATCGAACCAGAAACCAACGACTGCTTCTTTCAAATTGTGCGCTAAAAAAGGAAATGAGTAACGCGTCAATCAAATGTCACGAGTTTTTGTTCTCCCATTACTATCGATCTGTCACGGTTATTCTGGAAACCGGAAGTCAGCATGGTGTTCAAAATGGCGGTACGGACGCTGTGTATTGGCTGCCTTTGTGTGGTATTCTTTAGCTTCAAACCCACTCAATGTGAGCCATTTCAAGCGCCAAGTTATACCATTGACCTCGATCTTGCTCCGGAAGAAAGATGGCTCAATATTACCCAGAAATACCTGAAATACACTCCGAAGATTTTAGCAAATCTGCGAAAGAAGATTCCACCGTTTGCAATACCGCTTGCAGAAAAGCTTGCTGTTGTAATTGATAAACATTTCCCCGAGGAGTATAATAAAGAGATGATGGGTATATCAAAGGGACTTCATCTAAGCTTTTCAGACACAATACTTCTCAACATTTTATACGACGTAACAGCTTTTTGCACAAGTATCGTTGCACAAGACAAGGATGGAAGTGTTTTTCACGGAAGAAACCTGGATTACTCTTTTACAGATACGCTGCGGGATATAACTTTCATATCCAACTTTCAAAGCAAAGGTAAATTATAGATTATTCTGTAGACAGTAAGTGTGCGATTCCTCTATCATGTTCCGTCGAGCATGTAATAGGAAATAAATAGTAATTGAACTTTCACATTCCTCGCACTGTTGTATAGCTCAGTGGAAAAAGGCTATGGTAGGAAATGACTGATCCGGTTAATAGGCAAGAAAGCTTATTTTGAGTGACAGTGACATTCTTTACAACTCAAGGATTATGTGAATTAAAGGTTCCAATTTATAAGCTTCCAATGCGTTGATCAATTTGAAGAGTTAACGCCACTTGGCAACCCCCCCTCCCCTGCATTCTGAATTTTGGAGATTAGTCCTTTCAAAATTCCTACTCCCTGCGGGGAAAAATTGTACTTGAATGCCCTACTCAACGACAATTTTTTATTGGAGGGTTCTTTGTGTGATCAATGAATGTTGTAGTATCTAGCAAATTTATGTGATAGTTTTTGCTGCTGTTGAGTTTTGCACTTGTAAGCATCATTCCTTGATGTAAAAATTTATCACATCATGTTGCATTTTGCAACTAAATGCAATAAATGGAATAATCATATTCAATATTGTTTGAGAGAGATTGTTATTAATTTTTCAGCCTTTGTTCATTCACTATTCAATAGCACTTCATACTCTGCAGACAACAACTGTTTTACAATAAAGACAAGATCAGCAAATGTGACTTTCTACTCATTGACCAGAGTTGATTTGATTATTGAAGTCTTTAAAACCTGAAATGCATAACCTTTTAACCCTTTAACACCCATGAGTGATCAAAATAGAATTTCTTCTGACAATATCCATGCAGTATCAAGCAGACAAGTGATGAGAATAAAGAAAAATATCAGTTAGGGGATTATTTATTGTTCCAATACCTAATTCTCCATACTGCTATTATACAAATTGTATGGCGAACAGTAGGGAGAATAAATAGTGGGATCTGGGAGTGAAACAGTTTATCATTGGTCTTTATAGGTAAGGTGGTGTACACTGGTGTAACATTTGCTGGCCAGGTTGGTCTTTTGACAGCACAGCGACCGAACAGTCTCACAATCAGTCTGGATGAGAGGGACCGGGGCCACATATGGGATAATGTCTTTGAAGCTATCTTTAATAAAAATGCAATTCCTGTTACATTTCTGATTCGAGATGTGGTCAGCACAGAAGGAATGGACTTTTCTCAAGCTGTGAAGAAAGTATCTCAAGTGTCCTTGATAGCAGCTAGCTATCTTATTTTAGGAGGAGTTAAAGTTGGGGAAGGTGCTGTGGTTACGCGAGACAGAGAAAAAACAGCTGACATCTGGAGGCTGGGTCAAGATGCAGCAAAGGAACCGTATGTACTTAACAAATAGATGTCATGTTGTGGTACATAATTTTATGTTTAGTGATACATCTCAGGTGATGTCAAAATGTGGAAGAAAACAAGAACACAAGAAAGAAAGCTGCACATAACATGGCCAAGTTTGTCACTGATACTCTAACCCTAAGCATTTTGATGTCTTCTGTGATCTATTACTTTCCAGATTTACAGAGCCACAGTAACATGGAACCAATTTATTTTATAAAAGAAAAAGAAAAAGGTTGTTACTGGTGACATCATTTTGTGTCTGTCCTCCAATTGGTCATAAGTAAGAACCAATCAAATGGTGTGTAATTCAGCTTATTATATACTAGTAAACACAAAGAGATTATGCAATTTTGAAACTTAAGAAAAGTGAGAAAGTACATGCGAATTATGAAGTTTGAAAAGGAGGTTACTTTTATCTTGAACTTTACAAACTACCCTCGTATGGATGGTTACATCTCAGGATTGAATCATTTTTGTGTTGAATATGCAGGTGGTACCTTGTAGAGACCAATTATGACCATTGGACCACACCCCCTCCATCAGATGATCGCCGTGACCCGGCTGAGAAGGCATTGAAAAAGTTGACTCAGGCAAAGCTCACCCCTGATGCACTGTTCAATGTCATGTCCATCCATCCTGTACTGAATAATGAGACTGTCTACACAACTATCATGCAGGCAAAAAATGCTGATCTATTCAATACTTGGATTCAGACGCCATAAGATAACAATCTTGTATTCCTTGGTGAGCCACTTATTTTCTTGGAGATAATTCAAGCTTAACCCTTTACATCCTAACATCGGTATGCATGTTCTCGATACTGTTCTGTTCTCTATACATTCCTAAAGTACTGACAAGGAGAGTTTGTTTGAAAATCAAGAGCTTCTTTTGTTGGTGATCATCTCCTTCATTCTCATGACCTTAATGTTTGATTCACGGGTGATATTGTAAGGAAAAATTAGATGCCTGTCACTCTTAGGGATTAAAGGATTAACCCTTAAGCTCCCATGAGTGATGACCAAAACAGAATTTCTCCTTACAATATCAATACAATTGTGAATTGTTAGTTGATCAAACACCAAATTATCTGAAGTAACATCATAACAATTGTGTGACAGACAGTGGGGAGAATTTCTAGTTACATATTGGAAGGGAATGGTCAGTTGCAAACTAGGAAAAGTATGCATTGTTTTGCATGTAATTGTGAAAAAAAAAAGAAGAAAACAGAGTGCTAAAGAAACTAAATTTTTGAGACAAATTGGATCACATAAATGTTAAGAAAAATGAAGCAAGCATTTTTTGCAACTTATTTTCAACATAACAAAAAGAATCTAAAAAATTGTTTTTTAAGTAACACTGAAGGTAGCTTCAACAGTATGGATAACACAACTTTAACAATTATAACATAATATATGTTTCAGTTTGGTATTGAAATTTTTTATCGTCTTTTTTAAATCAATATTTTATGATGAATAGTAACAACTGGTTAAGTCTGCATAATAACTGAGTTAAGCACTACTCGAGAGTTAAGGAACTGGATGTGGTTAGGAGAAAATCAAGAAAATTGACTGTTAATTTTTTTCCAGAGAATGGCGAAATCAGAAATAAATTATCGTTAGTGGAATGATCTTTTTCACTAAAAATGCACTGAGTGCACTCCCGTGTCCCCGTTCCCCGTTCTTAATTTTTTTTGTTTTGTTTTTCATTCCCCGTTCTCCGTTCCTGATTTTGGTAACATCCACAGCGGGAGTGGCGGATAACGCTTTTGCATGAGGTTCATATGACTCTCATAAGGGTCATCAGTCTCTTCGATCGATTCTCTCTTAACCGTGGTGAACACATGAAACAGCCGTATTTATCTCTTTGCCAATTATCCATCTGTTCGTAAAGTATTCGAATGAGCAAAATCAATTATCTTAGCTTTCAATGCTTTATTAGATACAACTGAATAATTTACACTTATAGACATATTTTTTTTTTATATTTACAAAAAAGGTCGTGCAACGAATACCAGTAGTCTGGAGGGTGCGGGCGCTCCTAAAATTCCCAGCGTGTCTTAATAAAAAGTATAGTCTATGATCGATCGCGAAGAACTTAAACCTTTGTGGGTAGAAATTTGTTAGAGCGATCCCTTAGGAATACGTGGCGATACTTGGGCAATCTCCATGCACACACAAAGGGATTTAAGGCAGAATTAAGGAAAAGAAATCGCGAAAACACAATCTCCAACTTTCTAAAAATTATTGATCGTTTGCACGACTGGCAAAAGTACATTAGATGTAACGCAACGAATTCAGGTACGACTGTCACGTAGAATAACGCCAACACAATCAGAATTGTCACGACCATGTTCCTTTCGCGGTCTAAAGCTTGTTTGCTTTTCATCGTGGCGGTGATTCCAGCTTCTTTAAGTTCGCGTTTCCTTTTTCCCAAAGCGAGAAAGACTTTACAGTACATGATTGTTAACAATATGGCGGGGAACGATGCGTGAGTATGCGCATACACGATCTTGAATATTTCTTCAGGAACATTTGTTAACGGTAGAAAGCACACAGTCGCGGCAATTCCCCAGATACTAGCGATGCAAATCCTTATTCTTTCCTTAGTCATGTTGGTTCGGTATTTAAACGGATGCATTACAGCAATGTAGCGATCGCAGGACAAGGCAATGATCGACCCACTACTGACAAACAATGATAATCCAAGTACCAAACGGATTATAAGATCCAGAAACTCGGGAACGTCCAAACCTTGATATCGATAAACATCTTTCACGCCTACAAGAGTACCAGCAATCAATCCAACTGTTAGATCAGAAACACACAAGTTTGCGATCAGCAAAGACGGGGGCGTTTGAAGTAGACGACGAGTGTCACGACTAATTGTCCACAATAGCGCTCCGTTCGCTGTTGTAGTAACCACAGACAGAGCGAAATCCACCACCGCTAGAACGAGAAAGAATATTGGGCTAATCATCGTCAATGGATCATCTGTTGTTTGTACAGAATACTTCGGTGAAGAAATTGTATGCTCCATTGCTAAAGTCATAGTTCGGTGTGTTACATGTACCGACGCGTTACAACCGATGTATTCGATTTTAGAACGCAAGTGGAAAAAGTATTCCTTGAAAACTGCGATGAGCTGATTTTGTTTATCTTTTAGTCCTTACAGTCCACTGTTCAGCGAATATATTTGACTGGTGCAATCAAGGGAATGAATGGGCTATTCAGGCTTTTATCTCACGCTGGATGCGACGTGCTTCTTCGAAAACGAGGAAGCCAGCATTCATAGTATGACGTCAATGAAATATTTGCTTAAGACTCAACGTGGAAATTTTGTTACAAGCCAGCGATTCTTAACAATTGTTTAAAAGGAAGTTAATTGCATGACAAAGAAAACGGCTAATTTCAATACAGGTTACGTTAACTCTCTTTTGTATTTATTTTGAAATTCAAGTGTCAGCCGATGTAATTCCGCCAAACCTCTTCCGGTTAAATTGATCGTTCTAAGAAAACATACCAGTCACTTAGTGTCACCCCAACAGAGGATCCTGTAAGTAACCCTCCGGAAAATTGTAAACACAGCAGTACTTGAATTCTTTTGATAATTCAACCCAGAAAACTGCCCGAGGATGGGTATTTCAAAACAACTTTACTTCACTTGATTGTTCAAGCGCGTCTGAGTTGACGGCAGTCACGATTTCCGCTTGTTTCTCCTGGGTGGGGGTGACGGGGCGGAAGCACGGGATCGTTTCCCGTACAGTGGCTAGCTAGTAATCGAGTCTTAAAATGTTTCACCCTAATTCTTCCCGCGTACGACTTAACGCTTATGTCTGTGTAAGGGAGGTTATATTCATCGATCAGATGATCAAATAATCATTCAAAATATACAAGAACATTTATTGCGATAAAGGGACAAGCGGATACCAAGATCCTGAAATTAGTTGATCATTAACTACAAGCGAACGTCACCGTTGTTGTCGTGCTTAAGTGAAGTCATCGCTCTCGACCACAAAGTAGCACAGTTTGTAGCCATACGTGAAATTCAATTACTCAACTCCAAGTCCCTCCAGGAAAATACTCTGAACGTCACTACTATAGAAAGGCCATTTATCTGTTCTACCGAAATCAGACTATCACTTCGACCGGTATCTCATGATATAACGATGACAACGGCAGGTTCAGAGCCTCGGAATAAGAAGCTAGCACCATGAAAGATCATGATGGGAAAATTATCCCCTGATGAGGTCATCTTTCCTTATGCTGTGGCTAGTAATTTCCTCTCTAAAAAGAAATTAAGCTATTGCAACTCACATGAAATGCTTTAAACGTCATCTTTTTCCCCTTTGTTTGATGTGAATACATGTGTGACTGCGTTTGCGTCGTCAGCGAGTTTCAGGCTAGACTTGCGAGACAGAAAAAACTCCAGACACACTAACTGTTTACACGTATCGTTTAATGTGAACACAATTCGTTTCCTATCATCTACCCTGGCTGAAGTTTGAATTGAATTGAATTGAACGAAAAACGAAAAACAAACGAAAAAAAGATGTCTCATGATATCATTGGACAGACAGATCGTAATCAACAATTTTCTCTGCTATCACCGAATTCCTCGAAGCTTAAGTATAGGTTTTCATCGAAAGACAAGGCCAGTACCGAATAAGACAAACTAAACGCAGTCCCACAACAACGGGAAGACCAAAGTTATGACTGAAAACCAGCGAAATAGATGTAACAACCGCGATCATTTTTGTAAACATTCACACTCCAAATATGACTGACATAATGGGTCAGCTATGAATACATCCGGTTAAGCGCCAAACCAATGAAGCATTGAGTGGCTTTATTAACTCCTTGCCAGGGTAGTGTATTAGTATGAGTTGATCACTTGTACTGTACTGTGGTCCAACCGTCACCATCAGATTGCTCCGCAGGGGGTCTTTCTCGACCGCGACGGGAGGCAGACCAGGATTTACCTGAGAAAAAGCATATCAAAAGTCAGAAAAAAATTGCTTCCAATCCTTTGTCTAACACTCCTAACAAACCTTCAGAACGTGCAGGTGGTGGATCTCGTCTCCACTGATCACGGCCTGGATCTTCCCCTCCCCTTCTCCACGCATCACGATCACGGTCACGATCACGGTCACGATCATCTGGGCGTTCGTTCCTCCAACCAGAACGATCACGTTCATCACGATCTCCTCTGTAGCGATCTCCTTCACGGTCTCCTCGGAAACGATCATCTCGACCCCCATCTCCACGATCACGGTCACCGCGCCAAGAATCTCCCGACGGACGGTCACGCTCTTCTCGATCACGCCCACGCCAACGATCATCGCGTCCACGATCATCACGACCACGATCATCACGACCACGATCGTCCCTCCCACGATCATCGCGTCCACGATCATCACGACCGCGTTCATCACGCCATCGATCGTCCCGCCCACGGTCGTCCCGCCCACGGTCGTCCCGTCCACGGTCGTCCCGCCCACGGTCGTCCCGCCCACGGTCGTCCCGCCCACGGTCGTCCCGCCCACGGTCGTCCCGCCCACGGTCGTCCCGCCCACGGTCGTCCCGCCCACGGTCGTCCCGCCCACGGTCGTCCCGTCCACGGTCGTCCCGTCCACGGTCATCGCGCCCACGGTCGTCACGCCATCGGTCGTCACGCCCACGATCATCTCGACCGCGATCGTCACGATATGAACTGGGTGGTGGACGGTCACGGTCATCACGGTCTCGCCACCCGCTACCTGAGGATGGACGATCACGGTCATCTCTCCTCCAAGGACCACGATCGTCCATTCTAGGGCGGTCCATATCTAAATAAGAGAAAATTAAAATATCAGTTTCATTGAAGGAGAGTATTTCTAACTCTCCTCTGGATTCAGAAAGTAACAGTGCATCAACTCTACGTGTAGGGAGCTACAAGTTCTGAAAAGGCCACTCGCACTCAAGTCTATGATGATCTCTAACCTCTTCTCGGACCATCTCTTTCCCCAGACCTCCTCCAAGTTGACCCCTCATCACGAGGCCCTTCCCTGTCACGATCATCTCGTCTCCAGCCTCCACCTAAAACGAATCATTGCTGCTTTAACATCGTTAAATTTTGTCCTATGACATATTCACTAATTAGGTCAGCGGGCAACTTCTTTACCGCTGGGATCGATGAATTCTCGAGCAGTTTGACGACGCCATTCCACAGTAATCCTGTGCGCTCTTTTTGCGGTCGTCTTAAAGCGTTCCCCCGCCTCACCCCTCCCTTCTTGATGAACGGGTACCTGAAACAAGGTTTTACGGCTGGGCATTTCCTGCTTTAAGAGTAGTATTCTATCCAAGGGCCGTCTGGACAAATTAGGAGCCCCTGAATACCTCAGACCTGAATTTCATTAGGGGAAGCTACAGTCACCATAACAACAGTTTGCCTTCATCCTTAACAACAACAAAAAAAAAACCCGAACCCTTAAAACACCGGGCTATACATCTCAAAATTATGGTTTCAAATTACCTGAACCCCCATCACGGAAACGGTCGTCGCGCATGCGATCATCGCGATAACGATCGTCACGGGAACGGTCGTCGCGGAAACGATCATCACGGCCATCACCACGACCCCATCCACCTGTAGATTCACGGTCCTGTTCGCGCTCCTCCTGGTCACGGCTTGAGGGTAGCAGTTCTCGTTCCTCACGGCGCCTCTCAACATCAGGTGGTGGCCTCTCCCGTTCATCGCGCCTCCATGATCCACCTTCGTCTGTGAAGAAGGGCAACATAATAAGTGCAAGTATTACACTCCGACATAAACGCTGTCTGGCCACCCGAAAGGTTTGCTGTGGGCCTTTTGAAAACCAACTTGGAACATTCCTTTTGGGCTCCCAATCTTGAAATTAATTCTCCTTACGATCTAGCGTACGACTATTACAATGTTAATTAAGAGAATTTGCCGTCCAAACAAAACCCTTGGTAAATATTTTTCTTTATTATATTCCCCTGATTGCTTGAGAATGTATTGGCATCAAAGGGAAAAAGTACTTATTGCTCAAAAGGTTAAATTTCTGCGACTTAAACCTGTGTGCGTGGATTATCCAAAATAGAAGAAAAAACTGTAAACTTGTCTTTCCGAATCATTGTAACGGAGCGTTATGAATAAGTCGAAATGACGAGAGGAACTTTTACAGATTATCCTTTAAAAGAATGCTGAAAGAGCTTAAATAGCGAGAAGTTTTCATCAGAAGACAGAAGAATTGGAGGGGGGAGGGGCTTGAGATGTGGGCTACGAAAGACTTTAAAAGAATTTGCGAGGAAACAGGTATGGTTTATTTTTATCAGCCACTTACTTTTTTCTCCAACAAAAAACGCTTGTTTTTTCCATCACTTAAATGCAAGCTCATTCAGGATCTTTTCTCACAGTTCCGTTCATAACACTGGGTAAGGTCTTACAACCGAAGGAAACACAAACCAACCAACCAACAAACAATTCATAAGAAATAACTCGAACCTTTCTCTTCCCGGCGAGGAGGTCCATATCGGTCCCTGTCTCTGTCCCGTTCCAATCCCCTTGGTGGACCATCCCGTTCACTGTCAGGCCTGCTCCCTCGCTGGTTCTTTTCCTCAATTTCCTTCTCCCTCTCTCGCCGCTTGCGCTCCATCTCGTCCAGCTTTGCGACCCTCTCGCGGTACTCACGTTCTTTCTCTTCCTTTTCTATCCTGGCCTTCTCTTCGGCTTCTTCGCGTTCTATGGCAGAGAAAAGAGGAAAACGACATACTCTCCTCTCCTTTGACTCTTCAGACACGGAGAAAAAAAACTTAGAAATCGGTCATTATTTACTGCCTGAGGCAAAGAGGTGTTGGGGGGGGGAGACAGAGAATTTTGATTGTGTCACATTAAAATTTACATATTTTCCCTTCCCTCAATTTTATCCAGTCCCCACAAATGCTGTTAGAGACGACTCCTCCGTTCTCCCTAAAAAACCATATGATTCCCCACATCCTTCGATTCCCCCCTCCCCCCTCCCCCCCCCCCACCCACCCACTAACAGGCGATAAACAGCGACTGGTCCACAAGTATGCACTTTTTACTTTGATCAAGTAACAGTAGAGGAAGGTAAGGAAAATTAGGACATGAGAAAATTTTAAAAATTGTCCTCTTACAAGAATAATTTCTCTTTGAAAAGATAAAACTACTTAACCCGGATAGATGTGCACAGCTTATAGTTCAAATTTTCTGGGTCGAATTAGAATTTGAAGCATTGCGACAAAGTGACATTGACAAACGTAAAAAGTTTCACCTCTCTTTTCTTTTTCTTCCTGTTCCTTTCGTTCTTTCTCTTCCCTTTCATGTCGTCGCTGCTTTTTCCTCTCCAAAATGCGCTCTTTCCGTCGCTCCTCCAAACGTTTCTTACGAGCCTCGTCCAAACGAGCTTGAAACTCTTTCATTTTTTCCTGTCAAAAAGAAATAAAAATTAAAGTATTCATACAATGTGCATAACAGGCTCACCACAGAAGATACTTTTTCCAATTGAAGGCTGTAAATAACAATTACTAAATATCATATTGAACGATAGTTTGCATCAGCACCCGCATAGGCGTCTTTCACTTCACAAGCAAGTAAACTTCCGAAGTTTCATCAATTCCAAGGACAAACTCATTAACCTTCTCATCCAGTCAGATGCAACCCTTTGCCCAGCCTCACCTAAGTTACCTCTGATTTCTAACGCAGTTTACTCTTACCAACAACTTTAACTTTTCGCGAGTTCCTTGGTGTGATATTTAAATTGGTAAACCCTTCAACTCCTAAGAGTGACTGACTTCTAAGTTATCCTTACAATATAACCCTTGAATTAAATGCAAAGCCTAAGGTCACGAGAAGGAAGGACAAGATGCCCAATTTTAAGAGCCGCCTGAATGTAATACTAACTCTCCATGTCATTACCATTAACCATGTAGAGAGATCAGCGTGAAAAATATGAATACTGATGTTCAGAAATGAAGGGTTTTATACCATTATTTAACTTTCCCCACCTTCAATCGAAAAGCGCTCCTCGTTAAGGACAACTTCGTGAGTTACAACTAATTATGTTAGCGACGATGAAAGCTCTAAAACAGAAGCATTGCATTCACCTCGTGAGACGCCTGACGAGCTTTAAGTAGGCTGTCAACAAAAGTCTCCTTGTCTGGCACCATTCGCTGCAGCCTTCCACTGGTTTCTACTAGCTTCTTATGCTCCGACACTGCTACACTGATCTGGAATTCGAGCCGAACAAAGAAGAACGTCAAAGTTAAGTAATGGATTATTCGTGATCATTCATCATTAGTTGAAATGTGTCACGTGACCAGTATGAAGCGAGGCACGCTAGTCGTGAGACCGCTAACCGTGAATAAAGGTCTCCTTTCAATGAAGGCAACAGATACAAATACGTGTGAACTGCAGCAGAAATCGTATGCCTCGTTATGGAGAGCTTGATGCCTCCCTTTCTAGCCTTGTCAAGGTTCAACTGTACATTTGATCACAATTTAATGTCCACTCACCCTGTCTTCTTCCTGTTCTTCCCAGAACTTTTGGTCCTGCACGAGGTGTTCCTCGTACTGTTGCTTCAGTAAAGGAATCTCCTCCATTCGCATCGCTCGTGCGAGGTAATCCATCTAAACCAAGGGAAAACACTAATCTCGTTAAAAAGCAACAGCTACCCATGACGCGTGACTATAAAAGAAATCTAAAATTTTTCCGAGTTGACCAACATTTTAATTTATGCTTAACACGACTAGAAAGGATATGGACTCCAGCTTTTCCTTTAGGATTAATTTGAAAAGTGGGTTGTTTGGGGCTTTGAAGACTGGGCAAGAGAACGAGAAAAGGTGCTTGTCTAACAGGAAAATCCACTGGCATGGTCCTGGAGAAAGTACGTAAACGTTATCGCTTTCAACTACCGTAAACGTCCATGTACAAGCCGCACTTATTTTCACAAAATTGAAGCCAAAATTCAAGGTGTGGCTTATCCATGGATACATCTGTGTTTGGAGTTCTCAAAAACCTAATTAATATTCATAAAACTTCTTAAGATGCCAAGAAATAAACATAAAAGAAACTGAGAGCGTGTTGCTGTAGTTCATTGACTTTTTCATTGAGTGGCGGCTCCTAAAAGAGCCGTTTGTGTCTTCGAGTGTTTATCGGCGAATCTTGCTCTCCAAGAGTTCTTTCAAGCGATTAATTTTCGCATTACTCGAACAACTAAACACCAACACAGTGCTTTCAATAACACCCGGCGCCCGCGGGAGCTCCGGCGGGTACTCTGACGTGGATCGCCGTGTTTCCTTTGCCACGTCCAAGTCAAACTTACAGAACAAAAAGGTAAATAAATAACATAGAAAATAACAGTCAATTTAGTACTGGAGTAATCACCCCAGTTATTTTTTTAATTCTGTCGTATTTTTTTTTTAGATTCATTCTTTCACTGGTAGTTTTCTTTCTTTGCTTGTTTCGCACGTTCCATAAAAGTTAATCACGCTCCAAGGAGAAGTACACATCGTCGGTTACCTAAATAACTTTCCAACAAATTTGTGCTGAACTAAAATCATTAAATACTTTTAGACAAATAAAACAACAGCAGCACTTCTCAACTGCTAGTTAGAAAACAAACTTGAAAATAAAAATTAGTGAAAACAGCTCGGTTGTTAATAGCACATGTAAATCAAATTTGAAAGATGTTGACCTTGCTTAAAGACGCTTAACCTAGCTAGGCTTGGCTGTGAAGAGAACTATAAAAGGCTATAAAACACTTAGCGTTTAAACTTTTATTTAAAAAAAAAGCTGCATTTGCTGAAAAATTGAAGAAGACCTTGTTCTACGCTGACACGACCATTGTTTACGATCCGATATAAAACACGAGCCGTGGGCACAGCTAAAATTCATTGGCGGATTGATTTAATTTAATTATCTTTTGTAAACATTAAATGTGAAACTCAGGCAGCAGGTTTGCAAGTCTGCAAATGGAAGATTTTGATAAAAATAAACAATCAGTTTAACAATTGTTACAAAGGAGACCAATATTTAACGATCATTTACCAAAGTCCGCCACAGAAAACTCTGTTTGAAGCAATTTTACTCTGATGGAACTAATGGGCTAACGAGATCGATATTGTTTTTCATATTATCCTCCACCGAGTGCTTTACCGAGGTAGCCACCTACTTCAAACCTTACTGAAAGCACTGCCAACATACAGGGAATCTCTCGTTGTTTTTTTACTACCTTCATGGCAAATTCGTCGACTGCATTGTCAGGATCCTGTTCTACATGAAGTTTTTCGCCTATTGCGGGTTTCCAAACATCTTTGGAAAATCTTCCCTGAACAGCTAAATCGAAAGTAAATTTCTCCATGTTGGAACTGCGATGATGCAAACAATAATGCTTTTCATAGTTTACTCGACCCAGTTCCCAAATCAGATCTATCCAATCGTGATTTGAAATAGAAACTGAAATGATTGCATCAGTGCGCGTGCTTTCTGTTTATGCCCAGACGATGGCTAGGCCATAGCCCAGACTCCTCCCAACATTTAAAGCTTGGCTACTAGACACTTATTTGCTTTTTGTTTTTTTTTTTCAATGCCGAAGGAATTTCAACTTTATGGCGTGTTTCGAAGTGATAATCTTGAAAAATGGTGTAAATTCCAATGAAAAAGAAAGTACAACAAATGAAATTTCGCTTTCTTTAGACTTGATAAATGTGAAAGATAGCCACAACTTCTATGTCGGTGTTTCGAAACCTTGATTGTTTGTAGCAATAAAACTCTACTGAAACTTCAAACTGTATTGTTTTTATTTTTTTTCCAAATTCTGCGCTTCCAAATCGGGGGTGCGGCTTATCTACGGATGCAGCTTATACATGGACGTTTACGGTAGTTGTTAACAAGGCTCACTCTAATCATGGTTAAGAACTTCAACAGTTAGATTAATTCTCGGCTAACAAACGTTCAGAAGCCGTTGCTTCTCCAACGGATTGGTAAAACATGTTGGTCAGACATGAAAACTCTGATATGACTGTTTTGTTTAATGCTTTTCAAGGGTGCAACAAGTGTATTCACCTTCTTCTCCTGAGTTTTAAGCCTTGTCTGCAACTCTCTCTTCTCTTTATCCAGCTGTTCAACTTGTCTGGCCAGGATATCATCTGCATCCATGGCTTCAATTTCCTGTTTAACAAGAAAGCAACAAAAGTTTGAACCCAACCTAACTTCACGTTTGATCACCAAGCAACCAATTTGAGTCATACGGAAAAATTACCCATAGAAAAAGGGATAGAGAACAAAACTTAGTGAATGGGGGTAGCTTCTTGACACTCTTCCTATATTCTGAAACTACGGCTCACCTAGGTTGACAACTCATCTACCTTACGATTTACGTGTTTGTCTGTAAAAGTAGAGGGACAGTAATCCTAATAGCCGGCAAGAACGCCCACAATTTTAGCACCTCAATAGGGGTGTTTCTTAGCTCGCGAAAAAGTTTGAGGCTTTGAGCAAAGCTATAGCCAGCGAGATCTGTAGATGGTGCAGCACTGACCATGTCAGACCCACAGCACACCTCTCCCCTACTCATCTCAAATCTTCTGTAGATGGGGAAACACTGAGCACCCAACTCTGCTAATGAGGGGTTGCTCACAGGCTATAATCCTAACCTTCGTTAATTCATTTACATACTTTATCTCGAGCTTTCAGAAACTGCAATCGTCTACTATTTGATAAGTCATTTGAATAAGAAAAGCAATAGTGAAACTTTTGAAATTCTTCTTTTCTGTTCTTACCTGTTAATTTGGATGTCCAAGTTTATCCATCAAAAGAAATGGCCACGAAAGAGGAAACAGAACAGAACAGAACAGAACGATTAGTCACTGTAAAGATTGGCTGGGCGAAAAATAATGTTCTGAACGTCACACAGACTTGCTGTTAATCAGCCTATGGGTGGTTCAATCTTATCCTCATAACATTGGTGGATGCTAGGACAAGTTGATGTTTGATTCTGTCATCATTTCTCACAGCAAGAATTGAGATACATTGTAAGGCAGTGCTTAAATTCACTTGAAAGAAACTTAAATTGTCTGAAGAAATTCAAAAGTTAAGTTAAGTTTCTTAGTCTACAACATATTTTGTAACGTTCGAAACATTCCCTTACCCCTGAAAGCGATGGCGACGAACGATGGGAGGGGAAACAGTGTTTCAACAAAACCCTAGAGGGTTGTGTGTAGGGTAGGAAGGGCATGTTGTATTGTTGTAAGAAAGGAATTGATTGATTGGATTGTGTTGCTTTTTTTTTCCAAAGTGACCGTAATAAAAGAAAAAAAATCAAAATATTCTCCCAGATTATTGTCTTTTTTCCTCATGGAAACTGCTTCCAGGAATTGCCTCAGGCTAACTGTTTACTTTTACCAATCACCATGTCAGAGAAAGGGCATCACATCAATAATAAAAAAAGAAAAACGCATCACCTCCTCTGTCAAGTCTTTCAGAGCCTTTGCCCCCACAGTTGTTTTCTTGAGAGCAGCAATCTTGTCCATAGCTTGCTTCTTCTCAATCTCCTGAAGTTCTTGCTTTCTTCGGAGCACCTCTCGTTTCTGTCTCTCTTCATTGAGTCGCTTCTGTTCAGCTTCCAGATTCTCCTTCTGCTGTAACCTCAGCAACTTCTGTTCTTCTCGCTCCTAATACACACACCAAAAAAGACCACTCAAGTCAGCATACATTATACTCAGCATTGCACATGTTTGGATGTACTGCAGAGCAAACATTCAATGAGCAAAACAGTACACAGAGTAGCCTGCACCCTGGCCCTCATTGACACAAACGTTTCTCAGCCCACATTAAAGTATAAGGCCTTGAGCAATGCAAGTTAGCCAGTGCTAACAAGCATAATGTCACATTCCCATCCAAACTCTCCCCACCTGGTCTTGCTGTGCTAATAATGAGAGTCTGCACTATATAGAGAGTGAAAAAACCATGGACAATTGTTAACATGCCTTCAAGTCAATGCATTGTCTTTTACTTTTTTTTTTTGTACACAATTATCTGTTCATTTGTCTTGCAATCATCAAAAAAATATAACAAAGTTCTTGCCTGTTTCTTTTGATGACAGTTTAATCTGTTACATGTAGCTCTTGAACCTATTGCAAATGTTTACCTCAAATTTGTTACAAAAACCATTAACCATCTTATGGGAAACAGGAATGTTTCCTTTGAGAATTGAACATAAAGTGTATAACACTTGAATTTGCATCTAAGATGAATGTAATGAGGAAAGTCTCAAACAAACTCAGAAAACAAGAGAAAAAAAAAAAAAAAAAAAAAACAATGGACTTACTCTTTTAACATGGAGTGACTCCAGATATTCTTTGCGAGCCTCAATCACAGCCTTTCTTTCCAGCATCTGTTTGTGTTCTTTTTTAGATGAGCGTAAATACACCTGAATTATCTTCTGCTGCTCTTCTTGGCACTTTTGCTGAAAGTGAAAAGGAAAACAATCTTTGTTAACGAAAACCTCTAACCCTGTCACATCACCTCACAACATGCTGCATCATCATGCCACACCACATCAAATCTGCTAGTTTACCAATAGTTATCTCCCATCAAGTCACATCAATCATTTGAACCCTTGGGTGACTAAAATTTATTTTCTCCTAACAAAACATTCAGGGTCACAAGAATGAAGGAATTGATCCCCAACTAAAGAAACACCAGATTGTCAAACAAATTATTCTCCCTTTTAGTGTCTTAAGAAATTTATAGAGAGTAGTACGGAGGATATGCATACTAACGGCAGAGTACAAAATGGTTAAATCACAGCAAACACATAAACAGAGTCACTGTTCTTACCTATTGAAGATTGAATCCATATAAGAGTTATCCACAAGAGCAATTAGCATGAAATAGAGGACAAAAAATGCCATATTAGTGATCTACAAGATCAATCTTTCAAAATATGTTTCTTGCGTAATGCAGACTTGCTATTTATCAGCCTATGGGTGGTTCAATCTTATCCTCATTACAATGGTGGATGCTAGGACAAGTTGATGTATGATTCTGTCATCACTAAGAGCAAGTCTGGAGAAGAGGAGAAGAGGCTAAACATTTCCAATTCAACTTCCTCAGTGTTCTCCTTTTCAGGCAGTAGCTGGTAAAATCTACCACCAGTGGTACTTATCATAATTTTCTAAAATTGCTTGAAATTCTTGAAAATTCAGCCCATTTGAAGATTCATTTTACTGTCCTGTTTAAAACAAGGGAAACACTGCTTCCAAAAAGAGAGCAGTAAGTAATGTATGGTTGCTATATTTGCGTACAGTTAAGCCTCTTTAGACTGTACAAATAATGATAAACAAATATGTTAGATCCAAGTGTATTTTTCCTTTATTTTATACTTCCTTTCGTTCATTTGTTTAGTTTTTTTGCGTTAATTTAGGTGTTTATCTCTTTCTGTTAGTTTTCGTGCCTCTTTTCAGATTTTTCTAGCGTATTTGAATATCGTAGTTTGTCAGTACAGTTTGTGAGTTCAGTTTGGTCCGCGCTTAAACGTTTGTTTCTATGATATACAAATAAAACAATGTGTTACCTGTTTTGCAGTTTTTGTAACTTGGGATGGAACCTCCATTAGTCTTTTTTTTCGAAAAGATAAAGGCAACTTGTTTATTTTTCAAAATACTGACAGTATTGTGCAAAAGGAATTTTGTTGAATTTTGTTGAATTTTGTCAACAGATGTTTGCCTGACTTATGTACAAGAACATTTAAAATATTTTACCTTAATGATTTCAGGCTGAATTTTATTAATGGACTTGTGCAAAGCTGTTGACATCAGTGTCAATTGGTTTCTGAGTCTCTCAGATGGCATGGACTGTGAAAGCAAAAAGAAAAGTACAGTGTAGTTGACTAAGACAATAATAATGATAACACTAATAGTCATAATAATTGCACTTGAGTGTTGTAAAACCAAACCAAAAGTGAATCACAACAGCAACAAATAAAATGTTATCACAAAGAGCGAATGTTAAATAATGTGAAAATATGTTAACAGTGCATAGAACAGCTAAACATGGGTCACCAAGTCATGACAAGTTTTAGTTTTGAAACAATAGGTAACAGAAAAGTGAGAAAAGTTTTCTAGACCAATCAACACCATTGTGAAGTAAAACAGTACAAGGCTGGATTATTATTAACACTCAAGAGACAACTGCATTTAACCAAGAAAAATGCAGAAAATTATATACCTGGAGATATGGCCCTTCTGGCACCTCCTCTTTGTGAGCCACATGCAAGTCAAGTCCAAAGCTGACGGCTTTAGTTCTGTGATCAATACGCACCTGCAAACAAAACAAAGTGTTTGTGCAATGTTTTGTTTCATTTTGTTGCACTTTTGCTTAGAAACATTCAACAGATTTGGTTATTTCCAATGACTGCATCATGAGTAACAACAAGTCTACATGTTTGTCTGTATACAAAAAGACATTTCTCACCTCAAAAATTAATGTTTAAAGGATCCCTAATAAATCTCCAGACAACTCATCCCAAACATTTAAGTCAGGAAGAATCACCATTGATTAGTTAAGTACCCTGTATCTCCTCTGTGTGTTTTCCCCATAAATCAGTTCATTGATCAGAGTTTTGTATCAACAGAAATGTTTCACTAAAGCATACCTGAAGTTCATTCTGTAAAGCAACATCCACAATTGCTCTTTCCAACTGAAATTCTGTGGCAAATGGCACCAAGGATAACAGTCTTGAGAACTCAATGGTTTGGTACACCTGTGACACCTACAACAAAAGTACAAGTTCTACTGAGTGACTTGTTGTTCTTATTATAACATCTCTCAGTTCATACATGCACTACAATTGGTCAGTTTAGTGAGCCTTGTTTCACACTGCCTGCTAAATTCAAAAGTTTGTTTGGATTGAAATCTTCCTCCTCTATTTAAACCTAGAGATATAAAAAAATTTCTCTGAAATGTCATTATCTCACTCTGTGTTGTAAAATACAAAAAGACATCTTTTTTTTCCACTAAGATTTATGGCCCATGCACTTCAGGCTGGGGCTTAAAATCTGAGCAACAAAACTTGGACTGACCTTGAACTCTTTCTCACATTTGGAAAGCCTGATTGTTTGAATTTTTATGAGTTAGTACATGTATAAACACATTTACAGCTACAATACCTGTTTAAGCAGCCGCACAATGGCAACATACTGCAAGGGTTTAATGTACTGATTTAGTTCTAATTCTTCATTCTCCTGTAAGAATTCAAAGAATTCATTGACCCTGGAACAAAACTGAAGAGGAGAGAAGTCCTTCTCAAGGTTCTGGAACAGATCTTGCAACTGTGGCATTATGTGCTGGTGGACATTCAACTTCAACTAGAGTAATCAAGGAAAAAAAAATTAATGAATGTACCCTGAAACCCTGTACCTTCCAGAAGTGATTAACATGTTACTTCTGCTTATTATATCTTTACCTTATTCTGCAAATAGAGAATGAGAATACTCAAATTTATTGGGACAAAGTTTTTTCTTGATCTAACAGCAAATTCTCTTAACTAATTTTAGAGGAGATGTGTAGCAGTTAGAGGAGGAAATTAACTTGGGATTCAAAATTTAAGGCAAGATTGTTCATAAAATCCTATTTGTTGGGAAACACTCTCCCTCCTAATCAATGCTTGATGTAAAATAGAAAAATCTCTGGATGGATTTCCATGTTTGCAAACTTCAATCTATCTCCACACATTTTTGTTGAAGTCTTTGACACTTAGAATGTAACTTCAAGGGTCTTTCATGAATCCAGGACTGCATGAGAACCTTGTGGCATAATTTTAAAATGCCATTTTTAAAGTTGTTAAAATGTAATGATCCCTATGAACCTACCATGTCATTTATAAGTGTTGCTCTGGTGGGGATGGTCTGCAGCCCAAGAAGGCTGGCTAAACGACGAGACTTTTCCCGTGCAATCTCATCTAACTCCAGATGTCTTTCTGTTTCACTGAGGGACACAGGGATTGGAATGGCTAGGGTTGCTAGAACAACTCTAGTTGCCATTCTGACAAGGAAAAGGAAAAACACTATCAGTTTAGTTTCAATAAAACTCTTCTTAGTGTCTATAAAACTGTATATAGCACAATGAGGGGCACCAAAAATTTGATTTCATGTGATCTCAAGTACACTCAACCAGAATGAACATGGAGCACTGGTGTTTCCTTTCAGGCCAACATGTGCCAGTATTCCACAAATCTTGGAGCTAAATGTATATGCTGTTAGGCATTTAATGAGCTTTTTGCTTTTTCCCACCTTTTGCCATCCCTTTTTTCCCATTTTATGAGTATCATTTTACCAGTAAGAAGAGATGCTGAACTGAAATCTTGGTATTCACAGACAAACCAACTAGATATACATGCGATACTGAGAGAGGTAGCCCCCTAAATGAAAATGGGGAGGTTGAATTGTGCTAAAAATAAGCAACAAATGACTAGCACACCACCCTTACATGTTGAAAGGAAATAATATTACTTTAAGATCTGATTTCCAAAATCCTCTGATTCTTCAATGACCAAAACTTACTTTCCTATCCCAATCTGTAACACTGTAATTTTTCCCCTCAATGTTTAGCACTGAGACCTTCTCCCCAGCAGGTTGGAAAAGTGAGATTCTCTGTACAAACAAAAAAACATTCTAAAGATTTACTTACTTCTGCTGTTCCTCTGTTGTCATTGTACGTTTCTGTTCCTTTGACAACACATATAGCCGATGCAGAGTGCATGCATGAAATAAGTAATTCTCGGCTTTCCAGAAGACAAGAGCAACTTTCTGATAATAATTGGCCATCACTTGAGGCTTTGGAGGCCTCTTGGACAGCTGCATGAGTCCATAAACATCTTCAACTGCTTTGAATGCCTCCTGCAGGTTGAGAACAGAACCAGAGAGAGGAAAGTCTTAATTCCAAATTAACATAACTCAGTGGAGTTCATAATCTTTTCCTGAGGTTTATCAATAGATGAACATTTTTCAAAATAAAAATTTGCAAATGTTCTTAACACATTTTGACATTCACAATGACCTATTATTGAAAAGAAGCAATGACAGTAAAAATCTGTTTGTTGTAGAGACCAAAAGATGCTGATATCCTTTTGTAATGATCATTAAGAGCTAACAAACCTGCCAAAGCTCCATGTTGATGGCACTTTCTAATTGTGCCAGTCGCGTCTCTAGATGAAGTTGCAGAGTCTCAGGGTTGGTGAGGTTCACTGTGTTTGGTTGCCCTTGGTGCTTGATGGCATTATTCAAGTGATTCCTCAGCTGTGTACAAAGAAAGAAAAGAAAAATCCCTGCTTAGGAGTATAGTGTTATTTTTTGGTAAAAAGCTGTGTGAAATTTAACTAACACAATGGAAAAGATGTGTGTAATGACAAAGTCTCCATCCACTTTAGTTCACACCTTAATATAACTAATGATCTAATTTTTCATTAAAGTATGATACACATGACAAAGTTTAACTCCACATGATGTATGAACATTTAGTTGACTGTTGAAACATGCACAACAAACTTCTTATAATAGCAATGCAACTCTCTCATCCTTTGCCCTCTTTTCAAGCCACATTTATCAAACATCATCTTCATTTAAGTGCTTCTGTTTGACCTTGTACAACAAAGATATACACAGAGGAAAAACAAAATATAACTGCACCTACATTGTCACAAAGCTTCCGAAATTCTGTGCGCCGGGAGTACTTCAAGCAGAATTTAAATGCTAAAGGAAGATAAAATATGAGAGATAAAATTAAACATGAAATAATCATTTACAAGAAATAATGACCTCAAAACCAGGTACTGCTGCAATTCTTTAGCTCCTTCTCACCTTGTTGAGCAGTGTCATGATATAACTTCTCCACTCGTGCGTTATTTCGTAGCAATTCTAACACATTACGATAAGCCTCCCACAAAAATTTGACCCAGGGTGTCAACATAACTCTGTCTGTACGATCCTGGGTGTCTTCACCACTGACAAAACTTAGCAGTATGCTTAAAAACAAAGTGGACAACACGTGTTGAGTAAACTTAAATAATTCAAACACTCAGGGCTAGTAATTGGGTTATACATGTAGGTACAAATGACTTGCATTCACATCACAATATTGGTGAAAATGATGACCATAATTTTTACCATTTTGACCTCTTACATAGTAAATACACATGTTGTGGTTGAGTTCATATCCATGGTTAAAATGTGAATTCTTTATATTTCAAACAGGCAGAAAAACATCCAACAATGTATTCAACAAAGCAGGACATGATGGAGGTCAAGGATAAATCTAGACCATGACAAATTTAAGTAAATACATAAGCCATCTTCAATCCTTAGAAGTATATCTGGATAAACATGTAACACAGCACTTCCTGCAAGTCTTGTACTCAATCATCAAGAAATGCACATGTATGACTCGACAAATAGTCACTGGAAAATTCAGGTCCACTTGTTAAAAAGATCACTAATAAATGATATCTAATATCAAACCACATTAAGAGACAACCCTAATTAAAATACAACAATTTGGTTTTATAAACTGAGTTTGTAATTTAAAATGGCCACTGTAAGGAGTTTCTTAAGGTGCTATTTTGACCATTAGCCCTTTGTTAGAATGAAGAATAAATTGGATTCACTTTGACAAAGGTCGCACAAAAAGTGTCAGCTTTAGAATCCCTTTATGGTGGCAGATTCACACCAAGAACTCAACTGATACCACCACATTATCTCATAATATCTCCCACTAATGCAACACTACAGTTTCTTCAGAAACTTATTTTCCCAATAAAAACATCCTTACCAAGATGTCAAAGTCTAAGGCCAAAATAAGGTATGTAAATTTGCATCTTGAAGTTTGATACCTCTCTGGTGTCTGCAGCTGATCCAAATCATCCACTGTAGGAACCTGCTCACGAGACTCCTGTCTAGCAGTCTCGGCGCGGTCTTCAGCAAGCTTGAGAAAGTAGCGAATGACATCTTCAAGAGATGCAATATTAACTTGCTGGCAAATTAGTTTGTACTGGTACAGCCCTTCTTTAGCTACATGACTTCGCTTGAGATCGACACACAACTCCAAGTACTTGAAAAGAATAGGCTCGTGAATCTTGTTCTGCCACGTGCGATGCTTCTTGCTTTTAATGACATCATACAATGCATCCAAAGCTGGTTCTTTCTTTCCAACTTCAATAAACTCTGGATATGTGGGATTTTGAAAAAAAGCATTTAAGCATTGGTAGGATAATTAGGTAGGATAATTATAGAGATTTATGGACTATATGACTGTTTGAGGATTGTGTTGTATCTTGCAATCAAAATGTTGCATGCTGCAATTACGTATTTCATCAAAATTACTTTTTGGAATGACCACAGTACTCTTATGTTGTAATGATATGCACTGTTACCATATTAATGTCAAAGTCAGAATAAATGCATTTCTGAACATATTTTTCACCCTTTTCAAGCAGGCAATAAACACAGCTGGTCAAGAGCAAGTAATTGTACCCGAATAATTAAAAAAAAATCCTCTTTCTCAACCAATCAGCATTCAGCCCTGTACATGATAAGATGCCAAGAGCTTTTTCTCGTTCAGAAAATTCAATACTAAAAGTAAATGAACCACCTGCTTCCTACAAAACCTTTTGGAAAAGCAATTCCAAGGTTTACATAGGTTTAAATGTGATAAAAGGTTGGTAATCTTTGGTCAAAGCGCCGAGGGAGAGGTCACTCCAGACAGCCAAGTGAAATTTAGATTGTTATTATAAATTTAACACCTATGGCGATTTTCGTCTTATGGGTACGTAGAGGGCGGCTTTTTTCAATTATCTGTATGATATATATGAAGATAATAATAACAAACGTACGACCTTAGATATACTTTAAATAATACGTTTTAATACGGTTTTAGTGGTACCAGCAAAATCACGTGGTTAATATTACATTCACTGAAGTACACGTATAAATTCGATTTGAAAGCGAGAACTCTTAAAGGACGGCAAAGAAACACGTACGAATAAAAAAAAATGAGTCGTTAATAAATCAACCACGTGTATAATTCATAACGATTATGCCCATGGTTTCAGCGGTGATGTTATAAAATGAATCGAACAAAATTTACCAAACCTGTGAGCTGGTGAAATCGGCCGCACAAAGGATTATAATACTGTACAATATTTCCCTTTAGCTACTTTAAAAGCCTTTAAAACAGGTTTAAGATAAACTATGGAAACTGATGGTGAATGTACGATCGATATTTCTTACCGTTCGCTCTTTTAAGAGCATTTTCCGGTCGCTGAAAGTAGACCGGCATGATTAAAACACGTCGTCCTTTCCAACCTCCTACGCCAAGGATCGAAGAGAAGTGACCGAACTGCGTTGTGGTCTGGATTTTGCCTCGTTTTCAAAACACGTTCCCTACACGCGCGAACACGTGTGACGGAGGCGCGTGTTTCCACTAACGTGACCAAGGTGTTCACTCCAGGAGCACACAAAAAACAAAGAAAAGAATAAATGTTGCAAAGACGTAATCAAAGGACTGAGACAGAGGGAATTCGGGAAGCATTCGACCATTTCTCCACTCCAGATAAAATGCACTGAGTAAGCTTGATCACTGAAGATATTGTGAAATTCTCAAACTCGTTCACAAGGAAGGAAAGCAGAATTCCTTGGAAACAAAACTTGGTGTCTTGTGATGTTACGTAAAGGTAAACGATACAGGACACAAAACTCTCTGATCAACGACTGGTCGAGAAAAAAAAAACACTCGATTTCCGCCTATCCCGTCTCAAAAGAACACAGCAGTCAAACGTTAGGCATGCGCAAAGGCATCAGTTTTTGCCGCCCTCCCGCCAGTCTCCTGCGCAAACATTTATAGGAAAACACAAGAAACAACAGATTTCTCGCAAAAAAGCGCTAAAAATTATTGAAAAACTCAGAAGTTTGTGAAACGGCTCAAAAGTAAGGAAAAAGAAAACTCAAAAATGCTCGTACTCGCACGTTTAGGAGTAACGCTCGACAAGGGTAGTTGTTGTTAAGTGGGAAAAGACTATTTGGTGACAACGTATTCAGTTACCCGAATAAGTAAACGAAAGCCTCGCTAATTTGAAGCTTGAACATGCTAGCTTATTTGTTCGAGAACACTAAGCGAACAGTTTTGCGAGGACAAAGCTCTAAGAAAACTGTGGTCCTCAAGAAACGCATGATAATGTCGGTCCAGGGCAGAGGTCAGAGCTCATAATCCATCGAATATTTTCACTCGTGTGCGATTGGTTGCAACATGGCAGGTGGCCGAAACGCTCAAGCGAGCGACAGTCACCAGTTTTTCAAAATGGATTAACACCTCGTTGCAACAACCATTTCGACGCTACTCTGTTTGCAACCGTCTCCTTACGCGCGCAACCAAAGACACTTTAAGGATTCCAAAGGTTTTATTTGGCTTGAAAACAGATGAAGTCGAATTTTTAACCCTGCATACTTAGAGCTTTGTTTTTATCCAGGATGGTGTCCATCCGCCGGTGAAAGAAAAGAGCTAAGGAAGTATCACCCTTGTTTGGTGGGAAAGGCGAAAGTACCAGGCTGATGAAGCCATATATATGGCGATTAGGACTGAAATAAACATTTCCCCTCGCTCAAACCGCGCTTCGATTTAACTTTATTGAGATATTCAGACCGAGATGTTACAAAGATATGCAATTTTCAGAGCTTTATTCACAACCCTCATAGATTTTGTTCGTCTCATGTCAACGATTATTAACCACGAACACATAGTTTAGTGTGGTCTGCTTGTGATTCTATTTCAGAAGTTCTGAGTTGATCAACATCTATCCGGAAATTTGAGTTTATTAACCTAGTTAGGATAATGTTCAAGTTTTCTTCCAGTTTCCTCACAACTACAGAAGGGAAAATTACAACACATTTGCAATAAGGGATGAAAGGAATTCTTGGGTCCAAGCTGGCTGGGGACATTTGCAATGCTTTGCTTATGTGCTTGGAGAGCAGGGTAAATATCTCTCACTATTCGTTGGTAGTCTGGTCTATCTGAAGCAATGGGGAAACTCTCTGAAGGATCATTGCTCACATCAAAAAGAAGTGGAGGTTCTTGAATTTTCACGTGCTCTTTAAAGCACCCACAAGCTATTCTTTTTCCAATACACGATTCTGTTCCTTCAGTCCATTTTGGCGTCGCAAAATGAGCTTTCCAGACAGTGTCACTGTCCTTAGGATGATAACGAACAGCATGGATCTGATTTCCACAATAGTGGAAGATAAATTCGTGGGAAGATTCCTGTGTCTGGTTCGTCAATAGTGGTAAGAGTTCTTTTCCGTCAATAACTCTGTCCTGTGGAAGATCTGCGCCAGTTAGTTTGGCAACTGTAGGTAATAAGTCCATAGAACTGGTGGGCTGATCAATTGAGATCCCAGCTGGAATGTGACCTAGCCATGATACTACTGTAGGCATCCTCACACCACCATCCCAACACTGTCCTTTCCCTATAAAAGACAACAAAAAATGAAGATTTAACTTTTTATGGTAACGAGTTCTCGCTGGAACGTAGTGTTTAAACTTCCATATCCAAACCTGAAACTTGGAAGTGTCAGTCTAATGGAATATTTGGGCGAGTTTCCAAATGCTAGAAACCGCGATAAACTGGAATCAGAAATAAGAGGTAAGAGAAAACAGAGAATAAAAAAAGGTAAACCAACGTCACGATCACAATTTCCTTGTTATATTTTGATGAATTATTGAATGCAATCTGTATCACGGAGTTAGTTTATCGTTCGGTAAGACGTCAAATGAACCATGTTTTTTGTTCCGTTACACTTATTGGTATCCTTAAATTTCACTCACGTTTGGTCTTGATTAAAATAGGCTTTGTTAAATGATTGAAAATGACCGTATATGGCCACTTTGGAACAACGGCGGAAACAGCTTTAAAATACACACGGGATTTTTCAAAATTTCCGTTTATCATATGAGCAGCAAATTTAAACCATCGGCAAAACTGACGGAAAGACAGTTTTGCCGAAAGATTTCAAGTTATACGTTTCTTGACAAGGGTTAGCAGTTATTGTGAAGAATGAAGAATGAAGAATAAAGCACTCAACGTCTATATGAAAACATCAAGAAATTTAGGTAGCAGCTTTTGAAATTTTGTTCGCAACTTTTTGGATTTTTGGCATTTTTTTAGCATTTGTCTTTCTAGTGAGCAACTTTCCAGCATATAAAAAATTTCCATTCAAGTTTTGCAATTCTCATCAACAAGAAAATGGAAGAGGTAGATGAGCGAGCGGTAACAGTAAGAATATGTCTTGAAAAAATCGAAGAAGAGTTTTTCTCTCGCCTAGTGTGTGCGCTTTTGGCTAATATCTTCTGATTTTTCAGTCTTACCTCCTTTGAAAATCCCGTTCCAGCCACCATGGTATTCACCTGTGTTACTAACTTCTTCTAAGTGAGGTCCATTATCAGATGTGAAATACACAAATGTGTTTTCTCTCAAACCAAGTTTCTCCACTGCGGCCATAATCTGGCCCACGCTCCAATCCATTTCCTCTACATTGTCACCATAGCGACCATGAACACTGTGATTGACAAATGCTGGTGTATTAAACAGGGCTGTATGTACCTTCGCAAATGACATGTACAAGAGAAAGGGCCTGTCTCGGTTTGCACGGATAAAGTTAACAGCTTCATCTGTGAACCGTGCAGTCAGACTCTCCAAAATGACAGGTTGTTCCACAGTCTCGTAATTTTTCATTACAAAGCAGTTGAATCGAGCTATCATCATGTCGTACCTTAAAATAGTAATGCTAAGTAACAAGATTGTTGTTAACAAAAGCGCACAGGTGCTCTTGTTCAACCAGGCAGCAAAGTAGCCAATGAACGATGTTATTGCAACCACTGAAGCCGCTATGAGAATTTTTGCTGGTGTGAGTCCTCGAGATGTAAGCGATTTGGGGTGCTTACCGCCGAAGAGACAAGAGTTATGGTTGGTTAATGGCAGACCATAAAAATAATGAAAACCTTGTTTCAGAGGGTGGAAATGAAAGTCTGAGTTTGAAGAGGAATGAAGACCAAGATGCCACTTCCCTATGACCCCTATGATAAGAAAAAAAAAGACGAATAGTGAGTTATAGATGTGGGCAGGAGGCAATGAGGGGAGGAGGATGTCAGGAAAGATCACTTGGTTTTCAGGGGAAACATAAGGGAATCAGTCGTCACTAACGAAGTATAGAAAGTCCGGGATAGTTATCAATTTTGTTGACGCAGAAAGTCCTCAGTTTCACCTTCAAGATAGTTAGGCAACAATTTTGTGGCGTCCGACGACCGAGGCACACTGATGACTGCCAATGAGGGGGGGACAATGAAATTGACTGTCATTTGACTGCCAATGACAGAGCCTTATAAAAGAATCAGGTCGATTTTAGCGTGACACAAAACAGCCAGTGAATGTAGGGGGAGTAAGTAAGAGTATAACAGGGTAATTTGGTATTATCAATTGAGTCGATAACGGAAATTGGCCACCGTACAAGGTTTACAAGCTGACGTTTCGAGCGTTAGCCCTTCGTCAGAGCGATTGGAGGAATTGAGGGTTATGTTGGTAGTTATATGCCGTAAATGGAGCTACGTTATTTGTGGGAATATGCAGAAAATGGATCTACGCTATTTGTGAGAATATGCAGAAAATGGAGCTACACCATTGGTAATTGAATGTATTTCCTCAAGCGTAATTCTAAGAATTCAACCTCATCGCCCGACGAGGACTGGAGTGGTAACCTTGTGTTGAGTTCTCGAAATATTATTCTCGTTCCCAGATTCGATGTCTCTAATCGACTTTGGCGAGACAAAATTTAGGCTAACTTAGGAACCGGTCATTATACATATCATCCGCAGAGGGGGGGGGGGGGGGGGCAGACGACTTAACTTGTATCACAACCAAATTTACCTGCTCTGTACTCTGTAGTATTCTAACAATATTTCTCAATTTTCAATAGTCCCCCCCCCCCACTTAATACCCCTTTATAAGGACGACTGATCCCCTCTCCGGTCCCCTTGACAATCGTGTGATTCCCTAGACATCTGCCGAACCCCACGCGATAACTAAGGACTAGTAACTTGGAGCCACAAGTTCTTTAAAGGAGAAAGGTTCCGATCCAGTTCTAAAAAACTGAAACAATAAGGTGAGAAGGAGTCATACGATGTGTGAAAACGTATCCATTAGACCCGGACGATAAGCAGTAATTTGAATTAATTCACAATCAATAAATGTGAGTAATTAGCATTGCTTTGTGATGCGTTCAGCTGCGTGCGGCGGTGTTTCGTCAATTTTTCATCAGATGATGCTATGTCAGTGATATATTTTTTCGCAGTGTTATGGTATTCTAAACTGCTTAATGTGCCCCAATGTGTTTATCTTCACAGTTCCAAATTCTGGCATGGTCCATTTTAAAACGCGATCAAATTACATGGAGGTCTCGCAAGCGAGACTCAGAGAAACTACTGCGATATCATCGGTTGTCGAAGTGGTTTAATAAAAGTGGCTGCTCATTTCTTTAAAATGAGGTTGTTTTCCGCTTAAAAGGTAGTTCAGTCTTTCATAAAGCTGTATAGTTTTGAATACTTACTAACCTGTTCTGTAGCCAGCAGCAGATGCGATCTCAGCGAATGTTGTTTCATTTTGAGGCAGACCGCCGGAAGCCGAAGTGAAAACTAAAACCCTTAATTGGCCTCTGCTTGCAGCCAGTCCAGATCGTATGGGATATCTTCCTGTAAGAAATGCGGCCCTGTTTGGCGTGCAGATTGAATCTGGCGTCACATCATGTCGCAAGCGAGCTCCTTGTTCAGCCAACCGATCAATGTTTGGAGTTTTAATCGTGTCATTACCAAAACAACCCACATCTCCGATTCCCATGTCATCCACAAGAAATATAAGAACGTTTGGCTTGGCCGATGCTTTTTTCATCACGAGAACGAGAACAATAAAGCTAAGGCAGTTCTGCAGCATAATTATCGATGATTTTAAACTAGCAACTATGGTTGCCTAAACCAATGTAGATTTAACATATTGAACTGAAAGACCGAATGACTCAGTCACGCTATTATTGTCACGTGATTTCTATTATTGTTACCATGACTAGCTTTGCTCAAGAAACAAGACGATCTAAGATCGTAAGTCGGGCTACAGTAGAGGCGCTGTTACAAGTGTTGACCACTCACGGTATGCAGTAGTTCTAAAAGAAATACAAATGTACCATGGTCTTGGTTTGTGTGCGTGGCGTAAGATTTTTTCACCCCTGAGAGGCACCAATTCTACAACAACACACTGTCACATATGTTTGGTGCAATACCCTGACAGGTATCACGGTGGCAGCTGCTGTGGACCTTTTGAGGCTGAACAGCCCAAGAGGCACTAAACCCGCCCTTTTTAACCTCTAAAAGCTATGATGAGCACCTTTTCGCTTGGTTCTGCCTCTCTTGGGTAGTCAGTCCTATTTGGGCTGTTGTTATCTGAAGGCAGAACCTTCCCTTTTTTTCACCTGGTTCTGCCTCTCTTGGGTAGTCAGTCCTATTTGGGCTGTTGTTATCTGAAGGCAGAACCTTTCTTTTTTTTTTTTTTTTTTTTAGCAAGTGAAAGAGAGGTTTTGGCTTCTGGTTCTGTCTGTCTTGGGAAGTTTGTTCATTTTAGATTCGTTTTTATTTTAGAACAAACTAGTTTTTAGCATGAATCTCAGCAAGATCAAATTCACTCGTTTGGACTGTACATATCTTTTCCTTTGCAGATTTAATTCAACGTTAACCATGAAAAGTCGTGACGAAAAGGCCATGTTTTTTTAAATTAAAAAATTAGTTCTCCTTTTGCGATGACCAACCAATTCGAACTGAATCAACACCATTTAGTAAGGGCATGTTCTGTTGACTAACTTTCTTGTATTTTATTCTGTCGATGTTGTTTTTGTCTTGGTGGTGTCTGCCCCTAATTCTCGTGGATGTTTCATTTAAAATCAATAAGTGATTTAAGAATGAAATTACCAACGAGTAAAATACCTCTTCTTGTAACGTATTCCATTGCATTTACATTTCAAACTCCAGTCTCCACTGTGATAACTTCCCTTGCTTGAATATTGACTTGAGATACGAGATGTAATATCGGTCATAGACTGTAAAAGAGGTTTGTGAGTAAAGAACTTTTTCGACTTCTCTATTTTCTCGCAGCCTAATACATGTAGTTAGTAGTGTTCGCAGCGGCGCGTCAGGAAACCTCGGCAGGAAAAAAACTTCTAAGATTTTACTCTTTTAATGATCGCTTTAAAGTACATTACTTACTTAGCATTTAGCCAATTATGTGCCGCTAAATTCCGTAATATATTTCTTTACAGGCCAATATAGTCGGGGAAAAAAAACGAGTTCTGTTGCGCTGTGAGATGCATGAATGTTCTCATCGCGGTTAGAGCTTGCTGATGTTTGCGCTGCTATCTTCCGGAGTGGACATACCATTACTACATTTTTGTTAGCGTTTAAAAATCGAAAAATACATGGTTTTGGTGGAAAACTCATCCGTTTTAACTCTGAGCCACTGTCGAGTTGTGTGTCTCAATAGAATGGGTCAGCAAATTTGCATTGTATGTTTCGCTGGGGGCTAGGGAAAATAGCAGGTAATTTAGTGTTAACAACTGAGTTGAAAACGTAAATTGGCCACCGTAAAGGGTAAAAAAGCTGACGTTTCGAGCGTTAGCCCTTCGTCAGAGCGAAGGGAAAATAGTTGACTCCACGCGAGTGAAGCCGACGCTTAAGGTCGGTGTCGATCCTTTATTATTCTTTGAAAAAAATTTCGATCATTGAGTCAAATTGTAGCATTTCTTTGGCTTACATTGTGCACTTTAAAGTAAACACGAGTTGTTAGTTCCACGCGAGGGTTTAACCTTGAAAAATGCAATCACGCGAGTGAAGCTGACATTAACGCGTGTCCCTATCTGGAAAACATTCATATTATGACAAGAAAGGTCTGCTGAATTCGCCATGCCATATTTGGACGCCGAAAAGTGCCAAAAAAGTAATTACCGAAAATTCATCCGCAATACCTTCATCGATGTAGAGGTGCGGTGGCCACATGGTTAATTAGTGCGCTCGACTCCGGATCGGGTGGTCCGGGTTCAAGCCCTGGCCGGGGTCATTGTGTCGTGTTCTTAGGAAAGACACTTTACTCTCACAGCGCTTCTCTTCACCCAGGTGTACAAATGGGTACCAGCAAATGTGCTGGGGGTAACCCTGCGATGGACTAGCATCCCATCCAGGGGGGAGTAGCAATACTCCTAGCAGCTTCATGCTAAGAAAACCGGAGTTAAGCACCGGCCTCATGGGCCACTTGGGCCTGTATAAAGGCTTTACTTACTACCTTCATCGAACTATGGGCGCGAAGTCAGTTCTTCTCTTACAGTTAATGATTGCCAGGCGGATCTCAAATCTGCCTCAGCCTAATTTGCATAAATGTTTTCGGTGCGCAAAGCTCGTCATGAAAGTAAGGCCTCGAGATTGGAGCGAAGGCTACGCCATGACTAGTGAGGTCCCAGTTCTCGACTTTGACGAAAAAAGTCGGAAAGACAGTTCAGCTCCTTTTGTTTATGGTAAAAGCTCTTTCACACTAAATTTCAGAGATGAAAGAGCACATACACAAAGACAAAAATCTGATAATAATACGATATAACAGTTTCGTCTAAATACAAATGATTTTGCGAATGTCGTGCTTTCGTAGACTTAAAACCCACTACACTCATTTGAAAAGTTGGAAATGAAGTAGGCGATTCAAGCTTGATCGACGCTCTTGTTTACGAATACAAATCGCAGGAATACGGAAAGGGCAAACAACACTTTCATTGTCTGCAAGTGAAACATGAGTGGCCGATAGACCAGGGTACTTAAGAAAACGTTTAAAACTGTTAAAATCTTTTTTTCTTGAAACCTATAGAGCCGGTTTTCAAACAAAGTTGAACCGTTCTTTGACAAAACCGCGAACCTTTTATCTGAATATTTATTTTTGCATACAGTGTCAAGAGAGCCGAAAGTTAAAAGTGTAAAGACATTTATTTGATTGAATAAACCCTCTTATTGAGAAAGCCTGAGACCCACTGGTTGCGTAAAACCGTGGTTTGGGATAGAACTCGCACAAATAACCGGCCCATAAATGATGTTTCTGCTAAACATGAACCATTGTAGAAAAAGAAAAATTGAATCACGATCAGCTTTTTTTTTTTTCTCACATGAGCTTGTCCATTCAATGTAAACTATGCGTTGCGTGCCCTCGTGCCGAACCCGATCTCCAACGTCCGTAGTGGAGGAACCTGGGTACAAGAATTTGTGGTTTGTTCCAGCCGCTTTGATTCTCGCACACTATTAACGCAGTTTTCAATTGAGCGAAGACAAACCCAAACCAAAGTAATCCCAGTGACCAATCAGAACAAAGGTTTACATTACCTTTAACCAACGAGAATTCAAAGTGAAAATAATGAAACTGCCGAAAGCGCGCGAAAACACGAATAACTAAGCCGCGATTTACATCTGATTGCTATTGGTTGAGAGGTTGACGTATGTTTTCTGGACCAATCACAGAGCGAAGTTAACTAAACCCAAACCAATCTCGGATGACTTTCGACATTCAATTGAAAATTGCCCTAACGCAAGAAAAAAACAACAAACGTTTTTGTCTCTAAACATTGCATGACTGAAAGGTCTTGGAGGGAATGATGAGTGGTTATCTTGTTGATGCAAATTATTCTAAAAGCATTGTCCCGTGTTTTCCCGATTGTGCAACCCCGGGAAACATGCAGACCGTCATCATTGAATACTAATACCATCAAATCAATCATTCAGTACCTGTTCAGTAACATTACGTGTTATATAGCTTAGTATAGCTTCTGATACCTCATCCCTTGCAAATGTTCTCTTGTCTAACATTTTGGACCGTGGTCGAAATCAACTTTTCTTTTTTCTTCATCATGCTCAAACTGTCTTGTCACCTACTTCAAACATCCTTAGGATAATGTTTAATTTTTTTATCAGTTTCTTCACAGGTGCAGTAAGGAAAATTACAGCACATCTGCAATGAAGGATGAACACGATTCTTCGACCAAACCAGCTGCTCTGGGACCCTGTCAATGTTGTCGTTATGCTGTTTAACTGCAGGGTGAATGTATTTCATGGCTTCTATATACTCTGGATTATTGGGAGCAATGGGGGAGCTTTCTGATGGATCGTCTGTTATGTCAAAAAGCAGAGGAGGATCATGGACATTTACTAGATTTCCATGACACCAGCAGATACCCCTTCCGCGGCAGCTTTCAGTTCCCTCGCTCCATTTAGCCGTCATAAAGTGTGCCTTCCATACAGTGCCACTGTCCTTTGGATGATAACGAACAGCATGGACCAGATTTCCACAATAATGGAAAACAAACTCGTGAGAGGATTTTTGTGTCTGGTTGGTCAATAGTGGTAAGAGATCTTTTCCATCAATAATTCTGTCCTGTGGAAGATCTGCGCCAGTTAGTTTGGCAACTGTAGGTAATAAGTCCATAGAACTGGTGAGCTGATCAATTGAGATCCCAGCTGGAATGTGACCTGGCCATGATGCTATTGTAGGCATCCTGACACCACCATCCCAACACTGTCCTTTCCCTAAGGAAAACAAAAAAAAACATTATCCAACTTTAATCATCCTGTGTTCAGTTTGAATGATACAACTGGCGTTGACATACGCAATCTTACTAAAAAATGCAAACGAAGGTTACTTCACAATTGTTTCCTCTCCTTTTTAACGCTTTTTTCCCCAAACCTAACCATTCTCCCTTTCCCCCATCCCCCCTCCCCTCCAGCATGCCTGGGGAGAAAATGTCATCCATTCATCTTTAAAAAACAAACATAACTTGTTTTCGTGTACCCCCCCTCCCTTACTTGTACTAATGTAACACGTGACCTATATGAAGATAAAGTGATCTCGTATAATCCTGTCCTAGTTTCAAGAAATTAATGACAAGAGTTCCTGTGTTTCTCCTACCTCCCTTGTAGATTCCGCTCCATCCACCATGGTATTCACCAGTATCACTAACTTCTTCAATGTACGGACCATTGTCTGATGTGAAATACACAAACGTGTTCTTTCTCAGTCCCAGTTCCTCCACAGCAGCCATGATCTGACCCACGCTCCAATCCATTTCCTCTACATTGTCACCATAACGACCATGAACACTATGATTGACAAACGGCTTGGTAGTAAACAAAGCGGTGTGAACTTTGGCAAACGACATGTACAGGAGAAAAGGACTGTCTTTGTTTCTGTGGATAAAACCTACTGCTTCATCTGTAAACCTTGCTGTCAAGTTTTCTAAAAGGACAGGTTGCTCTACAAGTTCATAGTCTTTCAAAACAATGCACGTTAATCTGGAGAGTATTAAAAGCCAACCGGCCTGTGCAGAGGAGATCAAAATAACGAGGGTAAGCAAGGACAGGAAGGTAATCTGGTTAAGCACACCAGCCAGGTACAGGATGTACAATGTTACTCCAATGACTACCCCAGAAGCAAGAACATTGAACGGTTTCAGGGCTGGGTAAACAATGTTTATGAGATATTGGCCGGGTTCACAGGTTCGTAAGTTAGTGAGAGGCAGCCCATAGAAATAATCAAAACCTTGCTTCAAAGGGTGGAAGTGGAAATCGGATCCTGACGACTTGTGGAGTCCTAAATGCCACTTTCCCACAATACCTGTCGAACAGAAAAAAATAAGAGTAAATTTATATTAACTGCTGAGCTTTTAAAAATATTGACGACAAAATAGAATGATTGTGGCAAATTTCTTGGAGGAAAAGACGTCAAAAAAATGCCAGATCCTACGGCCAAATCTTTTAAAATTGTCCAACTCCGTTTTTGTTTATTTTAATTTTGTAACGAATGAAGTCGTTCAAGACTGAATCAAATTAATCGATTTAGAAAGCCGTGCCGAAATCAAGTTGATTGTCATTTTATTTCGAAGCGAGAGCATGACTTTCTTGTCTTAGTTTTCATCGGCGCTGATCAAAAATTTCAAACATAAAAAAGTGCATACCTGAGCTATTCTCAATTTTATTTCATATCTGACTTCAATTCGCGGAAAAGTTTTCAATCACGGTGAAAACGACAATAACAAAAGATCACACTGAATAATACATGAGGTAAGCGTCGTGATAATTCATTTTGATAAACTTCAACATGAAGCAAGTTTAATTTATTGATGAAATGATTCATGATAAAATTAAAAGCGTCCCATTCTTAGAGTTTTCATACAGGATTAAAGAAATGTATCAAAGTACAGCCCTTTCGCTGTTTTAAGCCTTGCTCAATAACAAGTGTGCTGAGCCCTAAAATCTTGGATCCGGCGTTTGCCAACGATTGTGTTTCCTTTCGAGAATTTAGCATAAATGAAGCGGTAAATTTTCCCAAAATACACCGAATAAACCAAAGGAAGGAACCAGGTTATCCTGGAAATGAGTTCTGAGATAATTCCAAACAGCATTATCTCGTTTATAGGCGCAAAATTTACGCAAATCCCAGGCATTTTGATCGCGACGGGAAAACCTGTCTAATGACGTCCTGAACTTGTTGCGGAGAACGGCAACGCCAACACCGGAAGTCGAAATAGAGTCGTGTCCAGACTATCCGCGCGCTTTCCCGTTCTGAAATGACGTTCCCGTCCTCTTACTAAATCAGTCTATTATTTAGTACTGCTGAAACAGTCAAACATGCAACCATGTTACGCATTTGTTGACATCAAATCCGCACGACGAAAACTGCAAACGACAATTACTATGGGCTTACTAATAAAAGTAATAAACAGAAAAAGGTGCGGAGGGCCTTGTCAGGAAAGGTACCTTTAACTAGCATCGTCTTGGGAAGTAGTCGTCTCCTACTCAGCCGTTGTTTAGTCTCGTCACGCAACGCGCTCTCTGACCCTATCTTCCGGAGAATGCGAGTTGCGTGACGACACCAAACGATGGTAGCGACGAGACTAAATAAGTAGCAGATAGGATTTCAACGGACGCTTCACGCAATAGCATGTTTCATTAGTCGATCAAAAGAAGAGAAAACAGACTTCTTCAGAGAGGTTTTCGGTTTATGTGGCTTTGCAAGATGTTGGCACCATGTTGGCGTAGTCGAGTAGTCCAACCACAGAAAGACATAAGCACTCAACAATTTTACCAACATAGAATTGTAAGAATGGAAAAGAAAAATCGTTTCGTGCCGCAAGGAAAACTAAACACCACGTAAAATACAAGTTCAAATTTCTATTTAGAACACAATATACCGTGATGAGGTTATGACTAAACTGAATTCAAACATTCAACCGAACGTTTCCATGAAAAAAATTCTGAAATCTCTAAAAGCACCCAAGTTATTTAGAAAAACGTATTTTCAAATAGAAGTTAGTAAACCTGAAAGGTGTCACAATCTCGGACCTGGGCGAATCCCCTGGGGGAATTTTCACGGCAACCACTCATGTTGGCGCTCGATTAGGCATGATTTTCATGTTTAATTTATATCACACAGTTTACAAAATTCACACATGAAAGTTCTATGTTTTTGAAAAAAATCTTTGATCGTGGAAAAACTAAAGCGGAAGAAAGTCCTTGGTAAGAAAAAAAAAAAAAAAAAAAAAAAAAAAAAAAAAACAGACCCAAAGAAAGAAAGAGTACCATTCTGTCAGGAAAAGAAAAAAAATTCCTTCGTGAAAGCGGCTGGTACTGGCAGAGCTCCACGCTGGCGTCCAGATTTCGAAAAAAAGAAGTCATCCTCAAACCAAAATTTGCCAAATAAGATGTACAAAACGAGGTTTCCTTTTGATACAAAAACATAAACAATCGCCTCGAATCGTAATCTTAGAAGCTGTATGTCAATTCGTTGTCTTGCTCCTCAGCACATTTTTCGGTTTTTCCATTTTTGCCCCGGGTTTTTCCTTTGCCTTTGGCAAATTTGCTCATTATTGTGTCGTCCTCCTCCACGCTCCGCTGTGCGATCGAGATAAAAAAAAATTAAGGTATCCGCAATTGGTTACTTTTCCCGGGAAATCTTGATGATCGGTATCAATTATTGCGTGACTAGCTTATGATAAAAAAGAGGGAGGGGAAAACAGAACGCAAAACCTGGGCTCCTGTCAAAAAGTAATACCCAGACGTAATATAATAATCGAAACGGCTAATAAAATCATAAATAAACAAGGTAAGATTGTTATGTTTGATTTTTTGCAAATTGTAGTGATTTATGCCAGTTAACGGTGGCAACAACTAGGCGCACCATGTATATTCCATAGTCGCTATCAAGTAAATTTTGCCGAACTTTGAGTTCGTCTCAAGATAGAACAACACAAATACACAAGGAAATTTTTACAGTAACTTTATAACCATTCTTTGGTCTTTTAAAATCTTGAAGCTCAGTAGATTCTGTCATATCGGTCATTGTTAAAACTGTCTTTGTTTTGATGCTACTTTTCGACATAGGAAAAGTATGTCGGACAAAAATATTCACCAAAAAATAAATATTTCTTTGCCAGCTTCAATAACGACAGGGAATTAAGTTTAGATGATAAAACAAAGGATTATGTTCACAGAAATACCGTAGGTCAAGTACATTCGTTTCATGAGGTCACACAACTCGGGTAATATTCACGGAGAAAATTTGCATATTTGAGCGGTCGAACGAAAAAAATTATTTCTCGAAAACTAAAATAAATTTTTACAAAAAAACTACACCACAATTATTAGAACATATTGGGCTATAAAATATGAAAGTAGGAGTGAAAACAAATTTGGGTGACTTGCCGCTGTTTGTTTGATGCATGCTGACATTAGCTCTTAAATTATATTCACAACGCTTTCTTCTGACATGTAATTTGCTAAGATTTTAGAAAAACTAGTGCGCGTACGAATTTTTTCTCGAAGGACACCCGTGACAGTAAAAATTCATGGAAGAAAAAAAATAGTTTAACCTAATCACATGACACAAGACCACACCAACCTGTTATGTAACCGGCGGCAGACGCTATCTCAGCAAGTGTAGTCTCATTTTGGGGCAGACCGCCAGATGCTGCCGTGTGAAGGAACACTCGGTCTTGTCCCTCATCTGAAGCCAGTCCTGATCGAATGGGATACCTTCCTGTTAGCAGTGCAGCCCTGTTTGGTGTGCAGATTGCATCTGGCGTGACATCATGTCGCAGGCGAGCTCCTTGTTCAGCCAACCGATCGATGTTCGGAGATTTAATCGTGTCATTGCCAAAAAAGCCGAGATCTGAGATACCGAGATCATCCACAACAAATATAACAATGTTTGGCTTTGCAAAAGCGACACTTATCATTATTATTAGTGGGACTATAGTTGTAAACCATTTCGGCCACATCTTGACTCGGCAGAACCGTCAGAGGGTGTTCGGTCACAAGTTGCCGTTGGGCTCGATGTGCTTAACGCATGCGTTACACGCCACCTATCAACCATGCCTATCGGCGGGATCACAGTGATCACTCAATTCCCGTAGGGCTTGAAAAGTCTTACCTCAACCAACTGCTAACATATGTCTACACCAGTACTTTAACAAATTTCCTGTCTATTCTTACTGAAGCTGGCGTCATCTATTTCACACAATAATTTTAACAACTTTGTACATCTATTACTGCAGCAATAGTTTGCGCGCGAATTGTTACTGGGATACCTGTGGTAGCCCAGTCATAAAATGCCTTTGTTTTTTTGTCGTCTTTTTTTTTTTTTTTTTTTTTTTTTTTCCTCCGCCACAAAATGGAAAAATTGCGCAATAGTACCCAGAGGTCATTGGGCCCTCAACACCATGACAACTAACTGTGATCCAAAGAGGTGTTCACATACTGATCACGCGTGTTATCCCTCGACAACATGACAACTAACTGTGATCCAATGAGGTGTTCACATGATGATCACGCGTGTTATCTTGATGATGATTGACGTTGTCATGCACAGACAGGGCCGGGTCACATGACGAACACGAGATTTTGCTTATAAAACTCTTTGGTCAGTAGTTTTGTACTTCAACGTATGTTTGTACTTTAACGTACGTTTGGATTGCGATCTCCTGGAGCACTATAGCGCAAACGCGCAAAATACTTACAGACGCATATACAAGTCGTATTAATCGCGGCTAATCCACACTGAAAGATGTAATTGAGCGGTAATTTTGGAACGGATTGAGTCGCGAACGCTTGAAAGCCATGAAAGCCTTGAATGCCTTGTATGCTAAGTATGCCGATGTCTTAGTTGAAAAACGTTCACTTGTTGTAAAAAGCAAAATCTGAAATCTGAAACCAAACTGCATATACTCTATGCAATCTATTGAACAACGCTACTACCGTGAGACTGAAGAACATAACTATATGGGATGCAAACTGCTTGTGAAACAAGCGACTAAATACAGGAATGGCTCCGACCTGTGATTGGATGATAAAAATAGTAAAAGTTAATAAGTTATATCTTAACTCCTTGCTCGTGAGTATTGTTAACCGCGTGTCTCAAAGCAGAACAATGAAATATCAATGCGAGTGAAGACACCGATGTGTCAAACAAGAAATGATCACTTACGTAGCGAAGGGAAGGCAGCCTTTCTTGTTCAGCGAGGTCGTTCAGCGACATTCCGGCGATGAAAAAGTCATCTGCTGACTAAACTCATTTAGTCAGTTCAGGCGGAAAACCAGAGACTGGAGCCATTCTAGCATTTCACCGCTGACAGGAATAGCTCCGACTAAAACGTTTATTAATTTTTTTTTTCAATCATTTTTTAAATAATTTTTCGAACAATTTTTAAAAAAATTTTGAAAAAATTTAAACTAAACCAGTGAGCAGCGCTGTGCGAACAGTAGTTGTAAAACTTCTTTATTCTCTGACGCGTTTCGTCTAACTGTCGTAAACTTCTTCAGGGAGTTTTACAAGTCAACACTAAACGCCTATATTTATAAGCCATTGTTAGCGGCCATTGCGGGGGCCAATGACCATAAGGGCTTGGCTGGACCAACGAGGTACTTCGAAATAATTCAGTGCGAGAGCTACTGGAACTGGTTTGACTGGTAAGACGATTTTTTGGTTTGGTTTGTTTTTTTCCTTTTTTGGGTCTAGTGGAGTTGTTAGAAATTACTAAGCAAAATTAATCCGCGACTTTCTTCCTTTAGATGTTGTGCAAATAAAGACGAAGAGCCCGATGAATGGATTTGTCTTTCATGTGAATAATAACCTAGAAAATTAGTTTTCCACGAAAAAAACTCCCTCGATTGCGGCCAAGCCATATTTCTCTAACAGAGCATATTGTAAATTAAAAACATCGGTTGCAGCGTCACGCAACATTGCGTGATTTTCCAAACGTGACATGCAGTTCTGCATTATTTTAAAACTTAGAAACTACATGGCCCTGTAGTAATAAAAGAGGGCTTCATTTGCAAGCACTGTAGACTTTAACATAAGAAGAACCTAATAAATCGCTCTTTCAGTTTTTATCTCAGTGTACAAATTATTTAGCCGGAACGAAAAAAAGATTAATATACGCATGAGTTGGAGCCATTCCTGTCTGCGGTGAAATACACGAATGGCTCCAGTCTCTAGTCGTCCTCCTAAACTGACTAAATAAGTTTTGCCAGCGGATGACTTTTTCATCGCCGGAGTATCGCTGAACGACCTACCTGAACAAGATAAACTCTGCCTTCTCTTTGTTATGTAAGTAGCCATTTCTTGTTTGACACATCGGTGTTTTTACTCTGGTATTTCATTGTTCCGCTGCGGGACACGCGGTTAACAATACTCACGAGCAAGGAGTTAAGACATAACTTATTAACTTTTACTATTTTTATCATCCAATCACAGGTCGGAGCCATTCCTGTATTTAGTCGCTAATGCTTGTGAAGGTCAGCATTAGATTCCATCCACCAAAACCACCTTGGTCGAGAGGGACTGAGATGGAATGATGGACAACTCATGACTTGTTATACTAAATGAAAATTACGAAGCTACGACAACATGCCGACTTATCCCGATGATCTAAGTATCATTTGTTTGGGAAATTGCGTCAAAACTTTTTACTCAAGAAATGGTAAGTATTAATTTATTGTTCGATTGTAGTATTATAAAACATTTTACGCAATTTTATGCAGATATTTCACGTATTTAAAAGGTGCCCAGATGTTACGTAGTTTTGCTGGATGTCATTAGGGAACATCCACCAAAACTTTGACCAAAACCATCAACAATATATTTTTTAAATTTTATCTATAGCCACTGTTAGATGTTCAGGGAGACAAAAGATTTATACCACTAATTAGCAGTTAGTGCTCTGACTAATTATTTTTTATGGTGCACAATTGCTGACCGACCAAACGTTCATAATGATTATCATAACTCTTAACACATAGAATAAAGTGGTTTTGGTGGATGTTTCTCTCCATCCACCAAAACCACCATAGCAATTTCTGCTACTTCCTTACAGAAGACTGATGTGACCTGCTATTTGGAGTACATAACCACAATCTATTTCTTTGTATGTAGAGATATTTTGCAAAGTTCTTGAGTCAGCACCTTTTATTATTGAAACCATAATCATAACATGGTGCACAATATAGAATACAAAAGGTTCTGGTGTGGTAATCTTGAAACAGGAGAGTTTTTAACTGACTTTAACTGATTTAAACAGACATTTGCAACAAAATTCCAGGTCCAGAAATTTCTTCCACTATTTCCGCTAAATTCATAACCTTTAAGTACAACAAATCAGCACATTAGTAATTGTTATCAGGGGTCTGAAAATCCTATAAATCTTTCACATTTATTTCAAGTAACCTTGGATGAATAAGTATACGCTCCAGATGCAGAATGTCTTACATTTTACAAACTATTTCCCTTTTTATGGATAGACAGTGAAAGGCCTTTGCCACATTGGTGAATCAAACCATTGTATACCATGCATTTTGTGATAATTGTTTGTTTTTGCTCACAATATCCAGAAAAATGGAGGGGATAAATTTAAATAGCAAATTCTATTAATGGTTAAAATTAAATAACATTGGAAGATCAAATTAACTTTGTACTGTTTAAAATTCAGTTTCTGTTTCTTGCTTATTCCAGCCTCTTAATATTCAAAAGCATTCCTTGTCATTTTTGTGTTCTTCTGTGTACATAACGTGAAAAATAAACACAGAGAAAGGAAACCACAAAGGATTAAACTTGAAGCTGGAGCAAAGTTTAAGTTGAGCCATAGCTGATCCAAATACTGAGCACTTTGTATTGTAACCCATTTAGCAGTAAAGTTTATCTATATGTCTGCCAGCTTGTCACAAGTCTTACCCCTCTCCTTCAAAAGTCTCTATAAATAAATTTTTCTTTGTGGTCCCTAATTGATGGTAAGTATATTACAGCTCCTCAATTTTCCTCTCTCGAGACAAGGTTACTCTAAATTTAACAAAGTAATGGACTTGATAAAACTCAAACTATAACTCAGCTGGCTGCTACTTGCAACCTTAATTTCTAGATATCAGTATACAATAATCAATATTTTATAAATAAGAACCCTAATGCTTAATTTTGCAGTGATCACCTTCCTCCTTTCCATTTGCAGACCAGACTGGAACCTCTATAGGTGCATTTGCTTGTTTTGAGTGGGGATGGAAGAAAAGGAGTCATGCCGCATATCTGATTTATTAAATTGGATTTGTTCTGTTTATACATGAGTAGAACTACCTTGTTCTCTGAAAAAAATAAAATTTCTTGCATTTTCTTGCATCTGTGCTTTGCAGTCAAACTTCCTTGTGTCTTGGACAAGAAATCTTATTTTCTTGAAAACAAAATCTTTGTTTCCAGCCTTCTGTAATAGGTAAATATAACAGTGTAAGATGAGTAACAGTGTATTTCTCAAGTTATTTTTTGGAATGTGACAAAACGGAAGTGTCATAGCGTGATAAGGAGCAAACATATGATTGCTTGATAGAAAGCAAAAAATGCAGAATTGCATATATTTTCTCCTTTGTCAGCAGCATATGTTAGTGAAAAGTTCTTATAATTATAACCATCTTCAATTTAGCCAAGATTGAACTGTTATCACGTTTGTCATAAAAGTATTCTGAGATCAATGTCATATGACCCATTCAAGTATTTGACCTTTCGAATTAGCATGCCATAGTTGACAGAAACACAAAGGTTGAGGATAAAAAGAAATTATTATATACAGTACTTCTTCTGCATCTTTTCGTTTCCTTTTCTCTCCAGCTGTTCTATCTATGCCGTGCTGGCAATTGAACACTTTCCTTCCCAAAATTAGGAAAGGCACACCAGTAAAAAACGAATTTTTGCTCCTTAAATATCTCATGCATCTTCCCCCAGTATTTTGTGACTTCTGTCCGA